TTGGTTCCAGGGTTGGCTGGAAAAATTCCATGGCGTGTTGTTTTCATGCATTCTTCAAACAGGCTCTGGTGAAAATGATAAAAGGATGTCACACGAAAAAACTTTTTGTTGATCTTTCTGCAGCTTTTGCTGACGTTTGTCTGTCTTTTTGTCATGGCGAGTGCTCTTCAATCAATCAAGAAATATTCTGTGTATTTGCTTTCTATTTTCTTTCACCTTTCAACGTGAGGTTGGGCGCAGAGCCTTGCAGTGAAAACAGTTGCAAGCTCCCCTGTTAGCTTGCGCCGCTTAGCACAACTGTTATCTGATTGGTTGGGCTAAAAGGAAAGCGGCGATCAATGTCAATGTTGAAATAATTTGAATCTTAAAGGGCCCATGTCATGGCCATTTCCACTGATCATAATTCCATTGTTGAGGTCTACTAGAATAGATTTATATTGTGCATTTTTCCAAACTCACATTGGTTTCTCATACAGCATCTCTGTAAACTACTTGTATTCACTGAATTTCACTCTCTGCCTTTAACGGCTCGTTGTAGCTCCAATAGCTCCAGCCCCCACCCTCCCTGTGAACACAGTGTGCTCTGATTGGTCGGGACGTTGTGAATCGCGCTGAGCTCCGTGGAGGTGTTGTTTCCTTGTTAGCGATACACAGCCAAACACAGCCAAACTCATCCTGAGCACACACAAAGTCACAGCCGAAGTAAAAACAATAAGCACTGTGAGAATGGGTCTGCAGAGAGAATTTCGCCGCGATCCCAACTGTCTGTTATCAGCCTGCAGCCAGGGAGGAGAAATCAGCTGAGCTGCCTGCTCCCTGCACACAGATGTGTGTGTGAGGAAGTCCGTGGATTGGTCAATTTGGACCAATCAGCGGGGGCATCAACATCAGCACAGTGCCATACTGCTTGTCATGTGAAGGCAGCTTAACCCTATGACATCATCAGGGTTTATTTAGGGGTCGGCTTGGAGACCTCCGATTTAGAAGAAACTTTGAGTGTGGACTTTGGAAGAAGTGGGAATATACATGTCTAGGGCAAGAGATTGGTCCGGTTTACATCCAAGTGTAACCCAGATGTTATCCGATTTCCCCAAAAATCTGAGTCAATGCTCGTTTTAATCCACTTATATTACTAGATTAATAGGAGTTCATTGAGATATGTAGTAGGTAGCACCAAAGATCTGGAAAAATAATTATACCATTGAAGAGCCACAAGATGATGTAGTTAAAATAGTAGAAATATTAAAATCTGAATGGAACCATATTTGTGTTGGTGTTTGTGTAATGAGGGGATTTTTTCTTCATCTATTCCGCTTCCAAGCTTCAGTGGATTTTACGTACTAAATTTCCCAACTTGTTTCTATTAACACCATCCGTCCACCCCCGCCATGCATAAAACGATAGTTTTTTTACCATTCTTTTTAATTTGTCTCTTAAAAGCCCAGCAACATTGTGGAAGTGCAATAACAAATACTGGCATGCCTGTTTAATTGCTTTGACAATAACCCCTCATCTCCTCTCTGTAATGAACAGCAATAACAGACACATTTTTGCATGCTTTAGCCAATTGAACTGATCTTTTTTTGGGTAATTATTTATGTCGTGTTGCAACAAGAATTATAACTTCCTTTCAGAAAACAAACAAAGTGACAGATATTTGATCTGCAAATGGAACCAGAAGCAACATGTTTGTGTGATTAGACGCTTAAATGCTCAGCTATCTACCACACAGCAGCAGTTTGTGTGCTACACATCTGCTCTTGGTTGTCTGCTGTTGCTCTGCAGCTAACCTGACATTAAAGATGCTGCAGCGATACGAGCATGGGAAAAGACTGACTGATCAAATCTATGCACTTCTTGCAAGCAAATAAAAAACTAAACCAGGAAATCAGAGGTTAATTTTTTCTGACAAGGCTCTCTGCTTAAAAACTTTTCTTTCAAAAGGATGTGAAGATGAACAAACCACAGAAACTTGGGCCACTAAAGATAACCGCAGGGGAAAAACATCTCGAGTGAAAACATTAACTAGAAATAGACCTCTTTGTTGCCATAGCCACCTGAACAGCTGTAATTTAGACCTGTTGAGCTGCACTGCACATTTATTTAACGGGGGAAAATTCTGTCTGAGAGTTTTTCTGTTCGACAACATGTTCAGTAGACCTAATGCCAGGGAAAATTGCTGTTTTTCTCGTAAATACTTGTTTTTATGTGTAGGTGATAATTCTTGCAGTCATTTAAGATTTTTTTTATAGATTTAGGAGTAATAAACACATCGTTTTGTTACTGTTACGTGTGTTGGATGTTGTTAAATATGACCTATCCATAGGAATGTGATACTACAATTAGTTTTACACAATTGCAGAGTCAATATAACAAGGTTGAAAATATGCACGCTGTTTATAAAGGGGCGTATGGTAATAATGACTATATGTTTGCAAATTCAAGGCAATCAATGCATTCTAAATGTTTATTTCAGTGACAAACATGCTCCTAAGTAAAGTCACAATTACTATGCTCCTGCTTCTTCCTCCCACTGAATGGTCTAACCTATCTGAGTGTTTGTTTAGTCAGCCTCACCGAGAGAGTGAAAGGTGAAGCCAACAGATGGTGATTCTACACCTTCAAAAACAAGCGGAAAACACAGAAAAAACTGAGACTGAATCAGGGAGGTGAAATCAATGATCATTTCCATAATTAATTGTTCTTGAAAAAAAAAACCTTCATAATTTGTTTTAAATTTTCCAATATAGGTTTCATTTCTGTATGGGGGGGATGCTGGTTAAGAGGGCGTCAGGGTATGAGCTTCAATTCCTGCATTCTATATATTTTTGCAAAGGAAAACACCAAATTCATACGCCAGGTTACAATTCAAAACATCAAAAAATAATAAAAATATAGTGGCTTTCATGAAAAATGTATTGCATTCATATATTTTATGCTATCCCTGTTTACACTTCCTTCCAATTTTGTGTCCTTTATTTGGGAAAGTAAAACCTTGCCGGCAATTTTTCACCCTAGTAATGCATTTATTCATTTAAATTTGTTTATACATTTCCAGACTTTAATAGCTTTGTGTTTAAGCAAGATTTATGCCCAAGTTCAGAATTTGCTGCACTCAAAACATATCTGTGTTCTTCGAGAAGCTGTATATTTTGAGAAAAAAGTAATATTACGAAAATAAGGTTGTAATTTTGTAAGAATAAAATCATAATATTTGCTGTGCAGAGTCAAGCTTCTGCTTAGGTATGGCAACACCACTTGGACACGTAGAACTGGAGTAAACCGTAATACTGGTAGTAAATATAATGGCAAGCTTTAAAGTTTATCTATGATTATTAACACATTTGTGAATGATTATTTAGGACAGGGGTGTACGGTTGTCCGTCTTATAGCAAAGCATTTAATTTTTTTAAATGTATCAATATATTGCAATATGATCACAGGCACTCAGCTAAAGAATAAGCCTGCCAACTGTATTACAAACTATTAAACTGAGGTTATGTACCTATGAACAGGATCCTGGGTGGTTACCCAAGGAGCCAGTGTTCTTTTTTTAAAGGGACACAAAATAATATGTGTGATTTTGTTGCCAGTTGGCAGCTGATTTTGAGTTATAAGGAAAAACCATTCAAAAAGTGGTCAAATATCTAGGAGCATTTCATTACACACACATTCATTAACATACAGCAGTCTGTCTCAACAGCAGTTCTTTATTCAGAGAGAGTTATCCAGGAACTTCTTGTCAGCTGTTCATTAAAAAGCAGCACGTTTCTAACTTTTTGACTTCTTCATCATTAAGTATACATCTGGGATTGTGTGTTACCCCGATGAGTAAACAGCTGGGACGGTGGGACAGGAAGTGGTGGGAACACCAGACGAGTGAGCTTTTCGGAGAGTTGAGGACTTAATGTACCCTTACACACATTGCTCACTATATCACAATCGCATGACATTAAACCTAGGATGTCATACTGCCAGATCTTCAACGCAAACTTGTATAACATAAAAAAGCAATCAAATAAATGTTTTGCAGTTAAAGTATCAGTTATGTATTATGGAGTAGGATACATGTAAAAGTATATAGAATAAAACCTTTTTTAAGTTAGCTCCACTTTTAGCAGCTGCAAAATTTCAATGGTGAACACATTAATGGATCACTAATTATAATCCAGTTATATTTATTATTATGAAATTGGCCATTCTGAATAATGCATTCTTTTTGTTTTGGTACTCTAAGAATGTGTGATGCTAATATTATTGCACATTAACGTGTACTACATGTAACAGAGTATTCCTTCACTGTAGTACAACTACTTTAAGTAAAAAATCTCAGTATTTCTTACCATTTTTGCTTACTAGACAGTTAAATCCGCATAGCAACTTAAACTGGCTGCTAAACTGCAGCTAGTAAGACGAAGTGGGTAGATGTTAAAGAAGAAGAAAACAAATAACTAAAACAGGAATATTATATTTCAAAATACTAGAAGATAATATAACTTTTCTCAAGTCTTCGTTGCACCTCAGGCAGGTTTACAGCGACAACATGCTCTCATATTCCCCACGGTATTTATAACTCGGTCAGCTGACCTTGCACTTGGACCCTTCCACAACACGGGAAGATTATTTAACTACGACACAAACTAATACACGACTTATACTTCGGTTAAATTCCATACCAACCCTATAAACAAGTGTGAAAAGTAGTTGTTACTGAGCAGATAAATGTTGTTGTGCACAATATTAACGATATCAGGGTGGAAATGACACAGATGTGGATAAGTAGCTCCCCCGCCTAGCAGATAATGGTACGGTCCTCTGTTGAAATTCCGAGAATTGAGCCCCTGTGTTTCTTAGAACAGGATTCTCAGAACTGGTGATGCACAGAGTTTCGAGGAAACTTTTACAAGGTGACTTTTTTTTCCTTCCTTTTTCTCAGCATTAGGTCAGAAGTGTTGTGAAGTACATGTTGCTCTTGTGGCTGCTCCTGGGCATGATTATTTTTCATTATTTATATATTGAAAATGTTGTGATATCTTTAGACAGAAGTGAACTAACAGATTTAATGCATGACTTTGACAGCTGCACTGCTTTTGACTGTTTTAAACGGAAGTGTGAATTGTTTAGGTTGTTTAATTTAGTCACTTAATTACATTAATAGCTGCCGTTACACTTAAAAACAAACAGCAGCCTCGTGACGTGAACCTTTAACGAACACAGCAGTTTGAGTTTGTATCCATATGTGAATACATGTATACCTTTTATAGTTGTGTTTGGTGCAGCATTTGGCAATAGAGGCTGCAAAAGTGTCGCAACAGGACTAGTCGGGCTGGTTTTGTGACGTCTAATTCTTTCTGCGCATTTTCTCATGTCTTGAAACTATCTGTTCATCTCACTGAGTGTTTAATATGCAAAACCGAGGAATTTCCCTTATTAGTTTCCGTCGTGAAAACACCATTTGATCCACATAATTAAAGCCGTCCCCTGACTTAACCCCGTTTCTAAACTTGTGCTGGCCTGCTCGGTGTCTCGCTGCCGAAAGAAGTTAAGCAGCAACAACTAACCACTCCTTGGAATCACAACCTGCCAAAACACACCGTCGCAGTTTAGTTTCTCCCCCTGATAACTCGCGGTTCGTTTGGCGGGAGAAGAGTAAATGTATTAGTGGGTTAATTTAGATGAGTTGTACTTATACAGGGGGAACAGGAAACCTCTCTGTGTACTCGCAATCTAATCTGAGCAGTCAGGACGGAATGTGCTCAACGTCAAACACGTTTACAACCCACAGGCTGCCAGCACTGCGCTGCTACATGCGGGAGAACCGCAGAGTACACATGGGGACACCGTTATCAAACTGGTTATCCTAAAAAGAAGTCCGCCATTAAGCTATACTTTGTTTTATTATTGTTTCTGTCAGTATTTTACGTCGCTTCGAAATGATAAAGTCACAGTTTTTGTCGCAAATCCATTGCGTATTTGGTCTTGTTTTTAATGAAAATATTAAGTGAAACTCCCTTCGACTTTTCTCTCTACAATGGCGCCTCTCTTTGATGAGGCGCTGTCAGGACACTTGTTAGCTTCAAAGCTTGTTTTGATGTCAGTCCTTGAAGGCATCTGGCTGCTGTTGCACACGAATGAGCCAGAGGTGATGACACATGATAAAAGCGGTTATTATTATATTTAATGACTGTTCATTCGTGTATAATTGACGCTTTATTACAAAAAGAGAGAACAGATTTTGGTGGGGCTAATTTGAGGTTATTAACTTTACTCAGTGTAGCAGAATATGCAAAGTGAACGTTTTTGTATTGTTCGTCTATTATGTTAAAGAAACTTGACATTCAAAATGTTACTGAAAAATAATAATTGGCATCAACATGGCATATTTCAAGTCCAAAAATAATTACTTACAATGGCTAATTTTAGAATACAAAATAGTATTGTATTCTAATTATTGCTGCATCAATGTCTTCATCACTTTAATGTTGCAGCTTAAATACTGCTAAATTCACTAAAAGATCATAATTTGTTGATCATATGTTGTGGCATTCATCTGAATAATTAATGTATGGAGTAAAAAGTACAATATCTGCCTAGAATTGCAGCTGAGTAGAATAATAAAGTAGCGGGAAATTAAAATACTCAAGTAAAGTACCAGTAACTAAAACAAATACTTAAGTACAATACTTGAGTAAAAGTACTTAGTTACTGTGCACTGACTGTTCTGTGATGAAATACTGAAGGCTGGGGTTTACTATGATATTGACATTTCTTACAAATGTTAAATGGCTCAGCATGCCATCTACTGTTTGAAGTCAGTACTGAAGGCCAAAGCTGACTGACAATAAACAAAACCACACAACGTTTTAACATTTCAGAATAAGAAGCAATGGGTAAATTACACTTTAAGTAAAATTACTTTTGTCTGAGAATCTGCTTGAGTGATGCCCATGTAGGTGCCAATTTAACCGCATTGTTATTCATCTACCCAGAACACTTTCAGCAACTTACTCTCAGTTTATGATTTTCGCCTTCCATCAGATTTCGACAGCATGGCCATGACTGCTGATGGCTGCATTCAATTCACACGCCATGCGGGTGACGTCCTGCTCAACTTCAACCGCCTCCGCAGCCGCAACATCCTGACTGATGTCGCCATACAGGTGGACGGACAGCATTTTCACGCTCACAAGGCCATCTTGGTAGCCTGCAGGTATGCACTATCAGATCTGACACAGACAGCATGAGTACCTATGCCTATACCTATGTGCTCAATAAAGGGCTTTTTCTTGGAGCTTATATTTTAATTCAGTCGATCACAAGGTGTGTTTCCTTCCACCTGTCTTTATGTTAAATGTGTGATGTATTTGAAGAACTGCTGCTCCTGACACCGCCGCCACACCATCTAATTTCACAACTTGAATAACACTGAACCACCTTTTCTTTTATTATCTTACAGTGGCTTCTTTTACTCTGTCTTCATGGACCCCAAGAATGCCAACCTAAGTGCCATAGGCTTGGACCCCAAAGTGGACGCCAAGGGTTTCTCCATCCTGCTGGACTTCATGTACACGTCCTGTCTGGACCTGAAGGACAGTCTGGTCCAGGCCACCATGAGCACAGCCATCTACCTCCAGATGGAGCACGTGGCCGACACCTGCCTCAGGTTCATCCAGTCCAGGTACATGAGTCAAAGAATGTGGCACACTGCAATATCTCCGTAAATGAACGAGTTGGAGTTAAACTTACTTTTCTAGCGGCGAAACAAATAAATAAAACTGAAGATGTAACAAAAAAAAGTGAGCGAATCTTACGCAGGGGAATTTATCCAATGTCCAGGCAATAAAGTTGTTTTGTAAATGTATTACCGACAATCCAATATCCAACATATATATGACAGTGGTCTCAACTGTGGCTTTTCCTGTGTTTTCCCTGGTAAATAACAATTTGCTCATTTTGGTGCGCCAATCCCACCAACACCCGTCTCCAATTATTTTTATCACCAGGGTCCAAATCACGCGGTGCCCAAAACTGCCTTCAAAATAAAAGCATAAAGAATTACTTTACTTAACTAAAATAATTACAATAAATAATAATACATTTACAATAAAGAAAAACAACAAGAAAATAAATGTTTAACTATTCAATACTATAAATCAATGTATCGCTCCAACACATACTTTGTTGTTGTTTCAGCAGCCATCAGATTGAGGAGGCCGAGATCTGCTCGTCACATCTGTCCGAGGACATCCTTGCTTTGAGGACGTTTGAAGACAACGAGCCAAACTTCAGAAACATCCTCCCGTCCCCGCTCCAGGACTGCAAGGGCTACACCCCCAATGTGTTCAGGGGGATCAACACCTCCGGTTCCTATCACGTCTACGGCGACTCCCAGCTTCCTTCTACGAAGCTTGAAGGCCCCCACCAGCTCAGCGACCTTCCCAGAGGAGGGGCCCAGCAAAGATGCTCGGAGGTGCCTCACAGCGAGTCCACCACCATGCTCTCCCACTCCAGTTTCCCCACCAATATTACCCAGAGGTCCATATCCCCCATGGAGGAAAACGGCTGCCCAAGATTGTCCCAAGGTTTTAGTAAAGGTGTGATCTGCAGCCCTCAAAGCCCCCTCCGATCCGACTGCCAGCCAAACTCGCCGACCGAGTCCAACAGCAGCAGGAACGCAGCGCTGAGCCTAAGACAGTCCTCAGAATGCTCCAAAGACACCAAGGCCCGCAACTGGAAGAAGTACAAGCTGATTGATATGAACCAAACTCCAGACGAAAACGATAAGGAGAGCCGGGAAGGCGGCGCTGAAGCTACACCCATGTCCCCGACGCTGAGCCCCTGCAGGAGCGCTGCAGCAGGCGAGGCGCAGGGGGAGGAGGCGGCCGGCGAGCACAGAGAAGAAATCCACACGGGTCAGAGCGTGGAGAGTTGCAGCAGCAGCACCTGTAGCAGCATCAGGTACAACACTGAAAATAAGAAGATGATATGGTGTTTTTTCTATGGTAGCAAATAACTTATTTTAACTCTGTGGTTGTATTTCTACCCGCAGCTACCGCCGATGCTCCTCCTGTGGTTGTGACAGCCCGCAGTGCCTGGATATCGGTCACCTTTCTCCGGACTCTTACAGCAGAGAGGACACCACCAAGCTACACTCAGAGTATTCCTCCTCCGGCTGCGGTAGGTGGCCGTCAATCAACACTAGGATTATTTAAAAACAAAACCATGGAGGTGTGCTAAAATCTCATTGTTTTCATTGCTTCTTTGTGCAGAAAGCAACATCTACTTCTGCAACGGGTGTGACTGTAAGTTCACGGAGGAGGACTCCCTGAAAGAACACATGGCCCAGGTGCACAGTGACAAGCCATACAAGTGTGACTGCTGCCAGGCCGCCTTCCGCTACAAGGGGAACCTGGCCAGCCACAAGACCGTTCACACCGGTGAGATTAACATTCTTTTTTAGAGTATTATGTAGCATCTCTGTGTTAAAAAGCCTTAAAACCACTAGAACTATGTCATATAGCTGTTGTGTTATGTCATTATTTTATCCCAATCTCCATCTTTGTTATTGTTTTGATTGAGGGACCCCTAGTGGCAGGACATGACATTTTGTGCCTTTAAAGTCACTTTAAGTTGACCTTACATGTGTGACTGTTATACTCATCGTTCAACCTGCTGATGTGTACTTCCAGGTGCAAAGCCTTACCACTGCAACATCTGCGGCGCTCAGTTCAACCGGCCAGCAAATCTCAAGACACACACCCGCATCCACTCTGGAGAAAAGCCATACAAGTGCGAGACATGCGGCTCCAGATTTGTCCAGGTGAAGAAAACAAAGGAATCTAATGACTTTAGAATCAACTTGAAACAAATCAAAAGATACTTGCAACTCGAAATGGGCTCTAAGACCAATAGCAGTTTATCTTTTGTCAGAGAGATAGATTTCTTAAATAGGGAAAATAGAGGGGATAAGAGACCACACATGGATTCAAACACGCAGATTAAAGATACAGGGAGAAGCATTAAGACCTGTATATATACTATGCTATAGTGTGTAAATGTGTTTGAATGTATGTGAGTATATCCCAGGAAGAATAGCCAATGCTAATGCTACTGCTAATGGGAATCCTAAGAAAGACTTAATGTTTAAAGTATATATATTTGTTCCCACAGGTGGCCCATCTCCGCGCCCACGTCTTGATCCACACCGGAGAGAAGCCTTACCCCTGTGAGATCTGTGGAACTCACTTCCGCCACCTGCAAACGCTCAAGAGCCACATGCGCATTCACACCGGAGAGAAGCCTTATCATGTAAGCTTCCTCCTCAGCTGCTCCCTCCTTATCCATTGAGCTAAAATGAGAGTAATCCCTTCCCCCCCGTGTGCCTATCATTAGTATTAAATCCTGAGTGGTAATCCTGCAGAGCACCTGTAGCTGTAGGGGATGCATCTGCCTTTTTAAAGCGGGCATATAATGCATTTTCGTTTTTTTCTTTCCTGAAGTGTGCGTTATCAGCTTGTGTGCGTGTAAATGGTCTGCAAAGGCTAGAATCCCTGTGTTCCCTCCAGAGGGAGTTTCTCTCCCACACACTCCCCCCCTGAAACGCCTCCATTGGACTTGTTTGTTTAGTTCCGTAACATACTGACATCACAATGTTACACTCTCACTTCTATCGGCTAGTGCTCAGACATATTGTACGTGATAGGCTAAGGGGCGTGACATCTCTAAGCAGTTGGCCAATCACAACAGAGAGCTAGCCAGCTAACCAATCAGAGCAGACTGGGCTCTGGTTTCAGACAGAGGGTGAAAAGAGGTGCTGCAGCACAGGCAGTATGAGAAGAATAAAGAGCTTTTTGAGCATTAAAGCATGGAGACATGTCACAGTAGAGACACTACATACTGATATGAACCTGACAATGAGCATGAAAGGCCCCTTTCAAAGTTACAAATGTTCTCTTTTTTTTCTCAGTGTGAAAAATGCGACCTTCACTTCAGACACAAGAGTCAGCTGAGGCTTCACCTGCGGCAGAAGCACGGCGCCGTCACCAACACCAAGGCTCAGTACCGCAGGACCCCCAGCAACATCCTCACGGGCCTGGTGAACTCCTGCTGAGAACCCCCCCCCCCCCTTCCCCTGTCATTTCCCTTTCTCTTTTGCATCGGCCGCGGTGCTGTAAAAAGATATTTTTACAAACAGAAACATAAATATGATATATGTATGTGTTTGCCCTTTATGCATTTGTAAATAATGCACATTTCCCTTTGGTATTTCAAAGATTGTAGAAGTTTATGCTTTCCATGTGAATGTCTTAACAGAATGTACGTTTTGAATGTGAATTTTAAGCAGCATTGAAGGACGGTCCTGTCGTTCGGACTGAGATATCACTGTTACAGGTTTGCTTTGATAACGGTATGAATTTGCCCAGTAATGTGATCACACTTTCACAATTTGTTTTTATGTAAATAAGATAATATATATTTTCAGATTGCCATCTGCTGGCAGAGAACGAATATATTTACGTTACATTTGTTGCTTAAACAAGAGCTTTTTATTTTTACCGTTTGGTAGTTTGTGGTACGTATTTTATTTTCATAATGTTTAAAAAAAAAATGCTATGTACATATTTTTCAATCATTTCTAGCCTGTTGGTATTTTGCACATGCTCATGACATAATGCTGTAATTCATATCTTTTCATACTTTTCTTTCAAATATTTCTACTTAAGCTCTTGACATGTTGAAATTGTTTGTTAGACTCGGCACTTGCTATTTATACTTTTTCTTCGCTGTATTCAATTACATTTTGGTGCTGCAATGATTCAGCTGGATCATTCAAGTGTGATGTGTGTTATCTTACCGTGTGTATTACAGTGCACTCGTACAAAGCAGTGTATTAAAGTGCCTTACATTCACGCTTCTCTATTCGCTACCGTCACAGTCGAACTACTAATGTGTTATAACGCTGACCATATGGAAGCCCTGGTAGTTATTAACTGCTGTTGGTATGCATTTCACCTTTGGTACATTGCCCTGTTGTCATGTGTACGCATGGCTGGTACGCTTTGTTTTGAAAGCTGATTATTTGTTGAGTGTAGCTCTTATGATGCAGAAGCACCAGGCCTCAAGCTAAAAAAAACGCTCAGGAATATTAGTAATATGTAAGCAAATGTCTTTGTAACTGCAGATGATATATATATGATACATGAAAATAAAAATGTATTATGTAGCCCCTGTGTTCATTGTTTTCAAGTAAATGTAACGGATTTTTCAAGGAGACTTGCGTTTTCACTCTTATACAAAACACAATTCTCATAAATAGAAAAACGACTTTAGTTGATTCACTTCTTTGTATGTGTGGATACTGGAATATATACGAAAAGATAAAAGATGAAGAATAAATAAACTCTTGCATAAACAAATTATTAATTAATAAAAACTATAAATTGCAGTCTCAATATATGAATGCATGTATTCCATTACATTTAGCTGATGCTTTAAAAAACAAATACTGAAAAAGTCAAAGAATAAAAATGTAGACTTAAAATATAAAAATATACATTTAACGATTTTTCAAATTATGTATATATTAATAGTGTATATGTTAAATGTTCTATATTCTGTCAAAAATATTTCTTCATTTTACAAATTAATTTCCTTATTTATTTATCCTGTTAAAATTCAACTGACTGAAAATAACTTTGAAATACCTGTTCAAATTATTTAGTGATGTCCAGCACCTCCTGGTGGCTGATTAGGATGAAAGCCACAGCCTGCATGGGTTTTTTTTAACTTCTAGAATCGTCTTAAAATGTTTACTTTAGCATCAAAGTGAAATACACAAAACCAACATAAAGAAAGTTCATCATATTGACTGAATAATGTAGATGAGTTTAGAAAAACAAAGAGAAAAAAAGTCATTGTTTTTACTTTTCCGTTTTATCCTCCCTCCTTCACACCGATACAGTACAGTAAATGTTCATTTTGATCTTCATATTTTATCAATGATCTCATGGGATGAAGCTCATCAGGGCCTTCTGTTAGGGGTCTAATATTCATGAAGAGTGGGCCATGTACCAAAAACCGTGTTGCAGGTAACTTCTGGCACAAAGGCAACTGCTCCTGTAGCCCTGTCCATTAAACACAGAAGTTTTATGCGTTTGATATGGAAGCTACAGTATGTGATGTTCTCACACAAATCCCTGTATGTGACCATCCTGTCAAACTATTTGGTCTGAAGCGTTATGGCTGCCTCAGATGACATGATCCTCTGAAGACATTGGTGATATAATACCAGACTACTAGAAGTGTGTTTGATTGACCGGAAAGTGTCCAGCTAAGCTACGATACATTTTGTTCCTATGCGAAGGCCTCGGACTACGAGCTGTGACCTCTTCTGATCGCTAGTAGCTGCTTAGCAACTCAAATGTCATTCATACCGATACATATTGTACACACATTCACAAACCAACAGTGCAGCACTTTACAAAAGAGATGTAAAACAAAGAAAAAGAATGTAACCAAAGGTAAAAAGTCATATGAATTGGCATATCAACTTATTAGTGTACTTGATACAAAGAAATCTTAAAAAGTAAATGAATGTTGTTGGCAGCTGGGGAGACTCAACCCTCTTTCTTTAGGACGGCTTTCACATCAGCAAACACCTGAAAGAGAAAAGCAGACGAGTTTACACAAACAACTCTGATCAAAAGTTAAATACATACAAAAGCATTCCATTTGTCTATCATTCTGATAGCTTGCTAGTTATGATAATTATCCGTTTTGTAACAGTTACGGGGTTGCTGTTGAATATATTATTCTCATTATTGATTGTAATTATTGGATTACATTTATATAATGTTTTCTTTTTCAAAAGACCTCAAGGTGACTGATTTGTTGGACCAACTGTCCAAAACACACACATTTTTATTTTTATTTGACAAAAATACCCAAACAATTAAATACTATAAAAGATACATTATATTAATGATAAAAAAAAACAGCAATCAATAAAGTTACAAAAACAGTAGCAGATTCATGTTATGCAGATTTTTCATTCACACCTTGTTAAAAGAAACACTTCCTCATGGCAGTATATTTGAGCCCATTTTAATCCAAGTCTCAATATAGCCAAATTATCATTTACAAAAGTTGTGTTAGAGCCAGTATTTTTGTTTATAAAAAGGGCCACCTAATCGTGACGTCTGTAGTCAAGGATGTATAAAGGACTACATTTACCTCCTCTAAAGAGACAGAGATGGGAAGTCAGTCGGAAAGGCGCCTTCGAGGCACAGTTTTTAACCGTTAAATTACTGTTTAAGTTGCCATTAAAGTTATACAAGCCTAAACATAGAAAGAAAGAAAGAAAGAGCACCTAAGTTGTTTATTCATTATTTCAGTTTTGCCTCTTTTGTTTGATTTGTTTTGACTATTGTAAAGGCCTGTTTTCTTTGTTTACTGTATGAAAAGTTTGTTATTTTATTTACAGCAAAAGCACATCACAATATCATTTGACACATTAGGCACTTTCACACCGGAGTACTTTTCCCAGGAATAGTTCCGATAGTTCCTGGGATTTTGCGTTCACACCAAAAAGATCTGGAACTAGAACCTTTTCACCCCCTTTTCCCTTCTAGAGAGCAGGTACATTCCTGGGAGGAAAAGGTTCCCATTTCTGATTGGCTGGGCAAATTGCAAACCACGCCCCGTAAAACTTGGAAAACTTTTGTGAAGCCGCCATTGTATTTGCTGGCATTAGCATTATTAGCATTAGCATTAGCCCAGCGCACCAATGGAGAGAGACTAACTTATGGCAACACAAAAGAAAACATGGGAGCGGTGGAGATGAGGAGGTGTCGGCATTCTGGCGATTTACTTGGAAGGCTTCTACTGAAGCCAGTCCCCAACTCCGGGGACTTCCGGCCGGGGACTCCGGGTGGCAGTATACGCCGTGAAGTTGTTTGCGGCCTGCCAGTAAACCCAAAGCAGAAGAAGAAGAAGTGACTCACCTCATCCACACAGCGAGAGGCGTCTATAGTGCGCACCTTGCCGCTTTCCTCATACAGATCAATGATTGGTCGTGTAGACTGCAGGTAGGTCTGGATTCTGCAAGAAAAAGAAGACTGGTTATTGGGGTCAGACGACACAGGGGACTCAAAGGAGACAAATTAGGTCAAAAACACATGCAGATATCAAGCTAAACAGGTCAGACAAACCCATACGATCAGATTTGCTTGTTGTACGTTGCTACAGACGGAAATATTCAATCAGTGGATAAAAGGCAGCAGGACATACTTCTTGGGTTCAGTGCTGTTTAACTGTTTTACCTTTTCTCCAAGCTTTCTCTGTTGTCATCACTGCGTCCACTGCTCTTCCCTCTTTCTAAACACCTGTCGATACAAACCTGAGGGAAAAAGATAAATAGATGGTGTGCTCATTTGAAACGGTCTCTATTTGTGTTTAAAAACAGCTGGAAGAGTTATAGCTTCCTGGTTTTCATGACGCACCTCATTGCCGCAATCAAAGAAAAGAACAAATTTGACATCTGCTTTGTCTTCCATGACCTTTTTCCAGCCCTCAAGGTTGTCCTTGTTGCGGGGGAAACCGTCTATGAGGAAGCAGAACTTTTTCTCGTCTTCCTGCATGGTCTCTTCCATTGCCTGCAGAAACGGAAGAAAGATTAGAGCCCTAATATCAATGTTTTGATAGAGCTGATTTTTCAAATGAAACCAGCTGTTAATAAAGACATGCAGATTCTACTTAATGTTTTTTTTCTGTAGAAGTCAATGAAAAACTCTCGTTTCATGTTGCTGACAAACTTAAAGGTCCCATGTCATGCTTTTCCGGTTATTACCCGTCCCCTTGTGTGTTATGTAGCTTTTTCTGCATGTAAACGGTCTGCAGAGTCACAAACCCTCAAAGTACACCCTGTAGCGAGTAAAACTCTAACACAGAAAAGACCTGTCTATGCTGCCCCAGAACGCCTCGTTGGGGATTTATCTGTTTCCATTGTTTTCTTCCGGGGCCTATTGACGTCACTACGTCCAAATGGACCAATCCGCGAAGCTCTGCACACACACTCACTCAGCCTGAGCTCCGCACACACACACACACTCACTCAGCCTGAGCTCCGCACACACACACACACTCACTCAGCCTGAGCTCCGCACACACACACACACTCACTCAGCCTGAGCTCCGCACACACACACACACACTCACTCAGCCTGAGCTCAGACCCCACACAGCAACCGGGAAATGACACCAGTAATCCAGCTCACACTGTCCGCTCCTCGCAGCCGCGCAACGTCCCGCCAACACGGCACCCAGACCCCACGCAGCATTCTTATCTGTTTGTCCTTACAGGCATGGGCGTAATTTCCACTGGGGACAGGGGGGACATGTCCCCCCCCCACTTTTTAAATGTGTTTATTATTTATTTTCATCACAAATAAAACAGGTTCACATGGATAGGATACTAGATAAGTGTGCACACTCATTATATACACTACACATTTTTCTTGGATTTGTTAACACTATAGTCCCTAATATATTTGTAGAAAGGCAGGAAATTAAATTGAGAACATTTTTCATTGCGGAGGACCCCCTGTTTTGTGTCCCCCCCACTTCTCAAACCAAAGTCACACCCTTGCTTACAGGTGTCATTTTCTGGTTGCTAACGCCATTGTAACACATAAACACTGATGTTCAGCTGTAACGGTGGTAGACTCATCAGAACAGAGTGGGCGAGCTGACCAATCAGAGCACAGTGGGCTTACAGGGAGGGGGAGGCAGGGGCTCCAACAAGCCGTTTAGGACAGAGAGTGAATACACATACTATACAGAGATGCTGTATGAGAAACCAATGTGAGTTTGGAACATTGAACAATGTGAATCTATTCTAGTAGACCTCAACAATGGAATTATGATCAGTAGAAATGGCCATGACATGGGACCTTAAAAAAATTAAGCGTACAGTTTCACAGTGTAATGATCCGTCGATTGAAACGTAACAGTTGAGACGTGGCACTTTATAGCGTACAGGAGGACTTCATTATTTATTTGAATTAAAAAATATATGAAATGTTATTTATTCTTTGAAATGTCTGAAATAGTCCAATAATAAAAACGTTTATTCAATTTTTGTATGTTTTTGTGAACTGATATAAAACAATTGTGATAATATCGTGGCAGAATTTGTGATGTAAGCAAATATTGTGTTGCTGTCCAAAGGATCAATATGATATAATATTGTTCTTATATCATAATAATATTGGACGGTGACGAAACTTTAGATATACACCCTTACTCACACTGCAGGTGTGATTATTTATATTAGCGTTAAATTGTTTCAGGAAAATCATTTGCAATGATCCATATTCATGTCAGAAATGGTATAAGATTGGACACCCTATCATTTTATCAACAACTGATTATAGGTTTCAATTTAAGAGGCAAATGTTTGTTTTGGTGTATCTACTTCATAAAAGTAGTAACAATGTCCATTGTTACTACTTGTTTACTGCAGTATGGTCATGAATAAAAGGGACTGGCCCCAGGCAGACACACAATCCTGTCCTTTGCTAGGCAAACACAAACCTGATTTATATGTTCCTGTTTTTACATGTAAACCTGTATTTGGGGCATACCTTCTTGAGTAAGTTGATGGTGATCTCCACAGGGACAATTTTGCCCTCCTTAATGTAGTTGGAAATGAGCTGTCCAGACTCCGACCCCTCTCGAGCCCGCTCCGCCCGCAGCAAGTCCCCCGCAGACAAGTGGGTGTAGTTGAAGCTCTGAGAGACACAAACATTTTTTATTTTAAAAGTTGATGAAAATGGTATTTAGGGATAACCATTGGGAACAGTTTCCAAATTGTCTGAACTCTTTGGAATCGTATGCCACAGAGGTAATGCAAGCATATGAAGAAATACAACTTTTGTATTGGCTATGCAACTCCTAAAAGTGAAATTGATCATTGTTTTAGCAATTTCAGGACAGGTAATGCTACCCATATGAACTCTTAACAAATCCCGGGGAAGATAATCAAAATATCTAATATTTACACTGTATGATAAGATTCCTTTAATGGGTGCCGGCATGTTTTTTTTCTGACAGATGCGTCTTCATTATGGCGTCAAACTCTACGCCGCTGGAAATGTTCAATAAGAAGTCATAAAGGAGAGGAACAAGTGCAAAGCGAAGCCTCATTTTATGAAGAAAGATGATAATATCAGTAAAATCATTATTTTGTATCATGTTTAAATGTTATTAGGGAGACATTCTACCATGTGTTCAGAGTCTGAGATAATAAAACAACTTGATTGATGCTGAAGAAATGTGTCGGTTTACTTTTTTTTCTCCACATGGAAAATGGACCAGGAATCAATAAAAGAATCAGAACGATAAGCAGAATCAATGATGGCATTTGTATCAAATCCTATCAGTTCCGGTTCTATGGAAACAAAGCACTCCGAAACCAGTGATCAAGAGAACATTTCTGGAGAGGAGAAAGCTACAGTTGGTCATTTAAAAAAAGAGAGACAGTATAATTCTAACTTTTGAGAAGCCAGCCTCTAAGGAGAGGCTTACGTGTTCTCCATCTTTGTGCACGCTTGAAAGACGTCTCTATGCATAGCTGCCAGACAGGCCTGCTTATGGCAGCACCCAGAGACATCCGGGTAGTTATCAAATCCATACCACCACTGTACCATCCTTGAAAAACACAATTTCTTGAGTTTTGACCATTTTAAGTCTTTTAAAAGTATGTGTTTTATTTATAAATGTTTACATGGACTGGCTCCCCCCCCCCCTCCCTTAGGGGAATTCATCCACAGAAAACACACTGGACGCTGCACTAGGTCAGAAACCAGAGGAGACTGTGAAATCCACCGCAGACGGACAACTTTTGGACAAAATGTCCTCTCCATTAAGGGCAGCTCATTGTGGAACAGCCTCCCTACTGAGATACGGGATTGTCCCACTCTTAATAGTTTTAAAGGTCAACTCAAAGAATGGTTGAGAAACAAACAGACGTGCAATCACCGCTAAATGCACTTTAACATAGGGGTATCTCCTATCGCACTTTATGTGGCACTTTTATCTTATCTTGCACTATATATGTCGTAGCTGCTACATTGTACTGCCATGTGGTAAATGCTTGTATATGCTGCTCATGCTCTTTCTGCATATCATGTATTTATTTTTGCTATGTATATAAATGTCATGTTCTTATATGTTGTATGTGACGGGACTACGGATGGAAATGAGCTCAAAGCTAAAATCCGGTTCATTTACACTTGTAAGCATTATTTTGTTTTAAAGTGTTCATCAATGTGCACTGTCCCAATTCAAATAAACGATTAAATGAAAGTCTCTCAAAAGCTCCCTCTTAGTCAAACATGAAAGAATCAACATTGGCTTCCAGCAGAGCTGTAGCTTCATAAACCTTCAAGAGTTCAGACAAATATCAAAGCTGCAGCATCAAGTAGGGACTTTTGGGTGGCTTTTTATATAACTCACATACCATTTGACCATTTTGCTCTTAAGCCATCCACCCAATTCATAGAATGAACTGGATTTGTGTTCTATCATTAATGACAAACAACCACAGCATATGTGACGACACATCAAAACAGACTAGAGAAAAAAAAGTGTCATGTATGGATACTTTAGCAACAACTTCTTAAATGTACAATCCAAATTCAGGTGTTTTATGTGTAAGTATGACTCATCATGTTTAACAGCTGTATGGGGTGATCACCAACAATCTCTCAGCCAGTGAATGGGCCTACGTGCCCATCTCTTTCTATTTGTTCAAAGTCAATGGTGGAGAGACCAAGCCCTCTTCACACTCACATTGACCATTACATAACCTTTACTACATACCAAAGTCAAAGATAGTGTTAGAACACAGTGCAAATGTCAATAGGGTGTCTCCTGCTGGCTTCATTTGCACTCTGTGTGACGCTAACTAGCCGACATTTAGCCAATTCATTCAGGCGTTTGACTACACAATATTAAACAGAGGGCTAAAAGCCTAAACCCCATTTTATTATTATAATGCTTTGACTAAGGTGTCAGAAATGAATGCTGATGATATTCAGAATAGTTTAAAGATAATACAATGTTAATTTCTATCACTACAGGCTTAAATATGAGCACATACAAATTAGGCTAACTAGCTAGCTGCTATAACAGGTTCATTTTAGAGGACAACCGGAAGACATTTAAATGTAGACAGTACCTTATAGAAAAAGGCGCTATTAAAAGCATAACCATCCTAAAAATGTACTAAATATAATTTGTATGACGGCACGCTAAGTCTCAAACATGAAAGTCATTATTTTCATTGTCTTTTTTTCTCGCCATCACTCGTACCTCCACGATTTTGGAGCACTGGGTCCCTTTGCCGGCTCCAGGCCCCCCCAGCACGAAAACAACCTGCGGCTTCATCATCAGCGACACCCGGTACAACAAGCTCGGCACCCTCTGGAATACTTTAGCGAACAAACCGCCGATCATAAACCAGCAACAGGAACTCCAAACTGGGTGGGGACCAAAATAATAAGCCAAGCTAGTGCCGGGTGAATGTGTGTCCGTGTCCGTGGTAGGAAGTCGAGGAGCAGCAGAATGACACTGCTTCCGCTGTTTATTTCATCGACCAATGAGGATGCAGATAGGAGTGATGCAGGCGTGTAGCCCCGCCCCCTGCACTTGTTATTTTTTTTCAATGCAGAGGTCGGGTGACGCCCCTCCCCTGCCTCCCTAGCATCAGCACCTCCACACTAAAGAAGACGGCTGGGAAAGGATGCTCTCCGCGCCGCGAGGCTCACTATCAGCTCGAGGACACTTCACGATGAGACGACACACCGAGAAACGCTCGAGCGGCAGGGTATAGTCACCGCTTTCTCCACGCTCATGCCTCGCTGCCTCCATTCATGATGCACCATTCATGCATCCACAAGAATGGAAGCACTTTGCGAGGAAAACATTAAAATAACCGGTTGTCTCGCTTTTAAAAGACGCATCCTCGCGCGGCTTCTTTTCATGTAGGTCAAGGTGATGAAGAGCCCGATTTTGTCTTTTGAGGGTGCCGCTCGAATGTAGGGCTAATAATACAGGAAAAAGCCAAGCAAACAAAAGACATCCAGCCCCCCTCCTCTGACGCACCTGGCTGCCCTGTCGCCACTTGACATGACAGCGCAGAGCCGGGAGCAGAGCAGCAGGATCAAGGGGCACCGACGTGCAGCCGGACGTGTGGACTCGACAAGGAGGGGAGCCTCCGGACGCACGGCGGAGACGCAGCAGCAGCCCAGGGGAGGCCGGATTGCAGTTCCCGGGGACGAGCGCCAAGGGCAGTGCGGCAGTCAGCAGGCAGACCGGGGGGAGGAGGCTGCGGAGATCTGTGATACTTCCCCCCCAGGCCCCACTGCGCTCTCACCTCCATATCATCCTGAGCACATCATGCTGGACGCTTTTATGTTAGATGAGTGCTGACTGTGATACTCCCCATCATTTCTCTCCACCCTTTTCCCAACTAATGATGTGCAATTAAAAGATCTGCTCTCCAGGCAAGGGTGGACCCCGGAGGGGACTGATGTGCATACTGGCCAGGTATCATCTGCTCCCTTCTTCTCTGGTTTTGCTCATTTTGCTTGTCGCCTGCAGTATGGGCTGTATTCAGAGCATCGCATGCAAGCCCCGCATCAGACGGGAGAACATTGTGGTGTACGAGGTTTCAGCCTCCATCGACCAGTGTCCCACCATCATCGAGGAGAACTCACCGATTGTGCTCCGCTACAAGACGCCTTACTTCAGGGCCTCGGCAGGGGTTGTGATGCCTCCAGTGCCCCGCAATGAGACCTGGGTGGTGGGCTGGATCCAGGCTTGTACCCAGATGGAGTTCTACAACACCTATGGGGATATTGGCATGTAAGTATGGCATCAACTTTTTACCACTGAAGGAGTTTTTGTGTGTGCACAACTCCCTTACACGACCCTGCACCTGCCCAAGGAGAGCACCCTCTCACTTTGTCCTCTCCTGTCCCCTCCACAGGTCCAGCTGGGAGCTACCAGAGCTGCGAGAGGGTCGGGTGAAGGCCATCAGCGACTCTGACGGTGTCAGCTACCCCTGGTACGGCAACACCACCGAGACAGTCACCCTGACCGGACCCACGTCCAAACCGTCCCGCCTGACGGTCAGCATGAACGACAACTTCTACCCCAGTGTGACCTGGGCGGTGCCCATTAGCAACAGCAACACGCCCATGCTGACCCACATCACCAGGGACCAGAGCTTCATCACCTGGCTGGTGGCTATGAACTCCGTCACCAAGGTAGGAGAAAATACACAGAGAGCAGCAAAGTATGGAGATGTTTGCTTGCTTTGAACTGACCGTAATGTAGTTATCTCTTCCTGCACTTTTATTTTCTGGTGTAAAGTTACAAAGTACGTCATCTTTGGCTTCAACTCTGCAGAATAAAGCCTATGCGGTGGATGTGCATCACAATGCTTACAGTTTTCATGTTTTGTCTTTGTGGAATAGTTATACTTTTGAGGCTATGAGGAGAAGGTTGTCAGAATAGCAATAAGAGCCAAGCAAGTCCCCATGGGGACTGAAAACTAATAGTAAAATACTTTTCTGAGAAAGATATTTACCAAAGCCACAGTAATACATAATTTATTAGGATGCACTTTAACTACATCTATTACTACTATTAGTAGTAGATGACAAAATAAACAATCAACTTGACCGGCTTCAAAAATACACTCATGTACTTGAAATACACTGCGGCCTGCATACATACAGGAAAACAAACATCATTCTTTCATGCACTGATCATTTTTTAGAGTTTCGCCTATAGATTCCATATCATATATTACCGGCTATTATATATATATATATACTAGTGCAAAGAAAATATCTAAAATACACATTTTTGTGTTTCTTTTTCTTTTTGTGTCAGTATAGTTCTCCTAAAGTTATTATTAGTAATTGCCTCATATACATACTTAGCATAACATTTAATTAAACTCGTAATAATTAAAATAATTAGCTTAATAGAAGCAGTATACTAGGGAAGATAAATACAGTATATATTAGCGATTTCGTTCACCCCATTCTTCTGTGTAGCGTTTTGCTAAATGAATGATACAGAAATACAAACTTATATACATATCTTTAAAGTAAGTTTTTCTCAAAAACTCAAGCCACAAACATACACCAAACATTTTGACAGAACGGTTTATTCATGTATCATTTATAGCTACATGTATTTCTTTCATTAATGCCTGATTTGCATTAAAACAATTCAGAAAACTTGAAATTAAACAAAATATTGTCTCTTTACCTGTATTCACCTGTAGTGTCTCCCCTTAAGTACAATACAGTGCAAAAATACTCCATAACAAACAAGTCACACAAGTACAAGTCCTACATTCAACATCCTATAGCTGATATTTTCCTCTCCTGTAGTGTCATAGGTGTTTGTGAATGTAAATGGTCTGCAAAGGCTAAAATCCGTGTGGGCTCTGGTTTCAGACAGAAGGTGAAAATAGGTGCTGCAGCACAGGCAGTATGAGAAAAATATAGAGCTTTTTGAACAGTAGATCATGGAAACATGTCACAGTAGAGGCACAAAATACAAATATGAACTTGAAAATGACCATAAAAGGGCCCCTTTAATGTCTTCTCTTGACGTTACGCTGCTCTCTTGCAGGAGCGCATTGTGCTGCAGACGGTGCGGTGGCGGATGCGTGTGGACATTGCCGTGGAGCCCGACATGCCTCTGGGCTCTCGGGCCTCGTTGGTGGGGCGTCCCTACCAGGAGCAGCCGCACATTCTTAACTACCAGGAGCCCATCCCTCCCAACGCACTGGGGAGGCCCAACGCCAACGACGCCCAAGTGCTGATGTGGAGGCCGCGGAGAGGGGCGCCACTAGTGGTCATACCGCCAAAATAGGAGCGTGGATTGGTTGCAAAGACAAATTGTTCCCTCTTACAGAAAAGGTGATGAAGCCTATCACAGAAGAGATGGTTTCCCTGCGCTCCTGATGCCAGCACTCACTGAAAGATTGAAGTGGACCATGAAAACAAGCCAGAATGGATATGGCACTGCACCGTATCAGAAATGGAAGTCGACTAAAAACTAGTAACAATGGCCCAGGTGGCATCAATGGCTTTTTTGGCCCCAGATCAGTTTTGGACTCCTGTAAAGAGTTCTGCCTGCTTTTTAGCCAAGAAGGAACGCTGTTTTTAGACTGCATCCTGCATCCTTATGTAGATCTTATTGCATGAGAGCGTGAGAGAGACACAAAGCTGTCCTTGAGAAGTTTAAGCATTTGTTTTGTACATTGATACCTGAAGACATTTTGATTGAAAGTCAGCCAAAAAAAAAAAAAACACAGACCCTGCGGGCTGGTTAAACCTCTTCAGTGCCAACAAAGGCCTTCAACACACTCAGTTCCAGAGTTACCGGATGTATTCAGAGAATTTAACAGAGACAAAGTATTATATGAGTCTTTTTAGGGTTAAGATTAACACATGCATCGATCAGATTGTATTAAGAGCACCCACCTTGCATAAAAGTCTGGAAGCAAAACCTGCTGGAGTTTTCACTGGAGTTTTTTTAATACACCATACTTATGCACACACATATTTTCAACTACATCGTGCAGCGGATATTTTATTTATATGGATGACAAACTATATCAGAGAGTAGGTAGACCACATGAAATAAGTCATTTCAGCTATGCCTTCAACAAGTGCGGTGTATATGACTTGTAATGGTGCCATACCACAAATGTAAGCATAGCTGGGAATGAGGCCAAATTGTACTCAGACTTAAAGGGAAAGTACACCCCCCACAAGATAGTCCTCACACCTTGTTGTTAGCAGTTTTATGCAGGACATTTCTTTTCCTACCTTATCACCGCACCAAAGGAAGCATACATCTAATCATGGAGGCTCCTATTAGCTCATCTTTAAATAGCTAACGCTAGAGCCGAGGAAGATGGCATTAACATTTTCATCTTGCTTTCTCCAGCCTCTGTTCAATAGCATTATCAAGATTATTTTTGTGTAGTGATAAAGTAGAAAGAAAAAAGTGACTTCATAAAACTGCTCTCAACAAGGTCTGTGGATTATCTCTAGTAACCCGGTCATGTATTCTGGAAATATGTATTATTGTTGATTTTGTCAAATGTAATTATTGGTGTTTTGAGAACCACAAGCGCCAACTAGTTCCATTAAACTGCATTCACATGACTAGTCGTAAAACAGCTCTGCGCTGGCGTTGCCGTTGTGTTTCTAAAGAGAGTCCGGTGCTGCCAGACTCAGCTAAAGAGCCACCATCGGTGTCGCACACTACTCAAACTTGTCGCTGAGCAGTCAAAGTTCAAATTATTTCAATTTTGAAATTGTTACCACTGACCTTTCGACATGCAACCAATCAGATGAAAGCTGTATGTAGGGGCCCAAGCTAACAGAGACGGTGTCCATAGAAATGAACCGCGCCCGACCGCTTGGTGAGCAAAGAGATGATCCTGTATCATGTGAATGCAGCTTTATACTGGATGAGGCAGTTACTCTATGGTGGGTATCTCCAAAAATCACCATCCAACACCTAAATAGTCCAGACTGATAGCACTGCAGGTAAGAGGGGAAATATGTTTTTTATATATTGGGGTGAACTGTCCCTTTAAGGTAGATTGGATGTGGCTCTAATCAGGACATGTTGCACTACTAAGCAACATCAATCTTCCTACGATCAGGGAATCTTAATGTACTCTTAATAGTTTCCTTGAATTAAACCAGACTGCATTTTGAAAATGATCGAATTAGTAACATTCTTTAACCCTGGTCCGTATGAGGTCAGCTTCTCCTCATATCGTATTATTTTGCAGTAGGCGGCTGCTGATAATCGCAGATGAATTTCCTGTGTCGTGGTCGGTCCAGTGGCTCGTGCTGGGCTCGGTCCAAAGCTCTGCCTGCCACTCCACACAGGAGTCACGTGACTCATCCTCCATCTGTGCTTCTCTCCAGGTTCACACCTCACCTTCCCAATCTGCCTGCTCCTATTCTCCCCTGTCTGTCCACCTCCTCACACACACTCTCCATCCAAACACACTCATTTGCTCTGACTATGCAAAGATTATCTGTGACTGTAAAAAAGGAGAAAATAGGGAAAATATGTATTTTTGTTCATCTGCCTAAATCAGTTTTTTATTTGTCAGGGTCATTGTTGAATAAAAATTGTAAATGTAAAGTACTCAAAGAGGTTAAAATCGGTTATATTGATTCATTTGTCGCTGCACCACAGCTCTGTCAGCCATCTGTTGCTATAGAGACTGCATTGGTTTTCCCAATGTGCTGCAACTGGAGCTGAGAAAAAACAGATCAAAAATATTCATGGGTGTGCCTAGCTCTGTGTGTATGCATCAGTGTGTATGTAAGAGCCTACACACACACACACACACACACACACACACACACACACACACACACACACACACACACACACACACACACACACACACACACACACACACACACACACACACACACACACACAGTGTTGATGTATCCATCCACTTAACTTTGAAGTATGAAAAAAAGATCAAGGCAGAGCCGGTTGTTTCAACATAAAAAAAGATGCCTTAATTTATTCATTTGTTCTCACACAAAGACCTTTATTTGCATTTCATTTAGATCAGAATGAGTGCTTTTGATATAAATGCTCAGACTGTGAGCAGCAAGGTCAACGCAGCCATATCCCATCTTATCTCATCTCATTTCAAAAGGACATTCAGCATCTTTGCCCAGAGGCACCCCCCCCCCCCCCCCCTCTCTGCAGCAGGTTTTCTCATTCCACCACTAGATGGAAGCTCTGTCGAGGAGTTTCCTCCCTCTGAGGCATGAGCTGTTAGCACCATGAATACCCTTTTTGTTTAGTATAAACCACTTTCCCTTCATCCCATTACATTTAAATACATTACCAGTATATTTAAATATATAAAATAATGGTTTTCAAATATAAGACATGGTTTAATCGTAATCCCTGTAAATTGCATTAACAGTTCATTTCCATAACTTTTATTCTGTCATTCACAGTCTTGGTGAGATTACTTTAGAAATGTATTAAGCATAAGATGCAATAAGTAATTTAACGATTTTGATAGCTTGAGCTAATTAATAACACACAAGCATTGTAAACGTCACAACAAAACTGATTACTTTACCACTTCTACTGCAAAAGTGTGAAGTTCTTCAATTGTATTTGAAATAAGATTGGACCAGATCATGAATTAATTTACCTATAAGCTTTTAACCAAAAATAATATAATGGGATGCAACCTTAGTAATCAACAACATTTTAAAACTAACTAATTAAATAAAAGGGTTTTTTCTTAGTAATTGTTACTGATTACAATTGCATTTATTTTGTTATTTAATTTAATAATTGCATGTAACGAGTTACTCCTGAACAGTAGTTGTGCAGACAATGAGTTTTACTGCCAGTGTCCGTTCACATGGAAAGTTATCTCCACCTTAGTCTTACTTTCTGTTAGTATTAAATAAGAAAAAGGTATTTCACATTATATTATTTTGTACAAAGCAGCATTCAGTCAGGAAACTGATGGAGAACATACAGCCCCAGCAGCCTCCATTTGTAGATGTTTGGCAGTGCCAGGTTTTATCACTTCCACATTTCCGGCTTGATTAATTGCTGCACGCCATACTTAATGTCACAGTTCATAGATTCCTGAAGGGTCTATGTCAGGTGGCAGACGTCACTCCTCTCTTGTAACACACTTCACAGAGGTCTCAGTTTAGACTTTTATGGCGCTGCTATTAGCAGGTTTGCGCTCGTTGCTGTAGAGAAATGTGGCGGCAATAACCAGCATTGCCCCCATGAAAAATAAACTAAGAGAAAGGTGGGAACAGAAAAAAAGAGAGAACAAAATAAAAGCATTAAAAGTTAATATAAACAAATAATAATTGTGTGATCATATCATGTCATGTTAAGAGGTCTATGCTAGCAGCTACGTGACTCTTATGTAGATAATTCGAGCTAAGTGCTAACACCAGAATGCTAACATGCTGACAATGCTTAGATGGTATAAATGTCATGTTGTTAAGTAGGTATAATGTTTTCATTGTTCACCATCTAATGGCATGTCATTCTTTTTTGAATGCTCATTGTACCGTAACCATAGAAGTCCAAAAACATCCCATTGGGCCGAAAGCCAAATACCCAGATAAAAAACCCTTCCATTGTTCCAAAGGCTCGTAGCTCCTAAATACTGAGTATACAGTGGGTTAAGCCAGTGGTTCTCAAACTTTTTCTGTCAGGCCCCCCCTTTGGAGAAAAAAAAAAGTCGGGCCCCCCCAACACAAGTCAGGCTCAGTGGCGGCGCCAGAGATTTATTTTGGGGGTGCTGTGGGGTAGCTTGATGTTTCATAGAGGGTGCTCAAACATTTAGGGTTTCCCATTAATGTACCGGTCGCTACAGTGGAATTTTCTACTGCAACAATCCCCACGCACATACACAGTGTGACAGTTACTATGAAGGCTCGATAATCAGCTCACGGCATATAGGTGTAAGCAGGGGTAAAGTGCTATTTTTATAAGTGGGGAGTGGACCTCACATAGGGGGGTCCGGGGGCAAGCTCCCCCGGGAAGATTTATTTTTAAATATTGAAGTTAAATGCATCAATCTGGTGCACTTTGAGAGCAAAATGAAGAGATCTATGGATACCTCTCTCAACACCCATATGAAACAGAACTGTAAACAGATTTACTTTTTCTTTATGGATATTTTACAAATCACCTTTTAAACTTTATTCTTTTTTTACTGTCATATAGTATTTCATACCTGTTTTTCATTTATTCTCTTATTTTGTTATAACTATAATGATCATATATAAACGTGTGCCTCGGAAAATAATTGTTTACATTAATGGTGACCAAAACGTTTGAGACCCACTGAGATAACACTCAGCCTGTCAGCCTCTCAGTCTGACAGGAGAGGACTCTCCTCCACTTTGTTGTTGAAAAAACTCCTTATATCCGTTAGCGTAGCTCGCTAGCACCAGAAGCTAACAACAACGATCTCCGGTACCGGTGCGCTCTCTCTCGCTCGTGCACGCACACAAAATGGCTCGTTCCACACACACACAGAGCCAAGCTTTAATGAAACACAGAGACCCAGACGTAATAGTACTGTACTGTGTCATATTATTTTCGAATCAATAATCTTTCAAATTATGATTCTTTTTTTTTTTTTTTTTTTTAATAACCATTTTTCCCCTGTCATGCCTCTGCGCCCCCCAGGGGGGGCGCGCCCCCCACTTTTGGAACCACTGGGTTAAGCCAATATGGCAAGCCATTCTATAGTTGTTAGATATTTTTGTCAATACTTCAAAACAATATAGTCGTTGAGCTAGATGAAAAATCACAGCATCATAAAAGTATGACACATTACCTGGGAACCACGAATGTCTGTAGTCATATATAATAGTTATATTTCAGTTTCAACTGACATACTGCAGTGTTTTCCTTAAACCCACACCTCTAGCATTAGTTAGGCATATTATGAGTAATTATTCTCAAATCCAAAAATGTAGCCTTGAGGGACTGTGGGTGAGCATGCATGATGTGTTTACCTTGTAGGGTTGAAGTCCTCCAACAGGAAGTATGAAATGAGTGTGGACACAATGATGGACAGAGAGGTGGCGAATCCTTTGAGGATGTTGTCTGCATATTTAATGACCACCGCTACGACCAACCCACCCAGAGCCTGCACGCAGAGAGTTTCAAATTACTCAGACAAACACGATAAACAGTGTACACTGAATTCATTTGATGACATTTCGATGAATGTAAGAATGAGAGAAATATAATGATCAAACCTGCAAGGCAACAACTGTGCAGGTGACGGTGTTGTAACCCTGAAACATTCCCGATTCTCTAACCCTCTCGCCGTCATAAACTGTCATTCCTACAATACCGAACACAAAGCCAAACAACCCTGAGGAGAAAAAGAGAGTAAATTGGTCAAATTTTAAAAAGCAAGTGTTATCGGTTTTCCTCCTTTGACATCCCCACTCTGCTCTGCCTGGAATACTGATGGACCTACTTTAGCTTGTTGCTAAAGTAAGGCTATGTGCTAGCTAGCTACTGCTGTTAGCTAGTTAGCTGTTAATTCAGTTAACCGGCTTCTGTTCTACTTTTCACATCTCACATAAGAGTTTTGACTGCCAGGAGGAAGACATTTACAGACCCAGGGTGGGGTCTGTAAATGGCGCCAGTGTCAATGCAGAACAAGGTTAGCAATATTAGCTAATTTGCTATGTTCTGAGGATTAGCTCATGCTCTATTTTTGGCATATTTTTTAGCTTTTAAATCATAAGAAATGCTTGTATAGCCTTAGCTCTAATAATTCCTTTTAGAAAAAATGTATAGAGAAATAACAAGAATAACAAGAAATTAAAAAGAAAATGAGGACAGTTAAACAGGATAACAGTGTAATAATGAAAATAAATTCATCAAAAAGCCTATCCCTTAACAAGGGAACTTTATTATGCTCTATTCATCACAAAAGGCGGCCATTTTTTAAATAACAACACGTTCAAAGTTAATACTTGATCAAATTTTATATTTGGATTTTACTATTCTATTCTAGGTTCAACGTGAACACGGAATTGACATTCATAGAGAGGTTCATTTTTATTATTTCATTATTTTTTTGTTAGTTTCAAAGTTTGTTAATTAACGTTAAACAGTCGTTTAATATGGTTTAATAATTCATCTTTGTTGGTAAAACTCAGCCTCAAGGTGTCAAGGCTTAACAGAGTTTAACATTTACTAACACACACACACACACACACAGCAGTGAATGTAATAGTGGGCCATTCCCACACCCACAAACTCCTCCTCTGCCTCCCAGTGGTTGCTTCGCTTGTGAATTTTCATGGTCACAAAAATCATTGAATTGAGAAGTTTCAACAGGAGGAGAAAAAGAGGAACAGAGAGTATGTAATCTGTGATCTTTAACCTCCTGCCCTCTGCTCTGCCCCATAAACTGAGATGGCCTCATCACACCAACCTGTAATTAGGGAGTGAGAAAGTTGTCTGAACCAACTTTTGTTGTTCTGACCGCCATTTGGGAACAAAGAACTCTTTTTAATTGTTTGTGAGACCATAAGGGTCAAATAACCGGTCAAGTGTAGCAAGTCTGTAGCTGGAGAGACCAAGAGAGGGAGGGCCTTAATGATGGAAATAAAAGCAGAGATTGACAAATATTTCTCTGAATCCAATTAAGGGTAGGTAAGTTTGAGAAACCGGCTCGAGATACACTTTTTGTTATATTCCATGGAATGCTCTTAACATCCCGATAGCAATGAATATCTTAAGTGCTTTGACAAAAAATTCATTAAAAAATGTCATCTGTGGAAGCCGTAGTACTGTAAAAAGCACGACCAATCATTTTAGCCGGCCCGGCTAAAATAACTGGATGGCCTACCTGCCTGTCAGCCTTCCATCTGTGCACAAACTTATCTCGTGCCCTCATTGGTCATGTGCGCGTTCGTGTGTGTTGGAGGAGGGGCTCTATAAGGAAGTGGCAGATTTTCTCCGGTTGTGTATTTTCAAATTCTAGCGATCTCGAGCCGGTTTCTCAAACTTACCTACATGTACCCTACCTTTAAGTTTTGTTAAATTTTAGATCAACTTTCAAAGGGAACATTTTATTTCTTCTCTTATTAAATGTATCATCATTTCATATCAAAGATAAAAACAAGATAAGAGAAGCTGTTATGATATAACATTTCACCAGATTGAGAATATGGTCATTTCAGCTTTGCTTTCCATAACCATCTTCTGGTGATAAGTTAGCTATGTGAAAGTCCTTTTTTTTTACACATTCATTCACATTATTTTCAAATTAGGCTAACCCATAACAGCATAGTATTTTTTTTTCATCTTCTGAAGTAGTGTTGAGCCCTCATCACAAAATAATACATAAATATTTAATATATGTATATTTTATCTTCACAAGCTTCATTAGCTCCTTCAGTGTGAATGTAGAGTGGATGGGGAGTTTCATTTGCACAACTGGCAGAGATGCTGTGATTAATGCATGACTAAAGAGGAACATACAATAGAGGCTTGCAGCTATAAGAAGAGCCATTCTGCAAAAGTAACACAATTAGTGCTATTGGAAAAAACTGGAGTGACACCTCCTTATCTATGAATATGCATGTGTCAACATTAGGTATGACAGTGAAACATTAAAATGTCAGTTAGGATTTTATGATGCTGCACATGTATACTGGTTGAATTACACCTTAGATTGGCTCTACTAGTTTGATCTAACAGCTTAGCAGATATATAGCAGCTGTTTTTCTGGTACAATCTTCTAAAAATAATAGTTTATGAGTACTTAAAAGCTGTAACTAAGGTCTTTCTCAATCTTAATAAACCATTAATTAACCCTTAATAGACCAATAGTATCATTAAAGCCAACGTTTGTGTTGCCAGGTTGCCAAAATTCCCTTTCCCCAGCTTGAACTTTTCAGTTAAATGTGCTTTGTAGGCATGACAATTTAGAAGATGTGTTGCTATGCAGTGAGCTACAATAAAGAATTTGTATTGAAAATTATTAAACCTTTTTATCAGTTAATGTTTGTTTCATTTCATTTAATTTCAAACCTTTATTTATGCAGGTGAATCCCATTGAGATCATTGATCTCTTTTTCAAGGGTGACCTGCTGCAAGTAGGTTCCACATGAATACATATAAACATAACAGAAAAACAAAAAGGACATCATACAGCATATTTACAGCGACTACAGTTTACATAGCTAGTAACATTTACAGGTTCCAACAGTTTCCGATTGGATAGCATCTATCCTTGCTTTAAAAACATTTAGTGGAACCAAATTGCTCAGCTTCCATTCCTTTTGCAGACTGTTCCAAGTTAGCGGAGCTGCGCATCTAAAAGCTATCTTCCCTAAGACAGTCCTAGCAGTTGGCACATTTAATAAAACCACAGCATTCGATCTCAGGCAGTAGCCACTTACAATTCGCCGTGAGATCAGGGAGCAGATGTAGGATGGAAGTTTCCCTAACATGGCTTTGTATATAAAGATGTACCAGTGACTGAGCCTCCGTACAGTTAAGGCCCAGACACACCAGGCCGAAATCGGCCGTCTTCGTTAGTCGGACGACGAAGCGTGCCCTGTCGACCAAACTCAATTTGGTGTGTCCCGAACCGTCGGCCGTGACACGCCTTATTTGGCCTTTCACGGCCGATTCAACATGTTGAATCGGCCGTGCGTCGGACACAGGCAGTCGGACCAAGAAATCACTCTGATTGGCTGTTCAGCTAGCGAAGCAGTGCATGAGAAGCGAAACGGTTGCTTGAGAATGTCTTCCACAAGCAACACTCCAATGGCTGATAGCTCCAGTACCGCACGAAACATGTTTTCGATGGACGAGAGTGAAAATGGAATGCACACGCTATTTGTTGTTTGTTTAGATCACGCAGTCTGTTCTTCTTCTCTGTCTTCCGGTTGTTGCCTCTTTTGAATGACGAATACACACTACCGCCGCCTGCTGGTAAGGAGAGTTATTGCCACTCACGCATGCGCAGTTCGTACGTGCTCAGCTGAAGTCTTTGCGGTGTGTTCCAGTGCGACACATGGCCAAGACGCAGGAGAACACGGCGACGCAACAGTCGGCGTCGGCGTCGGCGAGTTCTCTGGTGACTGCTTGGTGTGTCAGGGCCTTTAGTGAAAGCAAACCTGCCCTTGCATACAGGGTACAGTGATGGGTTAATACTTTACAGTTTGTCACAAATCTCAGTGCATCTAACTTGATCAGGCAATGGGCAGGTGCATTCATATAGATCAGATCACCATAGTCCAGTACAGGTAAAAAGGTCACAGTGACTAGCCTTTTTCTGGCCTCAAGTGAGAAACAGGACTTGTTCCTGTAAAAGAAACCTAGCCTAACCCTCAGTTTTTTAAGCAGGTTATTGACATGAAGTTTAAAAGTGAGACAATCATCAAGCCAGATACCAAGGTATTTGTAACAGTGACCAAAATAACATGAATTTGTGTCCACGTGTGAGGGCAGGCTGTTCTCATACAGTGTTCGTTCAGTACTTACAGTATGCCTATGAAAAGTGGTGTGCTAATTCCTTTTCTCTAATTCTAACCAAGTCGTTTGGTTGCCTAAACAAGCACTGCTCAGGTGCACTGTTTGCTTGTGTTGCTGGATAAGAACCCACAAAGATTTAAAAAAGAACTATGAGAATATGTTGGCCAAACACACACAGGTTGCTGCTCTTTGTGTAGCACTAAAAGGTTTGTGTCATTTAAAGCAAATGCACCAGCACTTAAAATGGTTTGACTTATTAAAAGGTAATGTACTTGCAGGATTATTTCTGTCTGAGTATGTGTCTTCATGGATGATTGCACTCTTTGTAAGTCGCCTGGATAAAAGCATTGCTAAATAATATGTAATGTTATGTAATGTAATATACTTCCTCACTGCAAATAGGGGGACCAGGTGTCCTGCTTTGTGTGGGACTGCTCCAAATTTTATTTTATCCAATGGCAGTGTAGAAATCAAGAGAGGAACCATTGCCTGCAGTCAGATGTCAATCAAGCAGCTCACACAAGGGCTCGCCAACCTGTCACCAGTCTCCTTACCTACACTGAGAAAACTGAAACGCTGACCTCAACTAAATGTAAGTTAAAGTTGAACCTTTTTTATTTAAAGTTGACCTATCATGCTATATTTAAATGATATATTGTAGGGCCATACCTATATAAGGTATATTTATACGTTTCTGTTTTCAAAATACCAAACAGATCATGATTTTAAGCCATGCCTCATTTAGCTCTATTTGTTGTTCTCCAGCACTGTTTTTGCAGGGGGCTGATTCTGTGAGCTGCAGCTGACCACGCCCCCTGCAGGAGAGGGGAGCGCGCTCTGAACAGTTGCTGGGCTGTCAGAAGAGGGGGAGAAAAATAGATCTCCGTCTTCCGTGTTTTATTATCTTATTATATAGAGTCATTATTAATTTGTTTTAAAGCTCAATAAATAACAAAGAAGACCTTTGACCGGCACTTTTCTAATTTTGTCCGGAAGATTTAAACTTTAACGGACATCTTGACCGGCGAAAGTAACTGAAACTGAAACTCTGCCGCACGGTCCCCTCGTTCCTTGGAAGAGGCGGAGAGGTGGGTGTTTGTCATCTGCTGGTGGACTAACCGGAGAGAATTACAGTGCTTGCCTCGACGGGGAGGGATTGCATTGAATTAAAGCAGCGGGAGCAAGCGCTTGCCTCGGGGAGGGAGAAAAAAAGCCACAGCGGAGAATAAACAGAAGGGTAACCATGGTAACTATGCGCGGGAAGTCTTCTTCGCTGCTTTTGTGGCAGACTACAGCGCCACTTACAGGCCTGGCATATGTACTACAGCCTCTCCAGCGCTTTCGAGCGGCAATGGCCGGCCGTGGCCCAACCCCACATTCCCCTGATAGGTGGAGAGTTGGCCCAATAGCCGTAGCGCCACTTTACTGACGTCAGTAAAGTGTTCAAATCTGGATCAGTTTTCATCAGATCCGTTGCAGCCCCTTTTTTAGAGATTTGGGTATGGAGGAAAATAGAGAGGGTTGTGTTTTCTGACACTTGGTGAGTTCCCTGGAACACCGGGGACACATATTCATGTATAAAAGACGTACAAAAGTCCATTTTGCATGATAGGTCCCCTTTAAGGTTCAACGTAATATTATTGCTTTCAACTAACTTAATACAGTTATGTGAAATTTGTTGACATAATACATTTAATTAAAGTCAACGTTTCAGTTTTTCCAGTGCATGTCACGCCCTACTGGAACAAAGCAGTACAAGCTACCACTGCACCATGCACTTTTTAGCGGAGTATGATGGAAACTATTAAAAGAAAAGGATTTAATCATGTGTGAAGCCAGTGGTAGGCAAATCCCATGGAGTTTTCTTTTGCAATCTTGCATGGAGGTAATATGATTTGAAGCGACACACTACATGCAGGACTTAATTTCTAAACTAATAGTTTCAGTAGACGTTTTTATTCTATCCGTTTATATGGAGATTATATCGAAATTGAAAATACCTTTCAGCGTCGCAGTAACTTGTCCCACATTGTCCCACACAAACATACTCTTTGTCCCAGATTTGGCTTGTTGGAACCTGGTCACCCTACTGCAAAGAGGGCCAGGCCGCCAAAGATGTCCTGGCTCCAAAAAAGTGAAACACTTTCTTCCAAATAACAACCCCTCTCTGTCTCTTTTTGTCTATACATGTAGCACTTGAAGTAAATCAACATATTTAATGAAGATAATACTTGCTTGATTCTTGCACCTTTCTGACTTGTACCATACAATTAAATGCATACGCATAGCATCAGCTGATTAAATGTAATGTACATTTACTCAAGACATATAAGTCCCAAACATACAGAGGCCTTGGTTACTCACCCAGCTGTATGTTTCGGACCCACACACTCTGCTTAGTCTCCTTGAGGATTTTCTCAAAGTAAACTCCAGCAAAGCCACTGGACAAACAGGCCGTGAGCACAGCCATCAGCCCCACAAACTGTGAGCCTGCAGACAGGACCACCTGCTCAGAGTCCACTTCAGACTCTGTGGGCCACTGAGGAAGGGGAGGACAGAGAGAGTCCTTTACATGTGTATAACTCACTTATGAACTAAACATCTAAGGAGTCTATTAAGACATATTCCATGTTAATGAAGCAGATAAGCAGAAAAACCTGTGTTTTCTCAAATTGCTCAGGGACTTGGTGTCGCTGGTACCTGCACTAGAGTGACTCCAGCCATGAGGAACAGTAGGGAGAGCCACTGGTACAATCCTAACCTCTTCCCCAGCATGGAGACAGAAAACAGTGCTGTGGTGAGGATCTTCAACTGGTACGTAACCTATGTAGAGAACGACAAAAACACACCAGTAAGATAGAAAGCAAGGTAGTCAGGTATGGACAGGGGAACATCAGTTAGATACAAGGATTGTGAATAAGTCAAAAAGAGTCTTTCGTCCTGAAGTCTTTTGTCTACTTGCCTGCATGTCTTAATGAAGGGATTTTACTCTTTCTGAAAATCTAGAGGTTTTCGGTCAAGAATCAAAGGTAGATGGATATTCTGTACTAGTTCGAACAATGCCTTAACAAGCAGAAGCCTCTGTTTCTGAAAAGTTTGAAATGCGAAAGTGCCTAGTATTCTTTAGAATGGCCAGTCCAACTGTATGGAAGTCGATGAGAAGATTGCCCTGCTTCTGACTTGATGTATTGCCTCCATAAACACTTTCCTTATGTCTTTATGGTCTTAATGACTGGTTTCAAGTCTTGTTCCCTACAGGTGTTCATTTAGTTAATTATGGTGCCATTTAGAGGTTGGTTAAGGGTGGGACTAGCTTGTGATTGACAGGTCTGGTTTGGGGCGTTGTTATGGTTTCCTTCTTACAACTTTAACCCTTTCACAGTTTGTTTTCAGTCAATAGCAGTAAGTTGTAACATTTTGGTTGCATACAAAAATATTTTCTCTACCCTCTGAGGTCACTTCAGGTTACAAAAATCAAAGATGGCGATGGCCAAAACAGTTGTCCGCAAACCAAAGGGGTGAAATCCATGTATGTATGAGGAGAACTGGATACAGTGTTGGAGGCGGGACCCCGTTCAATCCTATGAGAGTTGCTCAGTGGGGCATTATGCCAAAATGGCCTGACTCTCAAGAGCATGTCATTACGCTTCGCCTAAGCCAAATCTGCAACGTCAGTACCGATCTTTGCTCAGTCAAATTAATGGAGAGAGAAAATCACTCGGATTTGGCTTGTAGCGCCTGTCACAACTATTGGACCCTGATGGCTTAAATAAGGGCTATTCCTCTCTTTATCAATGAAAGTAAATTGGAAAAAGTATTTTTGGGCCCAATGCATCACAGACTGACACATAAGTTGTAGTACCACTGTTTGGGCACTCCGAACATTTGCTTTAACGTCCAGCGCACTTCCTGGGGGCTTGGTAAAATCATGTTAAAGGTCCTCTAGTTATATACAGTCCAAGATACATCAAAATCAATATTTAAAGGGGACCTATCATGCAAAATGCACTTTTGTACGTCTTTTATACATGAATATGTGTCCCTGGTGTTCCAGGGAACTCACCAAGTGTCAGAAAACACAACCCTCTCTATTTTCCTCCATACCCAAATCTCTAAAAAAGGGGCTGCAATGGATCTGATAAAAACTGATCCAGATTTGAACACTGTCCTAACGTCAGGAGAGTGGCGCTACGGCTATTGGGCCAACTCCACCAATCAGGAGGAGACAGCCACGGCCATTGCCGTTCGAAAGCGCTGGAGATGCTGTAGTACATATGCCAGGCCTGTAGATGGTGCTGTTCTCACAGAATCAGCCCTTGCAAAAACAGAGCTAACATTTTTCAAATTGAGCGAAATGAGGCATGGCTAAAATGCATGATCTGTTTGGTATTTTGAAAAAAAAAAAGTATAAATATGCCTTATATAGGTATGGTCCTACACTATATTATTCAAATATAGCATGATAGGTCCACTTTAACAAAACCAACAGTTTTGAAGTGTGTGTAAGTTGCTTTGGACAGCTAAATGACATGTTGTTAATTTACACGAACTTCTGCCTGCTATCTCCACCTAAAGATCCCCCTCGCCATCAAAACATAGACAATGTTTTTTCCCCACAGACACATACCAAGCACTTTAAAAGTGTTACAAAGTAAGGCAACAAAGTAGGCAAAAGCCAAACCATACACTGGAAAAACTGAAACATTGACTTAAATTAAATGTATTATGTCAACAGATTTCACATAACTTTATTGGGTTAGTTGAAAGCAATAATATATAACTGAAGTCCTTACAAGTACACCAACACTCACACACTCCTGGTGAACCTGAGGCAGCTCATTCATGAGTTACCTGATACGTGGCTGCGTCCAGGTTGGATAAGGCGACATAGAGCAGATTGTTCTGCAGTGTGTAGATCCCCGCAGGAATGGCCAGCTTCAGGGTCTCCACGGGCTTGTTCACAATCTCCTCCTTCAGCAGCCGCACGCTGAAATCTGGCAGACAGAGCGTTGTTAGATGGGACCACCCAGGGATTGAAGAGAAAAAGTTGGTAAAAGGCCTTACTCACTGTTCTCCATGAAGACGATGAGGGTGCAGACCAGAATTTTGAGCACCTCGGCTGACACCACGGCGGAGGAGGCCAGGTAGCGCGGGCCGTCCTCCTTCAGGGTGCGGGAGTACCGCATGGTGAGCACCAGAGAGGTGGTCTGAAACACCAGGACCCCCAGAGACACATACTTTAGCCTGGAGGAGTGGGCCGGGGGCAACACCATCGTGGAGGACTCAGGCTCTGAGGTAGAAGACAAGGACAAGGTCTTTGGGACAGACAGAAGATATAAAGAGAGAACAAAGTGTGGTTCAGTCAGAGGAACAAGGCTCAACCCTCCTACCAATGAGAGACTAATGGAGGGTGTCCTACAGCATGAAACAAACTTCTGCGTTGGGACATTTCTGTGCAATATTACTCAATAAAATAAAAATGTGCAACTATGCAGTCACATTTGTTCTATTTCTCTTTCTTCTTGCAGTATTTTTATGATGCATTATTGGAGGGGCATGGGACTTGGGTAGCTATTCTGCATATGACAATAAAGCCTTTGACTCTTGGATTTGAAACTATGAAGCTAGCCTAAATCCTTAATCATAAAAACTATCGCATCAATATCTCATACACTAACTAGGTTTGGGAAATACATGTATGTATTTTATGCTACACAAGAGAGCTTTAAGAATGCAACAGAGCTGATCATCATGAACAAAGCAAAATATTATATAATAATATATAATATATGTATTTGAGTTGTGTAAGGTGACACAAAATAAATAAGAAAGTAAACCTTAGTTCAATTCAAAGGAGGATAGAGTGGGGGTCTCTGAAGACCCTGAGAGGAGGACATTTAGGACATTTAGGAATGCTGGTCAGTATTTAAAAGGCAGTTAAACAGAGTGCAGCCTGGGGCACTGCAGGGCATTCCTGTTAGTGACCCACATAAAACAAAGATCAGAGCAGAACCAGGAATTATGGGGACAGGGTCAAAAACATATAGACTGTTTTACAGCACAATAAGTTCAAAAGGAAAAATTGTCATATACTCTATACAAATATTATCTCAAATGTCAATCGTAAGGCTGAAACTTAAAATGTACAAATGAGGCAATATCTTAAAGGGGCCCTATTATGTTCATTTCCATGTTCATATTTGTATTTAGTGTCTCTACTGTTCAAAAAGCTCTTTATTTTTCTCATACTGCCTGTGCTGCAGCACCTCTTTTCACCCTCTGTCTGAAACCAGAGCCCAGTCTGTTCTGATTGGTTAGCTGGCCGGATCTGTTGTGATTGGTCAACCGCTTAGAGATGTCCCGCCCCTTACCATCACGTACAATTTGTCGGAGCACGAGCCAATAGAAGGGCGGGTGTTACATAGGGACGGAGTGGCGCAGTAGCGCAGTGGGCTGTGCGTTGATCATCAGATCAAGGGTGGCGTCGGGGAACTCCAGTTCGAAACCTGCCCCCGCCGCCACCGCGTCAGGCCGTTGTGTCCTTGGGCAAGACACTTCACCCGAATTTGCTCCTGTGGGTACTGTCCACAGTACATGACCGTTACATGTATGATATGTGTGTAATGTGTACTTGTAAAGCGCCTTGATGACTTCGAGGTGTGAAGATGGGCGGATTGGCACAGTGGGCTGTGCGTTGATCATCAGATCAAGGGGACGTTGGGGAACACCAGTTCGAAACCCGCCGCTGCGTCTGTAAAGCCGTTGTGTCCTTGGGCAAGACACTTCACCTGAATTTGCTCCTGTGGGTATTGTCCACAGTACATGACCGTTACATGTATGATATGTGTGTAATGTGTATTTGTAAAGCGCTTTGAGCATCTGGAAAAGCGTTATAATAAATGTAAGGAATTATTGATAGTTAGGTCCCGTTTTTATTAACATATGTGAGTTTTGAGATTTTTCCAAAGGAATTTTTGGATTATTTGTACCATAAATCTGAAAATACTGGCAACAGCCTTAAAATGATCCATATCCGCCATGTTTTCAGGAACAAAATGTGCTTTGCATCAGTCTGTGAATAATGTAAACATACCCCTCTGTAAAAACGTCCAAACTATAGAAAGGAATTGAACTGGAAAGTTTGTAAGTGATAGTGAAGTGAAGATTCCTGGTCAAGCTAGGTCAGAGAAGCCAGTGAGAAAAAACCTTCAGTCTGAAAGAACACATGCAAAATAACCCCAAATCTCCAGAGTGACTTGTGACTCAGCATGAGTCACAAGTCACTCTGGAGATTTGCTGAGTCACAAGTTGTCAAGGCTTCCTCAGTCAGCAAGTTTGATGTCGTTTTTACTGAAACGGTTTGTATCTCATCTCTCAGCCTTCCACAAAGCCTTTGTTGATTGTTTAAAGGGGACCTATCATGCAAAATGCACTTTTGTACGTCTTTTATACATGAATATGTGTCCCCGGTGTTCCAGGGAACTCACCAAGTGTCAGAAAACACTAATCTCTAAAAAAGGGGCTGCAACGGATCTGATACAGACTGATCCAGATTTGAACACTTCTATGTCGTCACAGAAGTGGCGCTACGGCTATTGGGCCAACTCTCCACCTATCAGGGGAATGTGGGGTTGGGCCACGGCCGGCCATTGCCGCTCGAAAGCGCTGGAGACGCTGTAGTACATATGCCAGGCCTGTAAGTGGCGCTGTAGTCTGCCACAAAAGCAGCGAAGAAGACTTCCCGCCCATAGTTACCATGGTTACCCTTCTGTTTATTCTCCGCTGTGGCTTTTTTTCTCCCTCCCCGAGGCAAGCGTTTGCTCCCGCTGCAATGCAATCCCTCCCCGTCGAGGCAAGCACTGTAATTCTCTCCGGTTAGTCCACCAGCAGATGACAAACACCCACCTCTCCGCCTCTTCCAAGGAACGAGGGGACCGTGCGGCAGAGTTTCAGTTTCAGTTTGTTTCGCCGGTCAAGATGTCCGTTAAAGTTTAAATCTTCCGGAAAAAATTAGAAAAGGGCCGGTCAAAGGTCTTCTTTGTTATTTATTGAGCTTTAAAACAAATGAATAACGACTCTATATAATAAAACACGGAAGACGGAGATCTCTTTTTCTCCCCCTCTTCTGACAGCCCAGCAGCTGATCAGAGCACGGCTCACCTCTCCTGCAGGGGGGCGTGGTCAGCAGAATCAGACCCGTAGACAGCAAACAGCACATAGAGCGAAATGAGGCATGGCTAAAATGCATGATCTGTTTGGTATTTTGAAAACAGAAACGTATAAATATACCTTATATAGGTATGGCCCTACAATATATCATTTAAATATAGCATGATAGGTCCACTTTAAATTACTATTTTAATCCATAGGCTGTCATGCATTAATGTTTAGGTTGGGAGTATTGAGATCATTATTACCGGCCTTGTATCTGGGGAGTCCTGGAGCCTTGCAGACAGACATTCTTCCCTCTTTTGCGTTACATTTCCTGACTGAGGCATCTCTGAACAGCCGCTTTCACTTTAATTCGTCACCTCATCCACCTGCCATACAATTTTAAATAATATCTTGTCGGCAGAGAGTATAGTACAAGGCAAACCATGCTAAACTTCTGCAGCGATGTCCCTTCTGCAGTCCGTCTCTTCGAAGTGAAGAGGAACTGAGGCACGTTGGCTCTTTTTAATAAGGTACAACTGCAGAGTATCAATAGTATTCAAATTGCTAAGTTGAGGGACAAAGTCCACGAAGCAACATCATAAAGTGCTGGTGTCACAGGTATCCTTATTAGAGAGGATATACAACAAGCCACGAAGGCCAAAAAAGTGTTGACAGAACAAGGGGTGGGGGTGTGTTCAACACACTGCCCTCCTTATATACGTATGTGGGAGCTGCTTAGCGGAGGGGCACGGCTGCACAATCCCTCTCTCTGTGTGTGTGTGTGTGTGTGTGTGTGTGTGTGTGTGTGTGTGTGTGTGTGTGTGTGTGTGTGTGTGTGTGTGTGTGTGTGTGTGTGTGTGTGTGTGTGTGTGGTGTGTGTGTGTGTGTGTGTGTGTGTGTGTGTGTGTGTGAGTGCAGTGAGTGTGTGTATCCCACCCAACAAACTCTCCTCTCTTTTCAAGCACTTTTCTAAGAACACTATCGACTTTCATTTTCAGTTGCCAGTCACAAGGCTTCTCACACTCTGTTCATTTTTGGTTTTTGCTTAAATGTAAAGATGGAAAGTTATTTAATAAAGACACAACAAGCAACACTTAAGTACAATGTTTCATTTTAAGAGTTTGGGCTATTTTGCTTCCATGACGTGTGTTCTTTTAGGCTAGTGTGGGGGGGGGGAATCTAATAGTCATTGAGGTGTTCATTTAACTTTCTTTGTATTTTTAAATATATCATTGGATAATGCACCATATGCATACCATCAAAAAAAACGTGTTATTCTTCATGGCTGTTGTCGACAGTCTTTTCTAATTTATGGAGTGATCAAAGGAGAAATCCCAAATTCCCTCATTAAAAACCTTTTACTATTATGTATCAACAAAGTAGACAGCATTTTGAACCAACCAATGTTCACATTTCTGTTCTAGAAATGTACGGAAATAAGCGCAGATTTATTAAAGGGACCCTATTCTGCTCATTTTCAGGTTCATATTTGTATTTTGTGCCTCTACTGAATGTCTCCATGCTTTAATGTTCAAAAAGCTCTTTATTTTTCTCATACAGCACCTCTTTTCACCCTCTGTCTGAAACCAGAGCACAGTCTACTCTGATTGGTTAGCTGGCCGGCTCTGTTGTGATTGGTCAACCGCTTAGATATCTCTCGCCCCTCAGCCTATATCACGTACAATGTGTTGGAGCGCTAGCCAATAGAAGCGCGAGTGTTACATAGTGATGTCACTATGTTACTGAAGTAAACAAAGGAGTGTAATGGAGGCGTTTCAGGCAGCCTATGTCAGGTTTGTGAGATCCTTATGTACCTGCCACTGAATGGGAAAAGAGTCCAGATGTTGTACTACAGGTTAAATGAACAGAACACCTGCATCGTCTAACACAGTGAAACGTTTGCAGGGAAACAAAATGGGAAAGACCTGAGCTTATCACAGGAAGATGTCAAGATGCAAATTAATACTGTAAGACAATGTGATATGTGCCTCCATCACAGAACGGCCCTGCAGGGTCCAAAGTTTAAGCATTCCCCCCCCCCCCCCCAAGACTTCACAAAGTTATTCAAAGAAACACGTACCAACCAGGAAGAGACTCAAAATTACCACAAAGAGACCAAATCAATGACTAAGTCTCAGTGGTTCTCAAACTTTTTCTGTCAGGCCCCCCCTTTGGAGAAAAAAAAAAGTCGGGCCCCCCCAACAGTCAGGCTCAGTGGCGGCGCCAGAGATTTATTTTGGGGGTGCTGTGGGGTAGCTTGACGTTTCATAGAGGGTGCACAAACATTTAGGATTTCCCATTAATGTACGTGGAAATGGACCAATCTGCACAATGACTACTTTTACTTTTGGTACTTCAATATATTTTGATGCTAATACTTTTGTACTTTTACTTGAGTAACATTTTGAATGCAGGACTTTTACCTGTAACACAGTATTCCTACACTCTGGTACTTTTACTTTAGTACACAATCTGAGTACTTATCCCACCTCTGTGATACCCATGAATAAAGTATATGGATCAAATGACGGAGCCTAGCACATTCCCATGGATGCACAGTAGAGTAAATGATAGGCCATCTATAACTAAGTAAGAGCTGATTGAGCTGCCATCTAGGTGGAACAGTTGTCTGTTTGTTTAAATGGGAGTTGACCTGAATAAACATTCACATTCACATAATCAGGATGTAGATCCGTCACGAGGCAAAGTGGGAGGGAGAGGAGCGAGTAAATAAATCAAATCAATAGTTTTTATTAAAGTGCAAATATCTCATTTCACGCTTCTCTGATTGTTATTATTACTTACTACAGCTAATAATAATTTGATGAGACTGTGCCTGAAGGTATCTTGAAAGCAACGCCAAATTATCCCCACCAATATTTAAATATGTCCTCCCGAATATATTGGTAATAAATATAGGCTAAATTGAAACAAATGTGCTATGCCTAAACAGGTAATAACGCACCACCACCCAAATAAACGTGATAAGAAATAAAAAGCAAATGTAAATATAGTAACAAAAAAACCTCTTCATCATTTTTATAGTAGTTAGGTGTACTGTAGTTTGGTTAGTCCACGTGGAGTTGCCGTACCTCAGCAGAGGTCTCGCCCAGCTGACTGTATTAATTAAATCACAACTTTGTTCTTGTTGTATTACTTTTTCCCCAAAATATTACAATTTCTGAGAGAACACATATGTTTTGAATGTACATAAAGTTTTGGACATGAATACAAATATTGCTTTAAATCAGACTTTAGTTCCACCTGGAGTAAATTCACAAGCTACCCTGCAGTATACAAACTCATTCAAACTAGCTGCACCTCTACCAGCTTTGATAACACTTTAATGATCAATCATTATAAAACATATCATATATATTATTCTGAAATGGACCAATCTGCGCAATGACTACTTTTACTTTTGGTACTTAGCCTAACTATATTTTGATGCTAACACCTTTGTACTTTTACTTGAGTAACATTTTGATTGCAGGATTTGTACTTCTACCAGAGTATTCCTACACTCAGGTACCTACTTCTACTTTAACTCAAGTACAAGATCTAAGTAGCCTACTTCTCGCACCTCTGCCTATACATAAATAAATCCATGCATGCATAAAAAAATGTCCCGTTATTAAGTTGGGGGAGGACCCCAAGACCCCGGTCCATGTACAAACATCCAACGCCCGTGCTTGATCAATTACAAAATAAAGTCGCTACACTAACAAACCCATAACAAATATCTCCTATTGAGCATATTTCTGCTTTTTTAAATAGGCTAGTCTAACTTTCCCCTCCGAGAACCCCTTCCTCCCGATCCCCCCATCACAGTCTCTTACCTGTCGGACAGTCTCAGCTGGAGACGCGGTGAAAGTGTCCAGATGCACATCCGCTCACATTCTTTAGTCTTCTCCTTTTTGCTCCCTAAACACGTATGATTCCACTCCTCAAATTAATCGGACTGATAATGAATCAGTGAAACAGAGAACTCCCTCGAGCTGGGACATGTCGCGGTCCACAGGACTGAGTCTCTCTGCTGCAGGGGCGGATCTAGACAAATATTCATGGGGTGGCAAGAGGGTGGCAGGAGAATTTGAGGGGTGGCATCCCCTGGCAGAAGTATATGCTGATTTAATCGCAGTCATATCAATCAATGTTAACTTGGAAAGCCACAATATTTATATTTTAACTCAATAACATCAGGATGCATTATTGTGGCACATCAGTAAAGCCTTTAATAGAGATATATAAAGATGGCAGACATAATTGAATGAATTTTAACTGAACAATAACTGAATGAGTTTGTTTCACTCTTAGACCAGCAGGGGTACCACATATATGCAGACTGCTACAATAAGTACATTAATTAACTGTCTCATCGATGTTTGTCTAAATTAATATGATAACATTAACAATCATATTATTCCTATCAGCTGTCAATCACTGTTATGATTCACATATTCAGTGTTATTATTAAATAAACTATATTTTTTGGAGGAGTTAATGATGAATGTTCCTCAAGATGCTTGCTCACCCTCCTTCAAATTTGAAAGACAAGTAATTACTATCATCATATATAAAAATTCAAAAGAATCAAAAGAACAGTTCAGCGCTCCACAACGTTATTGCAAACAGTTACAACCTTGACTTTACATCAGAAAGAACAAACATTAAAGGGGACCTATCATGCAAAATGCACATTTGTACATCTTTTATACATGAATATGTGTCCCCGGTGTTCCAGGGAACTCACCAAGTGTCAGAAAACACAACCCTCTCTATTTTCCTCCATACCCAAATCTCTAAAAAAGGGGCTGCAACGGATCTGATAAAAACTGATCCAGATTTGAACACTTCAATGACGTCACAGGAGTGGCGCTACGGCTATTGTATGGGCTCAGAACAGTCTCATAATACACACATGCACACAGAAGGATTCACACTTGTATTTCATGATCCGCAAAAGGATTCACACTTGTATTTCCGGATCCACACTTGTGTTTGTCAATGCACACACAAATGTGTTCCGTTTCATATACATGTAAATAAAATCCAAATACAGAAAAAAGTTTTACATATGTATTTTTGATCCTCACATATTTGTTTTCCGTTTAAAACCTCTGAACCTGCAAACACAAACCGCTTTCTGTGCATGGATCGCTGTGCATTCGTGTGTGGGTTTTTTGAGACTCCCCTGACGGTCACCCGATTCGTACTTTTTTTCGTATTTTTTCTATCTATAGCCAATCAGATGTCTCCTCAATTCTAAGCCAATCACATCAGCGCGCCCCCACGAGGGTAGATTTCTTGCGTTCATGACGGAGCGCTTCATGTACGCATTTTGCGCTGTCCGGAGCTGACAGGTCCATGGAGCCTGCCTGCAGGCACTAATCTCAGGACACTTCCACTCTCAGTACATTGCCACTTTCCGAGCAGGAAATGCACGCAAATACAAGCCTTTATATTATTAAGGTACAGTGCCACTTTCCGAACCATTAATGAATGCTTGTGTACACAAAAACGGCAGGCAAAACCGTTTGAAATGTGTGTTTCCTGTATGGCGAATACAGCTGCTTTATGTCTGTATGAAGTTGTTGTGAGTGTGGAGGGAGCAGCTACAGGTTAGCTTAGCCTAATCGATCAGTGCACTACGAAGCCAGTGCTAGACAGTGAACTGTCAACGGGGGGAGCCCCGCCGGTCATTATCGGCCGATATTCACTCTTAATAGTTTGATCGGTGCTCTCTATAAAGGCCTATCAGGAGAGCTGGATCTGATCGATATGGACATAAACGCGAGTGAAGTTTTAGCGAGCTGCATGAGAAACTGACGGGCTGTCAGGAGAGAGGGAGGGAGAGAGGAAAAAAGAGATGACCACTCCTGTTATTAGCCATATCCGGTCATAGTCCGGTAATTACCTGCTAACGGAAACTCTGCTACACAATTCTTCTTCTTCTTCTTCTTCTTCTTCTTCTTCTTCTTCTTCTTCTTCTTCTTCTTCTTCTTCTTCTTCTTCTTCTTCTTCTTCTTATTATTGAAACATGACCAGTAAGTTTCAAATTTGTCCGGTAAAATAAATTCTGTCTGCGGAAACCCTGCTCCGGACAGCGCAAAATGCGTAAGTGTCATGAACGCAATAAATCATACCCTCGTGGGGACCCGCTCATGTGATTGGCTTAGAATGAAGGAGACATCTGATTGGCTATAGATAGAAAAAATTACAAGTACGAATCGGGTGACCGTCAGGGGAGTCTCAAAAAACCCACACACGAATGCACAGCGATCCATGCACAGAAAGCGGTTTGTGTTTGCAGGTTCAGGGGATTTAAACGGAAAACAAATATGTGAGGATCAAAAATACATATGTAAAACCTTTTTCTGTATTTGGATTTTATTTACATGTATATGAAACGGAACACATTTGTGTGTGCATTGAAAAACACAAGTGTGGATCCGGAAATACAAGTGTGAATCCTTTTGCGGATCATGAAATACAAGTGTGAATCCTTCTGTGTGCATGTGTGTATTATGAGACTGTTCTGAGCCCATACTATTGGGCCAACTCCACCAATCAGGAGGAGACAGCCACGGCCATTGCCGATTGAAAGCGCTGGAGACGCTGTAGTACATATGCCAGGCCTGTAGGTGGTGCTGTTCTCACATAATCAGCCCTTGCAAAAACAGAGCTAAACATTTTCAAATTGAGCGAAATGAGGCATGGCTAAAATGCATGATCTGTTTGGTATTTTGAAAAAAAAAAAAGTATAAATATGCCTTATATAGGTATGGTCCTACACAGTGGCGGCTGGTGGAAAATATTTTAAGTGGGGCTGTGGAAATGGTGATCAAACAATACTAGGGGGCATTTTTTTTAGAAAAGACCCCCTAAATTATGACTTCTGGTGATGTTAGAGGGGGGGGGGGGGGGGGGGGGGGGGACAATTTGAGGCTTAAAAATATGAGAAGACTGATCAATACCTCCATAACTTCAGTGTGATTAGCTATGAATCTTCCAAAACTTCCAAACACCTTGTCCTGGACATAGTTTCTACAGCATAAACTGTGCTAACAAGCTGAGATTCCAGATTCTAGAAATATAAGTATCATCACTGAGCGATCAGAACTCGCGACAGGGGAAGCAAATACAGACATCACACGACGTAGCTTTAGGTAGCAAAACACGGAGATATGCTCACCTTTTGCAGAATAACAATTCTGATCAAAAACGAGAAAAACGCAGCTGAAGGTTAATCCAATGTGTCTGTCACAAATGATTGATGATCCATAATTCCATTTTTATGTCAAAAACTGAGTTTTCATTAGCTGCTAATGGTAGCTTCCAGAGTGTATGACAGCTTCCTGTTTTGTCTCCTTGGATACGAGTCCAAACAACTCACAGACTGCACCGGGCGCTCACGTAGGAGCCCTGTGACCATCAGATTTGACGACGCTGATTGGCTGAAATTATGTTTCGGCGGCATAGTTTAAAGATAGCAACAGTTGGCTTCTGCTGCACTTGCTGCACTCTCGTTTGGGCGCTGTGCATAGCGCCCAGACGAGAAGGAGTAATGATACACGGGCAAGGCCAGGCAGGAAACATGTGACTTATCAGTAACTTTAGACATCGTAACACAATTTTAAACGAGATTTTATTGTAGATTATACATTTTACTGATACCAATTATATAATATTTACCTTGTTTATTAAAATTAAAAAAATAAAAAATATATATATTTTTTAAATATATATATATATATTTTTTTTAATGTGGGAAGAGGGGGGGCGGCGCCCCTAGCGCCCCTATGGGCCGGCCGCCACTGGTCCTACACTATATTATTATAATATAGCATGATAGGTCCACTTTAAGCAACGTAAAATGTGCAGACCGGGAGCAACAGATGTAGGTTAGCCGGCTAGCATCACAGAGCCGCACTGCTGAGCATGTTAGCTTAGCTTTGGTAGCCTCAGCTAGCTCTGGAACCTGCGGCTCGGTGGCAGGAGGTCCCACCTCATAGGTAGGTGGGGGGGTGGTGTGTGTGTGGTGGTCAAATAACGTAACCAGATGAGTGATTACAGCGCCCGCAATAATGTAATAACGTAACCAGATGAGTGATTACAGCGCCCGGTATAATTTTACACACATTTGTATCATACAGATGCAGGATTTACACACGCCTGTTATCTAACCGACAGGTCCGCACGCACTCTCCAGCCGAAACTCTAATAAGCATTCATTCACAAACTAAATCAGGAGACCTTTAACGTTTTACGTCCGATTCGCTCATTTTTTCCTCTCTGTACTCAGCTCCAGTTTGGGCATTGGCCTGTCATCAGATTTTATTTGTAGTTGCTGCTGTAGCGGAAGTTTAGTACAATTCTTTTTTGATTAAATACTCCAAATCTCCACCCTCCATAAATGCACTTGCTTCAGTTGCTTGCTATACTACTTTCTAACATTAGATTTATGATTCGAAAATTATAAAAGTAGGGTAGACATGTGGATATTATCCGGCTGAACAAAACGTACATTTATCAAACAAGTTCGTTTTCCACAGACCTTATTTCGAGCTATTTTCCAAAATCCTATGGAGAGAAATCCAATTGCTTTTTTGTCGAGGGAACCCGAGCGCAGCTTACTTCCGGGTTTTAGGACGCGTCACTGCACCACTAAATTGATGCGATTTGATTGGATTGTGAGGCAAGGGAAGCCAGCCGCCTCCTCTCGCAACAGTGAGTGCAATCTACTGTTTTACCATAACATCTAGAGGGGCCTTCCCTCTTTGTAAAATACTCAATGAGAATGGGGGAGAGATGGGCCGGCAGCAACACACAGCAAAGAAGAATTTCCGAAACTAAACGAAGTGTTTTTATTTATTTATTAAAATTATAAGTACAATCCGAAAAAACAGGGGAAGCCTGGCTTCCCTTGGCCTCCAGGAGAAAACGCCACTGGTATTTGTTGAGGTTTGAAAATGTTTACCGTGGTGCCGCGGTAGAGGGCGCTGTGGTCCACTCTGACCAGACGGTCCACCGTAAATTATAACCGAAGAAGAAGAACACGTGTTTCCGGTGTTTTCTCTTCATCCCATCCTGCATGGGAAGCAACCTGTCTTGTAAATACATAGTTATCAGTCAGCGAAAGGTGTGAAAATGGTTCGTAAATTAAAGCACCATGAGCAGAAGTTGCTGAAGAAGGTGGACTTCATTAACTGGGAGGTGGACAACAACCTACAGGAGGTCAAAGTGCTGCGGAAGTACCGCATCGAGAAGAGAGAGGACTTCACCAAGTAAGAAACACCGACTGTTAAAGACTATATTATTCAGCCAGGCTACGATGAAAACACGTTAAACATTTATATTTTAAGTTTAAATAAAACGAGTGTATCCGAGGCTAAGGTTGACTTCCGAAATGGTTTAGCTTGAAACTGAGCTATAGCTAACAGTGACATCCTCAGCTGCACTACATCAAACTTTAAAGCTTATCAAAGCTGATGAAGCCAGTGTAAGTTGTTCTTAAATATGAATAATTATATGAATCGTAACTTGGTTTAATAATAGAGTCTTTAACACAGCAGTTATCCATAGGTAGTGATGGCGAGATGAAGCCTTATGAAGCGTTGAAGCTTTCCAGCCAATAGAGAGGCGAAGTCCCTCCCTTTCCGGTGGGACTCATGGGACCTTATTTCGGAAAAGGTTTGTATTGAAGTCAATGGAGAGAGAAAGATTATCTTTCGATCCCGTTTGAATTGTGCCACGAATTACACATATGATGTTTGTCAATCTTAAAGGACACCTGTCATGCTATATTTAAATGATATATTGTAGGGCCATACCTATATAAGGTATATTTATACGTTTCTGTTTTCAAAATACCAAACAGATCATGCATTTTAGCCATGCCTCATTTCGCTCTATGTGCTGTTCTCCAGCCCTGTTTTTGCAGGGGGCTGATTCTGTGAGCTGCAGCTGACCACGCCCCCCTGCAGGAGAGGGGAGCCGCTCTGATCAAGTCAGAAGAGGGGGAGAAAAATAGATCTCCGTCATCCGTGTTTTATTATAGCCTATTATTATATAGAGTCGTTATTCATCTGTTTTAAAGCTCAATAAATAACAAAGAAGACCTTTGACCGGCACTTTTATAATTTTGTCCGGAAGATTTAAACTTTAACGGACATCTTGACCGGCGAAAGAAAACCTAACTGAAACTCTGCCGCACGGTCCCCTCGTTCCTTGGAAGAGGCGGCGAGGTGGGTGTTTGTCATCTGCTGGTGGACTAACCGGAGAGAATTACAGTGCTTGCCTCGACGGGGAGGGATTGCATTGAATTAAAGCAGCGGGAGCAAACGCTTGCCTCGGGGAGGGAGAAAAAAAAGCCACAGCGGACAATAAACAGAAGAGTAACCATGCGCGGGAAGTCTTCTTCGCTGCTTTTGTGGCAGACTACAGCGCCACTTACAGGCCTGGCATATGTACTACAGCGTCTCCAGCGCTTTCGAGCGGCAATGTCCGGCCGTGGCCCAACCCCACATTCCCCCGATAGGTGGAGAGTTGGCCCAATAGCCGTAGCGCCACCGTCCTGACTTCAGGACAGTGTTCAAATCTGGATCAGTTTTTATCAGATCCGTTGCAGCCCCTTTTTTTAGAGATTTGGGTATGGAGGAAAATAGAGAGGGTTGTGTTTTCTGACACTTGGTGAGTTCCCTGGAACACCGGGGACACACATTCATGTATAAAAGACGAACAAAAGTGCATTTTGCATGATAGGTCCCCTTTAAATAATAATTTCCATGTAAAAAAAGTCACAGTTTGTCGTAAAACTGTTGAAATATAAGACTATGAAAAATACGCAACTAGAAAGACTACAAATCCCAGAATCCCGGTCCATGCTGGCTCTTACGGAACCGACTAGTGCGGCTTTCACACCAGCGCTTTTCCCTTTCTAGCTCCTAGCTAGAGCTTTTCTGGTTCAGCTCCGGTTTCCCTTTTCAGCTCCCGCTCTGTTCACACCGCCCAGAGCTGCCGCTGCTGCGTCATGACGTCACAGTTTACGTCGCTGATTTTCTCCCACAACAACAACGGGCCGGGGACTGCGTCGGGTCGATGATCGTGTTGCTTTTAATCATACGAAGCCAGATTAAATTAAATAACGACTTCTCCAACCTTATACTTTTCTCCAGAGTGCCGTGGTTCATTGTTTATTAATGTGTTTCAGCGGCATTTACCGACCGCTGCAGTGCTGGCTGCTCTTCCACGGGAGTTTATTCTCCCGTTAGCTCCGGGTTAGCTCACACGGCTCTAAAGTATTCACTGTCTGACTGTCACACAAGCAGCTGATGCATATCCCCAGTTCCCCTTAAGTGAATGTGTGTCAGTCTGAATTGACGCTGTTTGGCATCACAACGCTGTTATGAAAGTTTCTCTGGTATAACATGGGTGATGTTAGCATAGCAACCGAAGCTAAACTGACTACTTGCTAAGCCGTTTTCTACAGGCACATTTTACCGGCGTATTTTTCATTATGATTCTACTTGTGATAGTCGGACATGACAACCTGTACAGCCCATGTATTAATTCCATCCGATAGCTGCTATAATAACAAACAAAACGTCTGCCTGCTCTCCACAATGATCAATAACAGCGAACGGATGGTCAAAGTAAGGTTTCCTGCACGCCTCGACGTAAGAGAGACGTAAGCGACGCCGCGTCATAGCTCCGAAGCTCTTGCCTCTGGACCGACAATTTTTTGGAGCTGGAAGTGAACCGCATTCCGCAGCTATGACGCGGCGCCGCTGCAGTGTGAACAGGAAAAAGCGCCGGTGTGAAAGGGGCATAACTCCCCTTTTGTGTATGTACAGCTCTCAACATGCCCAGACTTGTAGTGATTTCCACCTCTTAATACTTTCCGCCTAATTCTGAAAGAAAGAGCTGAAATGTGCCAACGTGACGGCCGTCTTAGTGTGTGTTGTTGACCAGAGATGTAGTTCATTGAGCGGTTCACACAAAAAAAGTGTTACTTAACAGTTTTACGACACATTTTTATTTTTTTGACTTGTAAAATTATCTTTTAAATTGACAAACATCATATGTGTAATTCGTGGCACAATTCAAACGGGATCGAAAGATAATCTTTCTCTCTCCATTGACTTCAATGCATAACTTTTCCGAAATAAGGTCCCATGGAGGTCCACCGGAAGGGGAGGGACTTCGCCTCTCTATTGGTTCACAAAAGGGTTCATCTCATGAGGCTTCATCATGGGCTTCATCTGAACACAAACCCCCCTGTTGGTCAAAGTGTGTAAAACAGGCAGATTTGACATCTCAACAGTGTGCTCTATCTCATACCGAGTTTCCAATGAGTAAAGCCTTAGAATAACTCTAAACAACGAACATAAAATCATATTTTCATGTTAACAATATTGTTTTTATTCCAGTTTAATGATTGTAATTGAAAAGCCTAAGGAGGCTGGTAAACATTGCAAAGAGGGATTTGTATTCCTTAATAATATTCGTAAACTTAACCATGTTGTAGCCTGAGAAAGGCTAAACCATATCAAAGAATACATTTATTAACTACATTATCTCCTTTAGCTGTAGCTTTTATAAACAAACCAAAAAGACGTATTGACCAGTCGTTGAACCAGGGACCCTGCGGTTGTGAGTCAACCACTTTCCATTTGAGCCACAGCACACACGCTGAATCTATATGAATAAACTAGATACTATTCATTCCTGTATTTATTCATTTATTTAGTCATATTTTTATTCCTACATTTATTTATGCTTTTATTTATTTATACTTATGACATGTTCCGACCTCTATATAAGTGAGGGTCTGAGCTCTCTTAATTCCATCGTGTCACCGGGCCCGGGTACAGGAAGGGTAATATCGTTCTTATTAAGTAATATGAGCGTTGTGGTTCAACCGATCTGAATCGCTTCCTGAAGCTGTCAGGTGGTATTGAGGGGCAGCGAGGCTTCGTTTGTCATCAGTGACGTCACTGGCCCAAAACGATACAAGCCTCGATACAAGCTTCACAAAAAGCTTCGGGGATTACTCGACACGCGCTCCGAAGCCTCGGCGCAATACGTAACATCACTGTATCCATAGGTTCATTAGGAAATGCATCCCACAGACATGTTTGGCACACTCCTGACTAGCTCTTTTATTTACCAACAGTTACAACATACATCAATATTTTGTAGTGTTTTATCTTCTATATTTAAGTGTATTGTCTATACAGACATACTTTGAATCAATTTCATTAAATATAATATCATTATAATAAAACCTTTAAATCTTGCATGAAAATATGGGGATTTGATTTAAACACATCGTGATATTTGTCCAAGACATGACATGTTCTACTTTGTTAAAGGGGAGCAACCGACAGTTAAATATCATACACATAGAAAACCCAGTAACCCATTGATCAAATGTATGCTTCAATTGTATGACTCCATATATATGACTTAAACATCCTGATAAAGTGTTGTCAATGTAAACTATTAAAGGAAATTATACCTCCAAAGGATTGGGAACTAATGTGCAAAAAACCTTAGCACAACAAACTCGGACCTCTGCAAAGATACACATGTAAGATTCTTATCTGATATTTTAAGTACAAAGACAATTTAACGGCATATTTCAGGAGAGATGCAGTAAACACAAGGCAAACTATAGTCATATCATTTGGTCATGTAAGCTAACTGGTTAACTGGCTTTTCAGTAAGATATCTATTCAAGAAATGTCAACCTTTTATATTTATATTTCTCTCATTTTAAAAACGACTTTCATAATACTTAGACAAATTAAAAAGAAAGATCGTATCTATTCAATCGTAACAAGAGTAGCAATGTTAAACAAAGTACATATCATTTGTTAGTTAGTTGAACTTAATAAGCTAAAAAACTCTAAATGGAAAGATCTTTGAAATGAAACGCATGGAATGGAAAATAAACCTGAGAATTATAAATGAAGTTCATATCTTTAACGATAGATGGTGAAAAATGGGTGACATATACAACCCAAAACATTGTCATTTTTATTGACAATTAATATAAGTTATAATTATTGATGTATTTGTTTCTGTTAACTAGGCTGCACGATTTGGGGAAATAATCTAATTGCGATTTTTCTGACAGATATTGCGATTCGATTTTGTTTTTAAGCGACCCAACAGAAGTTTATTGTAAAATGCGGCCATATCTCCGGCTAGGAAGGTCGTATCAACGTGCTCCCGTCTCTAGCACCCCCGCAGCCCGAGCTACGAGTGAAATAACTAAACTTACATGAAACTTCCGTTGGGTTGCTTTAAAGTCAAGCTTCAGTTTCAGACTCACCCTGTAATAGAAACATGTGATGGAGCATTACTAACCTGACTCAGGTGGTTTGTTTCACCAAACCATCTAGGAAAGCTCCATTGGAAGCCATTTGGAAAAGGGCAGGCACTTTAAAAAATACTTGGCAGGTGATTGGATCAATCTGTCCATCACCTTCTATCATGGGCCACTTCTGATTGGTTAACAATGGCTGGTACATGTGGAGCACAGCACTTCTGATTGGTGTGGATGACTGACACACAATACAAAAAAATATATATATATATTTTTAAAAAAATGAAAAACCGCAGGCTTTGCGATTTGATAATCGCATAATTTCAAATCGCGATTTCGATTTCAAATCGATTAATCGTTCAGCCCTACTGTTAACCATAACTTATTTACTGTCTTTTTTTTGTTAATTATACTACACATTATAATACACATTTTTTCTTCACTTTTTAGGTTATTATTCATCTTAATGTTTGTGGTGTATTCTCTGTAACCATTTAGTTTGTTTTTTTAAATGAAAAAACAAAACAATTCTATCAGTTGTTTATATTGTCTAAGAGTGTGTTTTCATCCTGTGTCTCAGGTACAATAAGCTGAGTCGTCACATCAGAGAACTCGTCCAGAAAATCCGAGACCTGGATGAGAAGGATGGCTTCAGAGCTCAGAGCACACACCATCTGCTGGAGAAACTGTGAGTTATTATTGAGTCTCTTTGTGATAACGTTTACCCTGACAGAATCATCCATCTTATACCTTTAAGTCAACACTCGGGGCTTGCTTCACAAAACAGAGGGGAGGTCTTCTTCTCCCTTTGAGCTTACCTTGTGTTTTCCTGTGTGATCAAGGTGGCTCACTTTCAACTATGTAGATCACCATGGCAACCTACAAGGTCACTTTTTCCTTTCGCTATAATCAACATAGCAACGACCAAGTGACCAACATGAAAACACGAGTGAAATGCGTACACACATTGTAGTACGCATGTGTGTGTGAAACTATAAATCTGCTTTAAGTTGTACATCATACAGGCTCCTAGTTTGACTTGTTTATGACAGTCATGGTTTATCCTTTTTGAAAGTACAATATCTCACTGATGATTTGATTGTTTCTTCACATTAGGTACAGTATCGGTCTGACGCCCACCAAACAGAATCTGTCCCTGACGGAGAAGGTCTCAGCTTCTTCATTCTGCAGGTAAACCACCCCACACACATGTTGTACTTTAATAGAGTGCAGGAATAAGTCCTCGAAATGAGTTAGCATTTTAGCACTTCTGTACCCCCTTAAAATCAATGAATTTTGGAACGTATTGTTGGTAAGATTCAAGAAATAAGGTAAGGACATAAAATGTGTCAGTAAATACCGCACTGATGAATATCCAAAGCTTCTACGTGTCATTAAAATGGCAGTTGCTAACAAGAGACTAAATGAGACTACTCAACGCCGCCACGCAAACATTAGCCGCCTTTAGCTTAGTGCTGGTGCGCAGCCATGCGACCATGATGAAGTTTGTTTATAGCCCAACGTTAGCTTTTACTTTTGGTTTGTAATTACTCTTCTAATATCATAAAAGTGGTGTTAAAATGTGAAGATAAACCTGCTGAACAAACCTGAAAGTACCACAAACGTGTGTTGGCCATGGATCTTATTTTATGCATATTTGGAAATCCCATTGCTTTATAATCAAGGGAACGCTTGCAATGCTAACTTCCGGGTCAACCTGCAAAAAGACATCATCACTGCCCCACTCTACAGACTCCTCAGTGGAGACCATGGTTATCACTCGTCTGTTTTCTCTCATTAAATCCACGTGTGACTCCTGCAGGAGGAGGCTGCCCAGCATCATGCTGAACCTCCGTATGGCTCAGAACCTGAAGACCGCCATCACCTTCATCCAACAAGGACGTATCCTTCACTACAGCATTGTTGTGTCTAGAATTTCCTTCCACAGATACGTTAGTTTGGTCTATGCCCATGGGAATAAATATGTTTGCAGTATTGGCCTTGACCCAGTCTCAGATGTGCGAGTTGGCCCGGAGATTATCACAGACCCGGCATTTCTCGTCACAAGGTTAGTTTACAACATTTGGTTCTGCCATGATTGGTTTTGAACTACTTTATGTGTTAAAGGGCATTGCGCAAAAACCTACATTACTGAAAATATAGATACATGTGGAAAAGCATCTCAATGGATGCAATATTTACTTTTTTTCAGAAATATGGAAGATTTCGTCACTTGGGTGGACTCCTCTAAGATCAAGCAGCATGTCCTGAATTATAATGATGAGGTGAGTGAGATTTATGAATCAGCCGTCACCTTTATCTCAATGACCACCTGGGGATTGAACCAGGCATGAAAATTGTTATTGATAATACCATAAAAGCAGAGCATTATGCTGATGTTATGTGTGTTTCTTCCGCAGAGGGACGACTTTGATCTATTGGCATAAATCTGTGGTGTAAGCTCTTTTCATCACCCCGGAGGAAAGGACTTTACTGTAAAATAAGGAAATCGACAACCCTCAAGGACACCTCTGAATCTCCTACCAACTTGAAAAATGTGGGAAGAAAACAAGTTCTCCTAAACAAGGACAGGAGTAGATTACACATTGTTCACCAAACATCTCTTTTAGTGGTGCCAGCCTTAACCATTCAGTTTCTGGATTAATTTCCTGCTCCCCCATAAGAACACAGTCTCAGTTGTTTCCTCATGTTCCCAGCAGAGCCCCCCCTGAGGGTCTGTCCCCCCCCTGGTCGTGCAGAGCAGCTCAGAGTTGTGATGGTGACTGTTTTCCTCCTGTTCCTCATGTTGTGTGAACATGAGCTGCATTCACAGGCTATGTGAGCAATCATTCCTGTATGTTAAGAGCCTGAACCATATGGGAAAACAATCCATCTTTTTTTTTTATATTGTCATAACAATATGTCAGTAAAAGATCATTTTTGCTCCATTCAAATTTTTTATAGTAAAATGATCATGTGTTGTACCAAAATGTTGTTTTGAATGTGAAATCTGTTGAATAGCATTTGTAGGCCCAGACATCTCTGCAGCACTAAAATACTTCATACAAATGGCCTTTGAGACATATTTTGCATTTTACAAAAATCGTAGTACACATTGCGGTTCTGATACATTTCAGATTCATCTTTTAGCCTTGCTTTGTGAGATAGGAAATGTTGGTTTGTAAGTACCATCCAGCTCATAATATTAACACGTTTTCATAAATCCAGCTGTAAAATAGAAACTTCGATAAATATTTAATATTTTCATTAAGACTTTGTTACAATGTAAACGTTCAGAACAATAAACATTCATTTATCACAGTATTGGGACTTCACAAAACCCTGTCATACATGGATTCACCTATAATGCTCAAACTCTGAAGAAAACCCCCAACCGGCTTATAAATTAACTTACAAACACCCTGCTCCTAATATTCCAGTAAACAGAGGTACATGAACTCACCATGAAGCATTTGCTACCATACAGAGAAACCCAATGGCTCCGTGTACACCATACATGAGTGAAAGTTGGATAAAACACAGAAAGAATATCTACCTTCTAGGGATATACTGTATACGATTCCTTTAAGGCACCCTGTCTTTTAAGTGTAAAGTAACAGAATCAACTTTTAAAGGAATACTTTAAGTACTCCTTTACAATTCCCAAAGGAAACTCCCTCTCCCTTATTTTAAAGTCCTTGCTTGAGGGTCCATCAGAGCCACCAGAAGCGCACATAGATGATGAGAGTGATGACGCACACGGCCACAGCGGCCACCTTGGCATAGGTGGAGCGGGTGTTAAGGTATTTGGCGTCACTGCGGTACTTCTTTGAAAGGCTTGTCAGGTTGCTGGCTTTAGTGTCTAGAGCTGAGGGAAGAAGGTAGAAGAGAGATTAACCAGAGATTTACTTTAAAGATGATATATTATACTCATTTTAAAGATCATTATTGTATTTTGTGTCTACTGGGACATGTCTCCATGCTTTAATGTTCAAAAAGCTCTTTATTTTTCTCATACTGCCTGTGCTGCAGAACCTCTTTTCACCCTCTGTCTGAAACCAGAGCGTAGTCTGCTCTGATTGGTTAATGCATAATCTATTACTATGGGTTTAATATTTAATTTTCACAAAAGCAAAGTAACAGCAAACTTGTAAGGGATTTAGGATTCAGGTGGTTTTTGGTTCCTTGTGTTTTGTGTGGACCCTCTTGCTAGGACTGACCTTTCTTCATTCTTGCAACCTACTTACCAGAAAGACATTCTCCTCTTTGCAGAACTTCCTCAATATTTGCCACCATGATCCTCTGGACGTCCTGTAGCTCTGTGTTGATGCTGCTGAAGTTCCTCCTGGCCCGGCCGTCTACGTACGACCTCTTTGTTTTCTGGATGTACGTGTCTGAAACAATGCATGTAGGACAAAGTCAGAGGATTGTGTGAAAGACTTTTTGAATGTAACAGATCACAAACAGTCTTACCAAACTCGATGAAAGAGTACGGCCTGGTTACTGTGGTCACTCTCTTCCCATACTGGTCGTAGAACTCTGTGTGGAGCTCTTCGAGGTATGCAAACGCCATCTTTTTGGGGAAGGAAGCCTCACAGAGGAACAGGTAGCATACACCCTCTGCTATTAGGTAGCTGGAAACAAAAAACCAGACCAAATCAATGGATCTTTATAATGCCTGGTAATATCAAACTAAACGTCACCAAACTAATTGTGAAATATTACTGAAGTAAAGTGGATTTTACCCCTTTAAGAATACAAATTAAAGGAATAGTTTGGATATTCTGAAGTGGGGTTATATGAGGTACTAATCCATAGTCAGTGTATTACTCAAGCATTATACTGCTGTAAACAGGAGGCCGCAGCAAACTCATTTTTAGACCCCTATAATTATGTTAATGTTTGCTTTATTTAGAATATTTTCACCACTCAGTCTGTTTCTGTGTGAATTTGTTCAGTTTGGAATCCTCCAACTCCCATAATAACGCCAAAACAAACTAGCTGATATGAGGCAGCGATACACCAGCAACTCCTTTGTTCTGCGAGATAATATGTGGGTTTTTATCAATGGAGTCTGGTGGCTTTGGCGAGAGCATAGATGGATATAATATTGACAGTTCCTTGTCGTAAAATGCAGTCTGAATGGAAAGTGAAGGTGAAAATATTCTACATATTGATATAGTGTTTACTTAAAGGTAGGGTAGGTAAGAATGGAGAAACCAGCTCGAGTGCGCTAGAATTTGAAACTACGCAGCCGAAACAAATCTGCCCCTTCCTTCAGACTTCCTTACAGAGCCCCTCCTCCAACACACACAAACGAGCACATGACCAATGAGGGCACGAGATAAGTTTGTGCACGAGATGGAAGGCTGACAGGCAGGTAGGCCATCCAGTTATTTTAGCCGGCCCGGTCGTGCTTTTTACAGCGCCACGGCTTCCACAGATGAATTTTTAATGTATTTATTGTCAAAGCATTTCATGTATTCATTGCTATCGGGATGTTAAGAGCATTCCATGGAATATAACAAAAAGTGTTTCTTTAGTGAATTGCCTACCCCACCTTTAAATGGATATTGATTGATTTAGGTGTGCCTTTCTTTTAGACGTTGAATTAAGTTTTGCTGCTCCTGCTCCAAATGTATAGGGAAAAGTATGATATTCATACTTTCCCTGCTTGTGGTAACTTACTGGAAGTTCATGTCCCCGGCCTCCAGCGTACAGCGGTCCGGACTCTGAGCGTTCAGTTTACGGCACAGCTGCTTGGCTTGGCTCTGGTAGTGCTGCAGGTCTCTTCCTGACTGATAGACATGAAGACAATTAGGTTATAGTCAGTTGTATGGCATTTGCAAATACTCTTTTATCAAGACTCATTAAAATGACACAAAGAGTCTAAAAACCACTTCTTTTTTTTAAAGATTATTTTCTGCGCTACCAGGTCCTTTAATAACAGAGATAGATTTGAAAAAGAAACGGAGGCGGAGATGTGTGAATGTTTCCCAGGTTGTTATCGACCCAAGATCCACAGCAGTGGGGAATGAATAATCCCAGTATATTCTATGTTTTTTACATTTAATCATTTATAGGCCGAATGTGTAAGATAAGGGCACATTCTTGCTTTAAAAAAAAAAACGACTGACATTCTCATAATTTGAAGAGTTTAGGATGTCAACATGATTTTCAAGTAGTGCATGTTTTATGTTGCAGACATATCTACTGAAATCACATGCTAACTGACTAGCCCTGGCCCATCCTGTCTTGTAACACCACTTGTTTTTAGTTATTCGTTTATTTATGTATTATTTCATTATTTTAGAACTAATGACTCTTCATTTAGATTTTAATGGAGCCAGTAGGAGAGGTGAACTGCTGCCCTCTATCTGTTAATACAGGGCATTACACATTCATAATTCAAATGCATGCATATTGGTACACAGAGCTATCATTTATGAAAACACGTTAAAAAAAATGTGTAACAACTTTTCCGCATGCAAAACAATACACTTTTAAAATGTGTATCTAACTAAACTTAGTTCCTTTTATTCCGACAAATTCCAGTATAATAATTCACACAGAGTGATGGACAACAGAAATGCAACTACGTATGTTATCGTTACTGACCTTTACATACAAATATAATATTTTCTATAATAAAACTCCTGCTTTGTTTATTATTTTCATAGCAAATGTACCACTAGTAATTCAAATAAAGACTTTACTCCTGTTATTTGGAGAACTACATTTGCGGATAAGCTAGCAGTCCTTAAACAGTATGATTTGTGAATGGAGCCTGGCGTGTAGCTCTGTCCTCACACAGAGGCTAACAGGGAGCTAGCATCTCTCCTACCTGCTCATCCTCCTGAATGGACGCAGCGAGCGGGAGTCCGTCCGCCACCCGAGCGATTATTGTGAGGGTCGTCATACCGCTGGAGGTCAACTATCGGCAGGGTCAGCTGCTGCTTTTGGTCAAAGACAGCGCACTTAAAAAACTTTCTATATTTTGCTGTCAACTTTGATGATGCAGAAGGAATGAGCTGGACGGAAGTTCCTGGTGCGCCGGTGAATTCGGCCCGGGTGGAAACTGATTAGACTTCGTAGTCAAATTTCCATCGCATAAGAGGTAGGATGCTACTAAAAACTGTAAAGAAAAAAGACTGTGGTTATGTGAAAAAATATACCAAGTTAGCTGTTGTTTGATCCGATTTTGTATTCTCTAAAAAAATACATTTTCTCACTTTAACAGGGTATCGGGACATGAGCCCGGAGCAGACAGCTGGCAGACGGACGGACCGCATCTGCACCGCCGATGCCTGTGTGGAGCTGCAGATGCGCTGTCTGGGTCCTCCGTCTGGAGTGAAGCCTCTCCGTACTAAACCCAGAGGAACCATGGTCAAACCAGATAGGTAATTTCCCCCATTACTGTACATGCATTTCGATATTTTACGCTTGCTGATTCCTTACATGCGATATCATCTGGCTATTTCCTGCTGGCCGTGGAATGGCTGCTCTTTTGTTATTATTTGTTTAAGGAGCCCTGCACGTTATCCCCTCTCTGTGATGAATGTTTGAAATATTTCAGCTAAAAGGGGATGCATGTTACTCTCATCTTTCTTCTTGTTTGCTCCCCTAACTGTATTGGATGCAGCTTCTATCTTTACATACAAATGTGTGCCGAGCAGCTGCGCGATGGTCCATGCAATAAGGGGATCAATCACTCTGCAATTTACCTGGAGCTTAATGTAAAACACTACCGGGTGATTGGCACCAACACACCGTCATTTTAGCCATGATACTGCGGGGTGGGAGCACTTGAACGCCGCCACAGATTAATCCTGTGCGCCGCAGAACCCCCCACCTCCCCTGACAGAGAGGGGAGCTGGCGGATTGGCACGGGGATACCACACCGACTGAAAGGCCTTATTGTTGCGGTGCAGCTGGCACCACCTTCTGATTGGTGTTCCCAGGCGCCGCTTGCATGATTTACAGCGCGGCTACACGGTGTATTCTACAGGAACAGATAGGGAAGCCCGCGATTTAATTCCAGGGTGGGGCGCTTCATGACTAATTGATTATGAAAAAATACTGATAGCCCAGCTGGAGTCCAGGAAGACTTCCTTTCCTCTGAGAGGCTGGGAGGAGGATATGATAGTAAATGCACACATGCAAACAGGACCTATACACATTAGCCCCGAAATGAACACATGGTGGAGAGGTGTCAGAGCAAAGGGCCTGTCTCGTTGTGGCAGGTTCAGTGCCTTGCTCAAGGACACTTCAGCAGGGTCCAGGAGTTGAACTGGCGTCTCTCAAGCCACAAGTACACACAATGTTTGGGACTCAAACCAGTGACCATCCAGTTCCTAAGCGGACTGAGCAACTGACTCTAAAATAGTCAATGGCAAAATTGTTGCTTTTTGATTTCTGATTATTTTAGTCAAAAAAACAACTTTTTATAGTTCCAGCTTTCTTTAAAGGGTCCTATTCTGCTCATTCTCAGGTTCATATCTGTATTTTGTGCATCAACTGTGACATGTCTCCATGCTTTAAAGTTCAAAAAGCTCTTTATCTTTCTCATACTGCCTGTGCTGCAGCACCTCTTTTCACCCTCTGTCTGAAACCAGAGCCCAGTCTGCTGTGATTGGTTAGCTGGCCGGCTCTGTTGTGATTGGTCAACTGCTTAGAGATGTCATGCAACTGAGCGTACAATGTGTTGGAGCGCTAGCCAACAGAAACGTTAGTGTCACATAGTGATGTCATTATGTTAGGAGAAAACAAAGGAGTCCAATGGAGGCGTTTCAGGCAGGGGAGGTGAGTGTGTGGAGGGAACACAGGGATTTGAGCCTTTGCAGACCAGTTAAATGCACTTAAACCTATAGAACACACTACAGGAAGGGAAAACCACAAAAAGAACAGGCCCTCTTTAAAATGATATTTATATCTAAATACAGTCTAAATGTTATCTGTTATTTCGGAACACAGTTTAGGTGAAGAATGTGCAGCGTCAGCCCTATTGGTAATTACATGGAGCAGACTGTCCTCTAACGTGTCTGACAGATGCTCCGCTCATGATTTCCCCGGGGACAGAAGCTAAATCAAGAGATCGTCTGAGGTGTTTCTGCTGGGGAAAGGTCTTTGCTTACAGAATACCTTTGTGAACTCCTGATCTACACATATCTGACCATGCTTCCACCCCCCCCCCCCCCCAGGTGTGCCTGTGGTGCTCAGGGCTGAGGAGCAAAGCAGCTGAGGGTGGGAGATGGGCTGCACCTCTGCCAAGCAGGTGTCTGCCGTGCCCAGCGGGGAGGAGCGCCAGAGCAAAGCCCACAGCAACGGGGACCTCCACTCCGGTCAGTCTGTCCACTCACTATCATCACATGTCCCATGCACTTTAAGTGTTCAAATCCCTTAAGAGCCTTGCTTTCATTTGGGGTTGAAGTAATATACAGTATATGAGGTATGTGCCACTAGGGCTGTGCGATTGGAACCAAATATCAATTCACATGTTCTACCTCTACTCTGCTGCATTTAAGATGGAAATATTGTACATTTTACACAATTGTTATTCAACACTCATTGTTACTGGCTACTTTTTATAAATGCAAACACATGGTCTGCCTGTATAATATGATGCCGTACTATAGTACTTCAGAACTGTACTACTTATCTACACAGTGTTCAAAATTGGTTAAACATGACAGAGATTGTGTAATGCATGAACTGCATAATGATTACTTTTACTTTTGTAAAAAAAGAGCTAGCGGATTTGGAAAATAATCTAATCTCTATTTTATTTTGAACCAAATACCTTGAAATTGTGATGATAATGCTTTCATAAAATATTCACACAATGCCATTTTCAGAACGGAGTAAGAAAGTGGGTTTAGGCAAATAATAAATCAGTCTGGTTTGTTCTTAAAATAAATCCCTTCACATTAATGCAGATTTTAAAGCAACAAAAAGATAACACTAAGCAAAACTACAATATCCACATTATGAGAAGATGGCTAATCCATATTACAATCAATACATGTAATATCAATATATCGCCCAGCCCTATTCTAGCCATTCTGCAGACATGTATGTTCCTGTGTGACACAGCCTGTGGTGGCTTTCTTTTTTTTTAAAGATTAGACCACATTTATATCAATATAGGTATTTGAAATGTAATATATTTAACATAATTCTGGAGTCTTGTTAGATGTATCCATGGTGATCCTGATGCTCTCTGTTAAGGATGACAGCATGAATTATTGCTTTATTAAAGGCAGAAGCTTATGAGAGCTGAAAGGTGCTGACATCATTATGGAAATGCTTAATGTTCTTATAAAACACAATCTTTCAGTAGGTCAAGCAGACACAAGTTAATGCTGTGATGTCAAAAACAGATCACTTTGTGATGAGTTTCATTTCAAATTCTCTGGATGAATAGGACACAAAGGTTGGGCTTTACAACATAACAAATGTGAATCCATAATAATTATGACGATAATAATAACAGAACACAGTGTGAATGCAAACTTGATTTGAACATTTTAATAGTTAGCAGTGTTTCATATATTTCTTAATTCAAACGTCTCTATGGATCATTAAGGGACACGCTTCATTAACATGAAATGACAAAGTTCAGACCTAAGTGACTTAAGACCTTCAACGTGATATTTCTGGTCAAATAAAGGGGAAAAATCACAGCTGTCAGATCCTTATAAAACCCTTAACATGTGCTTTATTTTTTGCATATTCACACAATCTGTCAAATAGTTCAAACCTATATTTTTTAGTAGTAGTTAAATACCTAATTGTCATAGTTGTTGTTAAAGCTGCTACGGAGGAATCATAAATGAAGCTTCAATGATAGCTGGCACAGCGTGAATGTGATGTGTTCTGAGTCCATCAGGCCGTCATGATCATGTTTCAATTTGATCCTTTCAAATGCGTGGAAGTCGAAAGAAAGAGAAGCAGAGAAAGTAGGAGCTCGAGTGTTCAGAGAGGATTTAGTCTGCAGCGCGAGAACTCCAGCTCTTCATGACTTTGCCAAGAAGTGAGCACTATTAACCCGGAGGCGTGTTTTAATAAGAGGAGCCGTCCTCTCTAACTCTCTGTCTCCCACTCTGTCACAGATGAGTACAAGATGAAAGGAGTGCAGAAAGTCAAGTACATCAGCGGAGACGAAGGAGGAGTGGACGGCCAGGACAGCACAGTGCGTGTTTTATAGAGCGTACACCAGAACATGAATACTGTGTCAAATCATGTACTTTATTTCTAATTATAATAAAAACAAAATCAATTTCTAATATTGAATTGACAAGATAATTCCTTTTATAAGGGTATTTTTCCCCATTAAGTACATCAATAACCCTTGTTTTGCAAACTGCTAGGCGTTATTTTATACTAAATCTTGAAAAACATTCACTTGTTTATCAGTATCACGCATCCCTAAAACGTCACTCTTTTCATTGTAATTAGTTAAAGGGTTCCTCAGCTGGTCGGGTCTGTTTTGACCTCTCATGATGCCTCTTTCACACCAACGCGGTTCCAGGGCCGGTTCGGAGCAGAGGCCTGTACTACGAAGCCGGATTTTCGCTTAGCCGGCTGACTTCAGGGAAAACTCGGGCTTTCCGGTCCTACGACGCTGGTTCTCTTTTTAGCGGGCTAGATCTCCATGGTAACTTATGCTGAGCGGCTAACCTCCTCGGGAGGAGGTTAGGTTGCAGGCTAAGAGATCAACTCAGTGAAAGCACCGCCTGCTGACCAATCAGAGCTCAGTGTGCGGAGTTTAAAGCTATCAATTCATATTACAGGATAGAGGAAATACAGAAAAACTGCCGTTGCAGGAAAGACGGCCGGCAAAAATCAACTGACTGTGTGAACGTGAAAATTAATAGAATATCCCCTCCCATCTTCAGAGCAATTTGACTATTATAATATTAGCGTTAAGAAAGCTTACTTAAATATCTGCCACGACATAAGTAACCGGATCAGAGTAACATTAAGTACAGTCCGCGGCACTGTGAGTGCAGACGTCGATGTGTCCCATTATCATTCATATCATATCACATCATAATGTATCATACATTTCCTTATTTGAGTCAGCTTCTTGAGCCGTATCTGGCCGTGCAACACTCACAGTGTCACATACTGTATGCAGAAGTATTATTTTAAGCAACACATTAAGTTGACGAAACACTCGAGTCAAATTCTCCTAATTAAAGTCAGATCGTGTCTTGGACGGGGCAGTGATTTCATAAACCTGTTAATGTACGCATTCAAACGCTTTTTCTTTTACCAGCAGTATTCACCTTGCAGGTGCAGCTATGTGGCTTTTATCCTGGATAAAGTGTTTAAGTCATGGATGTTTAAAGTTTAACTTCTTCATATTTGACTAATATTAAAGTTCACTTTTCATTCAGGAAGTATGACGCTGCGCTGTCAGTACGCTTGTCCGTGTTTGAGATTGGTCGAATGCTCCAAATACCACCCCTTTCATGTGAACGCGCACCTAACTAGATAGGACACGGCTGGCTTGAGCGATCCACTTGATAACCAGCGTCGTAGTACAGTTTAGCGAGAGCGCGTATGTTTTGGATTGGGCCAACCGGCTAACTCAAACATATCCAGGTTAGGAAAATCCGGCTTCGTAGTACAGGCCTCAGGAGCTTGAAAAGCACCGGGTTTTCCTGTTCACACCGCAGCGGAGCCGCCTCTAAGCTCCGGAATCCGGTTTGTTTCAAGCACCAAAAAGTTGTCTGTCTAGAAAGCAAGCACCGCATACGTCACGCTTACGTCGAGGCGGGGGCAGGGGCGGGATCAACCTCTAACAACAACAAAAAGCCCGCGTTTTATCCAGTTTGTACACAACGATGGAAAACCTAAAACTTAACCAGCAGCAGTGGTCCACTGAAGAGACCAGCTACCTCCTGGGAATCTGGTCTTCCGAAGAGGTACAGAGGAAGCTGGAGGGGAGCACGCGGTCCAAAGAACTTTTGAATGTAGCATGTAACGACTGTAAAGTTTGTAGTAAAGTCGTCCCATTTCTTCCATTTCGTTTCGACAGAGCAAAACCAAAACGAGTAGCGCTTCAATACAATCGGCCATTGTTGTTGTTGTCGATGTGAGGGGGTTCCGCGCGGTTTGGCTTTATGAAGCAGGCACGCAAACGGTTACGTCATGACGCAAACGATGACGCAATGACGCAGCACCAGTCGGGCTCCGAGCGGTGTGAACGGAGCGGGAGCTGAACCGAAGAACCGGTTCCGAACCAGAAAAGCTCTAGCACGGAGCTAGCCTTGGTGTGAAAGGGGCATTAGAGATCTCCCACCCCTTAGCCTATCACGTTCAATGCGTTGGAGTGATAGCCAATGAAAGCGCAAATGTTACATAGTGATGTCACCATGTGAAGTTAACAAAGGAGTCCAATGGATGCGTTTCAGGCAGGGAGGGGGGGGGGGGGGGACAAACACCTATATAACGCACTACAGGAAAGGGAAAACCCCAAAAAGTAGAATAGGGCCTCTTTAATTTGTTTCAAAATATCATGATTACATTACAATATACGGCAACTTTGAGCTGATTGTGTGTTTTTATCTCGTGATGTGATTTCTATTCTGCTGAATAATGGGATATGAGACAGCTGTAGGAGCAGGTGTGTGATTGTGTGTGCTTTGATGTCCTGCAGGAGAAAAGTGCTCTCCTGGGGAAAGGTCAACACATGGAGGAGTCAGGGTCCAATGGGAACGGAAAGATTCTGTGAGTGTCCCTGACGGATGATTCAATATCATTAACATGCATTCATAGCTTGTGTTTGTTGAGTTATATTTAGTCATAGCGGTGCCATAAAGAATAAATACACAAATAAATAAGTTCATAAAAACATTAAATATCAAGAGAAAAAAAAAAACATCAATAATTGTCATTTAAAGGAAAAATGTAATATTAATTTGAATTATAAACCATTGCTTTTGCCCGTTTTATATTTCTATGTATAGGGTACAGCAAAAATAAATTACAAAATGAAACTCAAAATTAGATTTTTAAATGCAAAATGAAAATGTTTATTATTAATTAGTTGTCTACATGTGTTGTTTTACATTTATTTTACATTATATGTCCACATTGTTTTATTTACCCCTTTTTTTTCTTCTTTCACATTTTCTATTTCTCCCTATGCCTCCACATATATATACATTTGATTATTTTACAGATTTCATTTGTTTTTTTGACACTCCATTCTGTGTTATTCTGCCGATCTTTAACATTGTTCCATTTCCTCTGCAGGAGCATCCACTCTTCAGAGAGTCAGCAAGAGTTCTTCAAGATGCTGGACGAAAAAATTGCAAAGGTAAGAAACGACAACAACAACCCATCATCGAAGCATCACACTGTATCGTTATTGGGTTTTTGCCCAAATCTCTGTCTAAATGACACTGAGGTTAATCCTATCACTGCAGCAAATCTGTGAGGACACAGCAGATGACATAATGATGTGTCAACAAAAAACCTCAATGTGTCATGTGCTTCTACTAGTGTGGTTATTTTAGGTTAGTATGGTTGAAAACATTTTAACAATTGATTCTGGCATTAACAGTATATCTAAATCCAGATTCAGTGTGTTTCTCTGTAACATAGAGCTCTATTTGTGTATATAGAGTATTTAAACCCATAGATGAGCCACACTGGGTGACATGTTCCTTCATTGCACTCAGCACAGGGACTGTCCTGCTGCTGAAAATACTCACACACACCAGATGTGTTTTTATCCGCTGTTTAATATAGTCTCTAATGCACTATTCACTCAGCTGTGGACTTTTTTTCCTTTTTTAACTGAGTTATTGCCATCTGCCACAGCGTGTCTGGTAAGTAAGGAGATGAATTGGCAAATGGATACATTTGTTTTTAAAACTGTTTTTGTAAGAGCTAACATTAAGTGATGAGAAGCAGATATTTTTCCAAAACAAGGACAGTTTTTTTTTTTAGCTTTCCCACACAGCCAATCCAAGCAGACAGGAAGTGCACCAGGGCTAGAAGCAAGTTTTTTAGTGGTCAACTGGTGGAGTAATGTAATGCCTTTTGGCCAATAAATACTTGTTCCCATTGTAAAAATAAATCGGCTCATAATTATTTGGAGGAATAGTTGAAAAGTCATTACATTCTAAAGGTTGTATATTGCAGTAATAGCCTGGCTAAGCTGAGGCTGGCTGAGACGTATGGGCTAGGAGGCGGGGTTTTGGAAAACACAAGTGTGCATGCTCTATGGGGCTCATGGATGCGGAAGACCCCTGGAAAATGTGGGTATTATTGTTGTCAAGTCAGGCCATTTTGGTCTGATGTGCTGTTGAACAACTTTCATAGGAATAAACGTGGACCTGCCTCCTGCACTGCATCTTCTTCTCTTTATACAGGCAGGCCAGGCTCAGTGCACTGATCTTTGGATCAGGGGGGCACTGGTTCAATCCCCGCTGCGATCAGCATGCTGCTGTGTCCTTGGGCAAGACACTTCACCCTAAATTGCTCCTGTGGGGATACCTAAAGTATTGAGTTGTATTGTATATAAGTCGCTTTGGGCAAAAGCGTCTAACAAGTGACATGTAATAATACACCCATGAGCCAATCACGTTGCGCAGAGTTGCCCCTTTAATTGTGATTATTATAAGGCAAAAGCCTGGGCACTCCTTAGTCTGAACAAAGATGGCAAACTTTATTACTCCTTACTGACAAATGGCGCGCTTTCCAAAACCAATCCTTAAATGTTTACCTTTCACAATAAAAGCCCTAGATATTTATATTGGCAGGCAAGTATTTTTAGATGTTTGGGTTGTTAATTTGTCAGGCCTTGGTTGTGTAAAGGCTTTAAGGAAACTGAGATACATACCATCATGTAATACTTTGTGTACACTCATATCTGTGTTTTGTCTACAGGGCCAGGACTACTGCTCAGAAGAGGAAGAAGATGTGACATAGCACTGTGCTCGTGTGTCCATCGCGCCAATGTGGAGGAACTGTCATCGCAGTGCTACGGATGGACCGTACCATGTGCTAACTCAGGGGAAATGTCCCTTGTATGTCCACGCCTGAGAAAAATGGATTACTGACTTGAATCAAGCACCTTTTTTGCCCTCCTGCTCACAACCTGCTCATATATCAACTAAGAGAGAAAGGACCACCAAAATCAAAGTATTTTTAACCTCCTCGAAAAGAAGAACACTACATTCTACTTCCTTAATGAAGTCATTACAGGATGACAGAGATCTTGGGATTTTAAGACACACTTGCTTTCCTTCTCAACCTTGGAAAAGTCCTGTATGGTCAATATAAATGGCCATCACTGAGACATTTGAAACATTACGACTGTTGCACATTTACATTTCCAATGGCAGAAGCAGCCAGTGCTCTGGTGGACACTTACCGTGAACACGTATATCTCCATCTGCATCACTTTCAATATTCCATTCTTGAATGCCTCCCTGAAAAGTCAACCGTTTGGAAACTTCCTGCATTCCAAGACACAGTATGAACCTCTTTTCTACAGTACGTTGGCCAGTACATTGTGTTTGTCTACGGAAGATTATTAGTGCCAGGCAAAAATGAGGAGGAATCTTTTTTTATTTTGCATTTCAAGGCAAAATGTCAATAATAAAGTAAAAGTCCAGTATATGCGCTAACGCTAGTGGTTAGATATTTTCTCAGTTGGACAATTATTCTCAACATTTGCTACTTTATTCTTGAAAAGCAAAAACAAAAACATTTTCTCATTTACTCCTTATTTCTGGACGCAACCATTTTCGTAGCGTCTGTCCATGTCTGTTTTCTGCTATGATGTAGAGAATCTATGTTGAATAAGGCTCAGGGTTGAAGTGTTGTAATCTTTGTCTCAAGTGGTCAAGTCCTTCCTCTCATAAAGACACTGTTTGAGCAGACACTCGTGCACTCACACAGCAGGGTCTTCCATGTCCCCTGCTTCAGTATCCGTCCCGTGTTATACCTACAGGGTGGACACTGCTTCATCACATACAAGTCTGATTATGTATTTCGCTCACCAGTAATATGTTGTGTTTCTATGTTGAACTTTTGTTTTTTTAGAAAATAAAAAGTGTTTTCAGTAAGTTATCCATACAGCTTACAGTATTGTCTCACTCCTGCCAGATGAATCATTTTGTCGACAATATACTCACTGTAGCTCAGCCGGTTTTAGTATGATTCAAATTAACTGAATTGCTGCGTTAAACAATGGTTTAAATATCCTTGGTTCCATTGAAGAAGCACCCAGTCAACTAATCTCTCAAACATGGCATGTCTCGTCTGTCTGTTTCCCCTAGTAGGATGTAACTAAAGGTTTCCTAGAGATGCATTTGTGTCCATGTTGCTCTGCTGACATGTTATCAGTACACCTTTTTTTTAAGAGCGGCTTACAGTGTCTCTGTCCAATTCTGCTCTTCTTTATTCGTACAAAGCACCAAAGTGTCTTCTCACTCCAGCCGGTCAGTGCTTCTGATAGCATCCCCCTGCGAAGCTCCAGGCTCTGGCCCACCTTGGCATTGATACTGGTGGTGGAAACTCAGTGTGTGGTAAGGTGGAAAATCCTTTGTGTTTTATCGCGATTCATTATCAATAATTAACATTCACTTGCCACTGTATTATATTGTGCAGTAGTTTCTTTATCCCGTTAATTGGGGATTCATTAAAGTAGCCTACTGAGTTTATATTTAATACATCATGTCTATGCCACACAACTTCCCCTTATAATACAAAGATAAACATTACAACCTTAATATTTGGTACAACTGTAGCTTAAAAAAAGAAGTCACACAAAGCAACAAATAACCTATGCTAACCCTAGGAGATTTCTAGCTATGCTAATGTCATTTGCAAATTAATTGAAAGTTAGCACAACAGGAACAAAGAGCAAAGAATTTAAATATTTCAGCAGACATCACCATTAGCATAGTTAGCGAACGTGAGCCAACTCATAAGGTTAGCTCAAGTTTTTGCTACTTAACATTACATAACTTAGAACAGAATGTATTGTTAACCTTGTTATTGGTAGAGGTTGTGTGGCTTATATAGTGGTGCAGGTACGAGTCATTTTCTTTGTGTCTTCACAACGGCGGTTGCTATTAAGTGGCTAAATGAGACTACTAACGTCATCACACTAAACACTAGCCGCTTTTAGCTAAGTGGAGGAGACGTGAAGTCATGTGACCACGACCGTTTGTTTATAGCCTTACGTTGTCTTATTTACTTAATATGTGAACATTATCCTGCTGAACAAAACATGCGAGTATCGTAACCATCCGTTTGCCAGAGTTCATTTTCTGCTATAATCCAAAATCAATTGTGAAAATCCCATAGACTTTTTGCACCTACAAAAAATACCCCTCTAGTACTGATGAATGTATGTTATCATATCCGGATTATCATCTCTGTGACACAGTTTCTGACATCACTTCCTTCTCTAAGCTTTGGACATAAAAGGGTCCAATGGATGAGTTGGGCCCGATCCTGGAGCTCTGCAGCTGGACCCGTCTCACTGCTGCTTCCGCCTCTTCCGGTGCTGCCGGCGACCCATATCCTGGAAGGGACCAGTAGGAGGGTCCGGTGTCACCAAGCCATCAGTCATCCTCTGGTACACCAGGGTGGAGTCAGAGGCTACGGCACACAGCAGCATGGGAAAGCCTCGGTCTAGCACGTGACGTATGCTGCACGGCAGAGAGGGGGAAGCTGTTAGCCTTGTGATGGTAAAAGTCTTCAACCAAAGAACCGAGAGGGCGGAGGGGCCAGTACATTTGAGAGATTCCCCAGTGTCTCATTACCTTTGGTGGCTCAGAGGTCGGTGAGTAGGCAGTGGAAAAACTGTCTGGATGGGTGCTCCTTCCTTCTCCCTCCCTTCCAGCAGAACCACCTGCAGCTCAGGACTCTTGACACATGACACCTCTTTCCACTGACGCACTGCAAGGAGCAAGAAGCACAGAATAAACGTGAGACAGTGAGAGCTAACTTACTCTGGGCCTAACTGTAGTGGGTCCTACCCATCTTATTATGATGGAGGACTTTGTGGAGGAGACACACTTGTTTTCTCTCACTGCTGAATCCCCTTTCCCCGTTTAGAACATGTTTTTATAGTTCTCTCTGGCAGGATAGACACAAATGAAAGGATTAAGGTTAAGATAATATGTTACCTATGCGTATTGATACATCAGAATTGAGTGCACTTTTTACAGAGATGATAAAAGGTCTCCCAATTTGTCAAAAAAGGAAACATTTAATCAGGTCAGTAATGGGCTTTAGTCAACCATTTATCCTTGACAGTCTTTCTTTTAAAATTCCTTAATTGTGTTGATTTTGCTGAGAGAATTTAAGGGAGTAAATATAACATGACACTTACGGTTTGACTAGGACAATATTGAACCGGCTACCACAACAAGTTTACTGTATGTCGTCAGAACTGTTTTTGGGAAGTTAGGTAGTTTTAAATTGTTATTTGTAGGGCTTGGCAATATGGAGATATTTTCGACCCAACACCACCATATAAATATTGACAAGATAGTGAATTAATTCGCTATTTGTGCTGTGCCAATAACCAACAAAGGTAACCCCCACCCACCTTATCACCTGAATCTCCTCCTATAGCACCATTAGGTGCGTTCACACCAAGTACTTTGCCGTATTTAGTGCCAGCACTCAGTGCCCCGGCACTTATTACCCCAGGGCTTTAGTACAGATCGCGTTCACACCGGAGTACTTTTCCCTGAGGGAAGATTACGCAAATGAGCCGCTGACGTCACTTCGTCTTCTTCTGCTTTGGGTTTACTGGCAGGCCGCAAACAACTTCACGGAGTATACTGCCACCCGGAGTCCCCGGCCGGAAGTCCCCGGAGTTGGGGACTGGCTTCAGTAGAAGCTGCTGGGACTCCCAGCAGCTTCTACTGAAGCCTTCCGAGTAAATCGCCAGAACGCCGACACCTCCTCATCTCCACCGCTCCCATGTTTCATTTTGTGTTGCCATAAGTTAGTCTCTCTGCATTTGTGCACTGGGCGAATGCTAATGCTAATAATGCTAATGCCAGGATAATAAAATGGCGGCTCTACAAAACATTTCAGAGTTGTACGGGGCGTGGTTTGCAATTCGCCCAGCAAATCAGAACTGGGGCACTTTTTTCCCCCAGGAAAGTACCATCTCTCAGCAGGCACTAAAAATGGGGGTAAAAGTTCCCGAGATTAAGTGCTCTTTTTGGTATGAACGCGACATAAGGGGTACTAACGGAACTAAACGCAAAAAGTATGGTGAAAAGTACTCCGGTGTGAACGCGGCTATTGTGTTTTTTCAAACCAATCATCTCTCAGAGGGGCGTGGCCAGCAGCAGCTCATTAGCATTTAAAGCTACAGAATCAGCACTTTTGAAACAGGGCTGAAACAGAGGGGTTTAAGGCATGCTACAATGACCAGTTTGGTATGTAGAGCCAAACACTTCAGAGACTTGTTTTATATATCTGAGACCTTTAATAGTATAATAGGGGCCTTTAAAACGTTTTTTCTTTTTTTTTAAAAAAGGGGCTATTTATGTTACTTTATCCTTATATGTATTGAACCAACAATTAACTATAATGGTGGGGAAACAATTTAAAGTGAACACAACTGATTCCTTTTTATATCATTTAAAAAAAAATATAGATAAGAATGACCATCACTCTGTTGACCCCATGTTTATGACACACAAAAACAGACACAAAGTAATGGTTCCTGCTAAATGTTCACAAACTCACCCTCAGACAGATCCATGTACACGAGGAAAGCTGCGTGTACCTGTGCACTGTCCTCCACCTCCAGACTTTTCATTTGCTGATACTAAAACAGCAAGAAGGAGAAACACTGGTTATTGCATGATTTAGCGTCAGACCTGTGAACGCAGCACGGAGGATACTCACTGCTGGGTGCACGAGGATCCAGTTAGGAGCTTCCTCTGCTCTGTGTGACACTTCCGACATTTTAATAACTTATCTACAGTCTAATGTCTCATACAGCACGGTTTAATGTCCCGACATAGCGCTGCTGTCGCGGCGGCATGTGTCAGATGTGTTTTCAGGTGTGCTACACTGAAAGTCGTCCGGGCGGAAAATGGTACTCATGCTTGTTTTTAGCGTCAGGCCGTGGAATAGCAGCTGCCTTACAGCCCAAACTAAGGGCATAAAGAAGGGCACACATTCACAAACATATTCATGCTCATATGATTATATCTTTTTTTTTATGTTGTACATTTAAATACATTTGGACACATTTTATTTTAATACTTTTAAAACTTTCATGCCAGTAAAGTCCCTTTGAATTGAACTGAATTGTTTTTGAAATTGAAGAAACGCTAAACAAACATCAGAAAAGTTGTATTGCATTTAAAGTAGATTCTAAACCTTCTGAACTATCCATATTATCTTTGCTTGTATACATTTTCTAAAAGATTATAGTTATCTATAAGGTGGCATAGACCAAAAATGAAGTGTAAGTTTCCTTACCGTCCCACAAAATAAATAAACACATTTTTGAATCAAATGATAAAAATAATATACAGTATACGTGTACGTGTGTGTGAGCCAATATGGTTACTCTCTATCTCTATCTCTCTCTTTCCCATGTGTGTGTGAGTGTGTGTGCGTGTGTGTGAGAAAGAGTCTCTCTCCCTCACTTGCACCAGTCTGAGGCTACAGAGACATCCAGGTGCCCTGCTGGAAATATGCCTCTTGGATTATTATTAATATTATGTTTAGTGTTTTCATCAGGACGGCTGTTCCTGCCCGGCAGCACAGAGGAGCTGCAGGACCATCAGGGGTCCTCGGAGCTGAAGCCCACTGTGCTGATCACCATCCTCGCTCGCAACGCACAGCACAGCCTGCCCTACTTCTTAGGATGTATAGACAGACTGGACTACCCCAAGGACCGCATCTTCATCTGGTAAAATACTTGTATTTATTGCAATGATCATATGATTAAAAAATGTGGTCTTATTTCTGGTAAAAGTAAGGAAACTTGCACTTTACTTTTGGTATAGTAGATAAATAGTAGATAGCACTGTGTGTAGTCGATGTGATAGAAAAAAAAGAAAAAGGAAATAGAAAATACTAAAAAGATAAGAAAAAAAATTAAATATGGTAAAAGTAAAATAAGAAAGAAAGAAAGAGGCGGTGCAGTGATGGTGATGGTGTTGGTGATGGGGATGGTGTTGTGTTGTGATGTGTCTCTCTCAGGCTGGCCTGCGACCACAGTCTGGACCTCAGCAGGGCTCTGCTGCAGGCCTGGCTCTCAGAGGTGGAGTCTCTCTACCACTCTGTGCTGTGGAGACCAGAGACACCCAGGTGATCAGCTGGAGCACCAACTACACTCATCCACCTTCCTGATACTGTTCCAGATGAATTCTCATTATTATTATTCTACCAGCTCTTACGCAGATGAGCAGGGGCCCAAACACTGGTCCGAGTCCCGCTTCACCCACGTGATGAAGCTAAGGCAGGAAGCCCTCAGAGCTGCCAGGAGACTCTGGGCTGACTACATACTGGTGAGGGAATAAAGCATACGGGACACAAATAATGAAAGGGATAGTTTGGTATTCTAAAGTAGTATGAGGTATCTAAAGTTAGTGTTGGACCTACAGTAGATGACGGTTGGCATGCCCTCAGTTTAGAGAGTTTGTAAGAACAGGAGCAGCGGCAAAACTGACAAAACACTGTAAAATAAAGGACCACCTGAAAGGAAATCGAATAATAAATCGATATCAGTTAGCGTGTACTGTTTTTTTTTAGAATCACTTTACGACTTCGTACGCAGCCCTTTTCTTACAGGGAATCAAAGCAGTTATCTATATTCAAAGCTACCAGACTCTATTGTGAAAAACTGTGATTTTACTTTGCACAACATAGGTGTTGCTGGTCTACCACTGCCTTGATCAGTTGAAAAAGTTGTGTTTTTATTTTTTATTTTGCTGAATCCAAACTAACAGGAATGACCTGAGCAGATGAGGAAGTGATAGACTAGGAACAACAGGGTTCTGAAAGCTTAAATAACTTTTTTTTATCAAAGCAGTCTGGTGGCTTTGGCCTGAGCAGCTAAAAGAGAGAGATATAATGGCGGAAGTTGCCCAAAAGTCTAATGAATAATGTAAACTAAGACTATTTTTCTTTAGGTATTGTAAATATATTTTGCTCCTGGTCCCATCAACAAGTTTACATTCCTTAGCTCCATGCTGTGACTCCTGTCCATTTCTCCAAATGTAGGGTGTGCTGACCACCATCTACTATACACTGACTGTGATAAGTAAATCATAAAACCCAACTTCATAACATTCGAAATTGCCCCTTTAAGTTGGCTAATGTTCACAGTAATATTTCACAGTATTTGGTGTATCATGATCACCATCTATGATGTTCTCCTCTTCAGTTTGTAGACAGTGACAACTTGCTGACAAACAGCCAGGTGTTGTCTGACCTGATGGCAGAGAATCTGACAATTGTGGCCCCCATGCTGGAATCAAAAGGCCTTTATTCCAACTTCTGGTGCGGCATCACTCCTCAGGTAAGGCAAGGTTGATTGAGACCAAAACAGAATATATTGTATAGGGGATGTGGGATTTTTGAGGCCAATACCAATAGCTATTTTTTAGACGAAAAAATCACAGATAACAGTAAAAAAATGTGAAATATATAGCAAACCAAACTCATGTGTAATACGAAGTAAAAACTGCATGAAGTGATTTTCTCCTCCGCTCAGGGCTACTACAGGAGGACCCCGGAGTACATTCCCATCCGTAGGTGGCAGCGGAAGGGCAGCTTTGCAGTTCCCATGGTGCACTCCACCTTCCTGCTGGACCTGAGGCGCAGAGCCAGCGGAGCGTTGGCCTTTCACCCCCCCCACCCCCACTACCCCTACGATGTGGATGACATCATGACCTTTGCTTTCTCTTCACGGCAAGCAGGTGGGGGAGGACATTGACAGTACATTTAACATATTTTTAAAGTGCAATTATTTCTTTATAAATCTTAAGGGGAGGCGCTTCAGATGGTTAGGGTAAATCATTTTCACTATTGGATGTCACAATAGAACGGGGGGTTACGTATTGTAACCCTAGTTATATAAGCACAGGCTCCGCCCTCTACTGGACTCTATGGGTACTACTCTCTATCATGCTATGCGGGCATTCACCTACTGAGTTGCATAAACGTAGCCGGCCAATCAGGGCGAGCCTACTTGAATGCGCGTGCAGGCCCACAGTATATAAGGCGGCTACGCCTCCCGACTGTCATCCTACACCCTCTTCAGCGAGCGGCATATAGCTTTCTTTTCAGTTGTTGCTGCTCGCTGAAGAGAAAAGGATGACGGTCAGGAGGCGTAGCCGCCTTATATACTGTGGGCCTGCGCGCGCATTCAGGTAGGCTCGCCCCGATTGGCCGGCTACGTTTATGCAACTCAGTAGGTGAATGCCCGCATAGCATGGTAGAGAGTAGTACCCATAGAGTCCAGTAGAGGGCGGAGCCTGTGTGATAACTTCCTTTTATTTTTGCATTACAGATTTTCTGATATTTTCTGTGCAAATTAGACATTCTCTTAACATGCTTATTTTATACATGAATATAATAATAATACATATAATACATGTTATTTATATAGGGCTTTTCCTGGTGCTCAAAGCGCTGATATATAACACAACATTGGAGTTGAAGTTTTTTTATAGAGATAATTTGGGATAGTTTGTGTCAACTGTCAATTTTCTTTTAATAAAATGTTCTATGAATAAAATATGGACAAACCCTCTGTGAATACCTCGAGAATATAGTACAGTACTGAATTTAAGCAAATCTAAAAACATTAAAGACAAAATCAGTCAAATAAACATGATAAATGTGTATATTGGGTGTTGTCACACGTGGACAGACTATGAATTTGGGGCTACGTTATTTTCTTGTCGTACCATATGCTATGCTAACGATTAAAGGTAAATCCATGTGCGGCTGCATGTTAAAAAGCCCTCCGCTCTGTGTGCTCCTCTGCAGGGGTTCAGATGTATGTGTGCAACAAGGACCACTATGGATATCTACCAGTTCCCCTCCAACCAGAGCAGACGTTGGAGGAAGAGGAGGAGAGTTTCTCCCACACACTGACGGAGGCTCTCAGTAAGCACTTCCTCTGAAGATGCATTTATTGTATTTGACACGGATCATTTAAATTCTGAATGCTTCTATCTCTGCTCACTCTTTCCGCTCTTCTGTGTGAGCACATTTGGTTCTTTTTGCTCTCACCGTCCTGACACATGTCTCACTCCTCTGTTAGAGCCCTCTGCCTCTCCCTTCCTCTCCTCCCCCTCTTATTTGAGTGTTTCACATCAGTTAGAAGTTGAACAGATCCATGGAAATTCCCTTTTAAGCAACAGGCGGTGCAGCAAAAGGCACATTTACCATACTTCATGTGAAATGTGAATGTGTAACTTTACTTTCCAGTTTCCTTCACCATGGAGCCTTCGTGGCACATTCACACTTTGCTCAAAGAGCAAGGGAAGATGGGATTTGATGAGGTACAGATACATTAACAACAGCAGATGTATCTTCCAGTTTAGATTCAACAGTGACTTTATTCTTATCCTCTTCTAGATCTTTCTGATCAACCTGAAGCGCCGCTCAGACCGGAGAGACAGGATGTTGACTTCTTTGTCTGTCCTCGGCATCAACGCTACACTGACAGAGGCCGTGGACGGCAAGTATGAATCACATTAAACTGCATTTATTATGTAGTGCTGGAAGAAGCATTCAGATACGTTAACAGCATACTGTAACAATGTAACAATAATCAATATTATGACTAAGCTTTAGGTACGATCAAAAGTTTCAAAAGTAAGAAGAATTGATCATATAAATGTATTACATTTATGTATCTGTGTTGTAGCTGGTATGAAGCTAGCCTATTCATAATTGTAACTCAAGGCCCAATTGCTTGCATCTTTTGATCATGTTCAATGGTCATCATCAGCAGAAATAGGCCAACTCTTGCAGAAACATGCATTAGGAGCCCTAGAGATGCTCACAAACACGGAAGGTTTGAACATTGACATTTCCATTTTCCATGTTGCAACTATGATTTTTCTCTAAATCTGACGATTTCTTTCTTGGTTGATCAATTCTAGTTTAGTTTGAAGCAGAAGATTGTGAAAAAAAATGTAGGTACATTTTTTATCTGCTAAGTAAGTAGTGAATATAGACTGAATAAATATAGTGGAGTGAGTAAACATATGAAGTAGCCTGAAAGGAATCTTGTACCTCCAATGTATAATTAATCCCCAATATTATTAATTATTTGCCAAGAACAATTTTGGCACTTGAAAAAACCCTAACCCTTACCTAATTCGTAACTGTTTTAACAAGTACAAATAAAGTAACTTAAATCAATCATGGCCAACACTATTTTTAAATGCAATGAAAGAATAAGAAACTTCAAAAGATTATCTTTGCAAACCCTGTTTTACCTGGAGGGAAAACACTTTATATCAAATAAAAAATGTATCATCCAATTTTTTTTTCTCGCTGGCCTTTCAAGGCTTCCATAGATTGTGATTATGAGGAAATATGTGTCTGTGTGTTCTCCACAGAGCCTTGAACTCCTCTCAGCTGCAGGCCATGGGTATCGACATGCTGCCCGGGTACAAAGACCCTTACTCAGAGCGTGTGCTGACCAGAGGGGAGATCGGCTGCTTCCTCAGCCACCACAACATCTGGAAACAGGTTCAGCCTCCATCTGTGAACCTCAGTGTGACATGCTATGGGATGTGGATCAGAGTGTGATCAGAGTGTGATGAGTGTGACAGGAAGTATAGTCCAGGCTGTCATGTGTCTCCCTCTAGGTGCAGCAGCAGGATCTGCAGCAGGTTCTGGTTCTGGAGGACGACGTGAGGTTTGAGCCCAGGTTCCACAGCAGGCTGGTGACGCTCATGGAAAATGTCCAGAGAGTGGGACTAGAATGGGACCTAATGTTAGTCATTTAATGCTTTAATCCCTTTATAAGAGCCTGAGAAGTGTATGGATTTCCACTTTAAAATGTACAGTACTAGTAGTATTTCCTCGTATTTATTCTAGATATTTACAGTATTGACAGTTCTTTGAAAATAAATCAGAAATGGTTATGGTCCAATATATAATGGCGAAAAATATTACATAAATGTTATTAACAATTTGTTTTCATTATTTAATCACTAAATGACAGTGACCAATGTTTCTTTGAGCATGTACACAGTAAAAGCTTATACTTATATATTATTTCAGCATATATGCAATGGAATAACATTTAATTTGTCACAATAACAACAATGAAGGATCAGAATTTTGTTTTCTTTCAGACCATTGTCAATTAAAATGAGATAGTTTGCATAGTTTCACTACCTTGGCCTACTTAAATGTCCCTGTGTATGTTTTATTGAAAGCACCTTGGATCTGTCACTTCTTCTCCTCTTCAGTTATGTGGGCCGTAAGCGTCTGCAGGTGAAGGAGCCGGAGCGCAGGGTGGAGGGAGTGGGAGACCTGGTGCACCCCGACTACTCCTACTGGACCCTGGGATACGTCCTGTCACTGAGCGGGGCCCGCAAGCTCCTGCAGGCGAGGCCCCTGAACAAAATGCTGCCTGTGGATGAGTTCCTGCCTATCATGTTCAACAAGCACCCCAAGTGAGTGTCACCCAGTGTACGCATTTTCAAATGATAATGCCTTTTTATATTAGCTGAAGCGACTTAACTGACTTCTTGGTACACCCTGATAATAAAGAGTTACAATAATCCAGCCTTGAAGTAACAAATGGATGGACTAGTTTCACTGCATCGTTTTGAGGCAAGATATGCCTAATTTCTGCAATGTTACGTAAATGAAAGAAGGCGGTCCTTGAGATTGATTTTATGTGGCCCTTAAAAGATAAATCCTGATCAAATACAACACCAAGATTCCTTACAGTCTCACTGGAGGCCAAATTAATGCCATCCATAATTAATATATCTTTAGATAGTTTGTTTCGTAGATTATTTGGGCCGAGTACAATAACTTCAGTTTTGGCCGTGTTTAACATCAAAAAAGTCCTTGAGGCAGTCTTGAATTTTATTTAGATGATTGGATTCATCAGGCTTGATAGATAAATATAGTTGAGTATCATCCGCATAACAATGAAAATGTACAGAGTGATTCCTTATAATATTGCCTAGCGGAAGCATATATAATGTGAACAAAATAGGTCCAAGCAGTGAGCCCTGTGGCACTCCATGGCTCACTTTGGTTTGCATGGAAGATTCATCGTTGACACACACAAACTGTGAGCGTTCAGATAGATAGGACCTAAACCAGCCTAAAGCAGTTCCCTTTATGCCAACTAAGTGCTCTAGTCTTTGCAATAGGATATCATGGTCGATAGTATCAAATGCAGCACTGAGATCGAGCAAGACAAGAATAGAGACAAGTCCTTTGTCTGAGGCTATTAGAAGGTCATTTGTGACTTTAACCAGAGCTGTCTCTGTGCTATGATGTGTTCTAAAGCCAGACTGAAAATCTTCAAATAAATCATTGTTTTTTAAATAATCACACAACTGTTTTGCGACCGCTTTCTCAAGAAGTTTTGAGAGGAACGGAAGATTAGAGATAGGTCTATAGTTGGCTAAAACCTTTGGATAGAGGTTGTGCTTTTTAAGAAGCGGTTTTATCACTGCTACTTTAAATGATTGTGGAACATAGCCTGATAATAAAGACATATTCATCATATTTAATAAAGAAGTGTTAATTAATGGAAAAACGTCCTTCAACAGCTTAGTTGGAATCGGGTCTAAGATACACGTTGATGGTTTAGAAAGAAAGAATCATTGAATTCAATTGTTCAAGGTTTATGGGTGAAAAGCATTCTAATTTACTATCTAGTGTAATATTTGAACTTACGTTTCCGGGAGCTGTTGATAACACTATACTGGTCAAAGGCAAGAGGTCATTAATTTTGTTTCTAAGAGTAACAATTTTATCATTAAAAAAGCACATAAAATCATTCCTACTGAGTGCTATGGGAATAGAAGGCTCAGTAGAGCTGTGGCTCTCTGTCAGCCTGGCTGCAGTGCTGAAAAGAAATCTTGCATTATTCTTATTCTCACTTTCCCTATTGCTTTTGTTTGTTAGGGAATAGATATACAGTGATACGGAAAAGCGCAAACAGTGGGTAGATTATTCTAAGGAATAGACAAATTTGGATATTTTTTCTTGTATGAGAAAATGTATATTTTCTTTATACTAACCAATTTTTTTTCAATTATTTATTCCTTTTACTTTCTTATTCTTTTACCAATGTTTTCCTTTCAATGGCATTCCTAGGACTCCGTAGTTAGAGCTTTTTGTATTCAGCTAAAGCAATTTTGTCCCCTCTCTGCCCTTTCAGAGACGAGTACCTGCAGTATTACGAGCCGAGGGACCTGAGAGCATTCTCAGTGGAGCCCCTGCTGCTGTTCCCCACACACTACACCGGAGAACCGGGGTACTTCAGCGACACTGAGACCTCCAGCATCTGGGACGATGAGGCTGTGAGGACAGACTGGGACAGAGACGGAACCAAACGTGGGCGGGACACTCAGGACGGAGCATTTCCTCCTGCGGCCCCCCACTCAGCTCGGGGGGCCGCGCCTCCTCTCTCTGCCAGTGGAAACAGAGATGAACTCTGAGGGGGACTGAGGTCCAACACCCTGGTCAGTATATCATCCTCAGAGGGGGCACCAGGTAGCAACCAGGCGCCTATTAAGATATATTCCTTCACCTTTTCTGTGCAATGTGTAACATTTCTGTAAAACAAAACAGATTTTCTGTGTTCATTTGAGAAAACGTATTGATAAATAGAAATAATCAAGGTTTGAGTACAAATATCCTCTCTTAGACCCACGCTAATCATCTAAGCTGATATTAAGCTTCAGTGGTACAGATATTCCAACAAACTCCTAATTAAATGAGCACAAACCAGATAAGCTGTAAGTTTGGAACCTTTAAAGGGAATGTGTGCCCACATGAGGGCCAAAAGGGGGTCCAGGCCTAATATAATGGGGGCACTACCTCTTGGCTGCCCTAGAATTGATCTTAGCACTTCGGGATTTGACTTCAAATATGAAGTGCGTTACAAATGAAACCCATTATTATTATTATCTTGAAAATATTTCTTGTTTCAATGGGATACGTTTGTATGATATTTAAACAAAAAAAACATTTTTGACTTATAATAGGCCTAATAATCGTCTAGATTTGTGAATTAACTATAAATATGTGGTAATAAAGACAAAGGTTACATGAAGAAAAGAAAATAGTTTAGTTTGCATTGATAACAAAATGTTATTATTATTTAGTTGTAACATAGAAAGGATCTTTATAAACTTGAGATATTGTCATGGTGGTAGGAATACAGAAATATAATATATGAACCTCAATAATAAGGCTAGCACTTTAAAATAATACAGCCAATGTTGCCACTTAGACACCCACAGACAAAAACAGACAAGACAGCAGTCAACTTAAGGATTTTTATTCTTAAAAAAGCACTGGTATTTTCATGTCAAGCAAACAATGGAACCATTTAATATTAGTTTTGTTCCATATCACAAAATGTGTTATGAAAAGAATAATTAAACCACACAAATGATACATTTTCTTTTTTTTGGAATAAATTAATCAGCATAACAAAAAAAAAAAAAAAAACATGCTTGTACTTGCACAGGAAATATTGAAGGTCCAATGCTCAAAATTGAGGACACCTGAGAATATAAATATCAAAACAGCTTGTTGCAGCATTTATTTAGTTCCACAGTTCCCCCTTAACTAAAGCTTTGATAAGAGGATTATTAAAAAAATTACATTTATGTAAAAATTAGGCATCAATTTAAAAAAACATCCATTTCTGTACAATGTGCATATCTGAATTAGTGTGGTGACGAGGAATTTGTCGTTCTACGCAAAAATTCAATCCAAACGCTCATCTGTCATCAAGCCACATTCAGCGATATGAACATATAGATTTGGACCGCGCTCTTTTAATTAAATTCTGCATTGAAGTCAACATGTATTTTTCTTTACTTACTAAACACCCCTTTTAAGAGTTTTTTCCCTAGACAACCAGGGGCTGGATTTATCCCAGAGATTCATTTTGCTACTGTCCATTAACAACAGAAATTGAGGCAGGAAAAAGGAAATTCTGCTGCACAGGTAGTAGTGATGTTGCATATAAAGACAAGATAAGTACGGTGGCCGACAGGTGCAAATGGTGCATTATGATAAACGTGCCTCATTTTCAGACAGTGCAAATATAACAACACTAATATGCCAAAACACATGCAAATGAAGAAAAACATCTTCACCTACATAAAACATGGGCAGGGTTCACTTGCTGCAAGAAGCTCAAAACACAAAGAAAGCAGGGACACAAAAAAGTGCTTGATGACGTTCGGCGATATTTCAAGTTGCCAACCGTCACACTCGCAGAATTAGTCTGTTTTAAATTTCAAAGTATTTTGTCAGCATGCTAGCTAGCTTGCAGCGGATCTGCAATCATATCGGAAGGAATCATGCGATCACATTGTTAAAATAGGCCAATAAAACTTGAATTAAAAAAGGTACATTTCCAGTGACATTTGGCCAACTGTATAATGCCTGACCGACAACAAGAGCTGTGGTCCCACCTGTGTGCATCACTATTTAGTGTTCCCATTTCTATTATGTTTTAACTTCTTGCAGCATTTTGTTTCAAGCGCTTTTAGTAAACTCTGCACACATTTTGTCAAGCTAGTGAATATTTTCTAAATGCTGCACGTGTTGTCAAGTTTTTGAAGGGGTTTCTTCATTTGCATGTGTTTTGGCACTTTTGTGTTTTTAAGTTTGCATCGTTTTAGGAACTGCTGCACCGTTGCAGCGTGTTGGCCACTGTCGGCCACCATAGTAAGGACATAGGGTACATAGCAGACCATCTAGCTGATTAAACTTCTGAAATCCAAGGCTTTAAAGGAATTTCTGAAAGACTGGATGGATGGATTTTGTAAAGAAAAAGAGAATCTGTGAGGTATGTATGTGATATATAGCTTTGTGAGAAGACGCTTCCATCTGTGAGGGGTGATGGAAGCTCATATTTCCATTTTGAAGGCTTTAAAAAACGAGTATATGGTGTGTTCCTTTGTTAAAACAGTCCGTATGTTCGTGGTTACTGCCAGCAGCAACCAAAAACTATCAACAGATCAAACCTCTGGAGGAGGAATGTGTACGAAATGTTCCCATGAGATCAACAGTGAGATGGTTTGACGTGTGAACGCGGAAGACAGATCAGGAAGCACAAATGAAGGGTGTGCGATATAGAAAGAAAAAAAATCCACAACAAGAGATGGCCATGATGACTAAAGCAAACATTACAAAAGAACGAAAAACTACATAGAAACCACTTCTTGCATCACGTTTTTTTTCTAAAGACCCTGGACAAAAAGGCAGTTTTACAAACCATTGGTTATCAACACATGAGCATAGTCCCACAGTGCTTGCTTGTAGAAGCATAGCAACAGTGCAAGCCATGACACAATTCAGCCCAAATACACCTGTAAGAAAAAAGTGCCATATTGCATAACGAGTATCTGTGATGAGCGCATACATATACCTGTACAATGATTTGACTGTAAACATGGTGCAAAGTAGTTATGACATAGTTTAAGGCTTTAAGTGTTGTTCACTGAGATCAAAAGGAATATGTCCATGAGCTGGACAGACAGTGTGAAAACAAAAAGAAAAGATTGACCCTCTTTACTCGGACCTGGATATTGTGTGTACTCTGATAGATTTGATTATTTGATGGCTTGCTCATGAATGTTATTTTTCCTGAAACACAAGGATTGTTGACTTCCTTTTTTGGCATATAGGAATATTTAGGTGCCGGTTCACTTCAATGTTTTGCTTTTATCACAGTGGACATTTTGACTTGTGAAAAACAGGTGTAACGAATAACATTGTGGAATGGCGGCATCCCGTTTACAGAGGTTGGCTGGTTCAAAGACACACCAATATGGAATAGAGCCACCATTTGCTTATACTGAGCTACTTCTACCAAGAAGGTTTTCAAATCAGTTTTTCTGTCAGCGGGAATAAGGACAAACTAGTAGCCGAGTTTCATTGAACGTGGTGGAAGGGTGTAGCTAGAATAGGCAAAGAACCCATTACATGTTTTGGGGGCTGATCCAAAAGTTATATTTTAGAATCATTAACAATTTGAGATTGAGAAACGCTCGTTTCCACCGTACAACGTAAAGCTTAACACAACGAATTCAACAAGAAAAGTGTCTCAACAAATGGTACCCCCAAGAAGCATGTGAATGCACCATTGGCCTTGGCAGAGGTCACCCCGACTGCCATTCTTGATTATATTGGTTGCACCTGTGCTTTTATTTGTTTTGACAAGTCAAAATGAGTGTAAATCAATAAAGGTCAAATGGTATAGTGTGGTGCTGGAGTGAGTCCAAGTCCCGGAAATGAATTAGCATATTACCAATTGTTCTTCTCTCGTCTCGAAGCCAATGTTTTTTTTTAACGTGTTTTTGGTTAGATGCCTGAAATAAATTCTGTGGTTATCACAAGCTTAAAATATGTCAGTAAATACCCCACTGGTGAATGTCCAAAGCTTCTTTGTGTCATTTAAACAGCAGTTGCTAACAAGTGGCTTAATGAGACTACTCAATGTCATCACGCTGAACATTAGCCACCTTAGCTTAGCGGCGGTGATGCATTGTCTTAACGTTAGCTTTTTACTTCTGGCGATTACATTTACGTGTAATATGTGGAGATAATCCTGCTGAACGAAATGTGTAAGTATCATAAACATGTGTTGGCCAGAGATCTCATTTTCTGCAATATTTTGAAAACCAATAGGAAAATCCCATTGCTTTTTCACTTCCGGGTTGGCCTACAAAAATACATCGCTGCACCACTCAATAGTTGTGACCTGGCACACCTGAACCTGAACGTGTTCTGGCTCCACACCCCTGATGAGTGAGGTTTAAACACTTTTATATAATTCTGATATCGATGCATACACACTTTTTCTGAGTTCTGCCGCTAACAAAAAGGTAAATAAAAAACACATACACACCAACACTCACAGGCAATGCCATCCTATCAAGAGTATCCCGTTACCCCTAATATAAGGACTACAATTCATCACATGTATTAATTCTGCTGCTAGTAGCATTACCATTTATCTACATTAAAAGCTTAAAGCTTATATACATTTGCATCAGTATAGGTCTTCCTTGAAAAAGAGATCTATGATCTCAATGGGACCAATCTGGTTAAATAAAGGTTTGAAATTAAATGAAAATAGGACATAATACTACAGTGTATTACGTATCAGCATTTCATGTGTGATAACTGATCTAGAGTTAAGGATGGTGTGCAAACAGCTCCTCTAGTGAAGTTTAATCCACTTTCTGGGAAAAATCAATATTTGATCTATAGTTGAATTGGATATGAAGAAGGCATTACAGAATGGCCTCAATGATGGTTACCGATGCAATAAAAATTAAGGAATGTGTCACCACTAAAACTTTTATATGGAATCAGCAAAGCTAAAAATAAAAAGCTAAAAGGCTTCTAGTCAATGCCTCGCTACCTAACATCACAATCTTGTGCTACTCATGGTAAATAAATGGTACTGAAAGCACAACAACAATCTAGAAATTAACCACAAGAAAAACAGGAGTTTTGGCAGATTTTTTGGAGAAAATGTGAAAAATCCCTGCATTTGTGTACGTGTTTGAAAAACAAGATTATTGATAGGGTTGGATTTATTTTCTCTATTTTAAATCTGCTTAATGTTCCCGTTCTCATCGAATCCTGAGTTAGGAAAACAAACAAACAATATATTTATTTTCATAAGGTTTAGGCTGCCTTACACATGTTATGAATGACGAATTATTTAGTGATGGTTTTTGGTTAAAAAACAGAAAAGCTGTGCCATTTTAAATGTTTTTTAATTAGCTTTCTGAGAAATTCAAGCCTAATTAATTATACTAGGCAATGTGAGCAGGACTGCATTATGGCTTTTTTTTTTTTTTTAAAGATGTTTTGCATCAATGTGATGAAGTTCTTTGATCTGTCCTGTAATACTTTTTAGTAGAATAGCCAAAAACATCCCCATCTGGTCTTTTAACGCTAAAAATATGTCATTCGATTTCACGATACATGACATGAAAAAGCATGTTCCCTTGCATGTTGTTTTATTTTCATGCAGAGATTAGAGGTCACTGCATCGTGACTGTCTTTAGTGAAGCCGTTTTGAAAGCTAGCTCAAAATGTAAACATTATACACGCACTTGGATACACGTGTAAATTAAGTGCAGTAGGTCCAAACTTTCAGGAGACGATAAGTGGAATCAAAAAGCACATTTCTTACAAAAACCCATTTCTTAAAGATTTTGAGTGTTTCTCGGTACCCAACCCTAGTTACATTAGGGGATAGTGGTCACATGACTCGTTTGTAGACAGAGGGATGAAGCTGTTCCCCCTCACTTTCAAGTTCTGTGTATGTGTGTATGTTTTTGAGTTCAACACAAAAATGCTTAATCCTAACCAGTGGACTGATTGTAGCTGGTTAACTTGAAACCGCCCGACCTTCTGTGCTCCTGTAGAACGCCCCCCCCCACAACCCAAACCACCCTAATGGTACGTGGCCGGGTTGGGAGAGGGGGATGCGCCCTTGTTGCGTCCCAACATGGAGGGCTGGAAGTCAGGGTGGCGGCGGGCGTGCTTGATCAGGTGGTCGCTGCGCATGAAGCGCTTATCGCAGAGGGGGCACAGGAAGCGCTTCTCCCCAGTGTGGGTGCGGGTGTGGCGGGCGAGCTCGTCGGAGCGGGCAAACTTCTTCTCGCATTCGGGCCAGGTGCAGGGGAAGGGCCGCTCACCTGCAGCAAGGAGAGAGAGAGGACCATTTAACACCAAACCATTTACCATATCTGTTAAGCTGCGTTCACATGATACGCGGTAAAACGACTCTGCCACCGTGGACCACTCTTAATTGTCACCAAACTTTTAGCTTGTTTACCGCATGACCTTTTGCAGTGCAACCAATCAGATGATCACTGAATGAAGTGACGCAACTTAGCAGGGGACGTAACCATAGAAACAAATCTTTTCACCGCAAGGATCTGAATGCAGCTTAGGTCTACAGCATGCAGTTTTTTGATGATTAAAATATGTTACCAACACAAGACTATATATCGATTAACTTTGTTATCTATAAAATGTCGATCAATGCTGACCATACGCCCAAATTGACCGCCTCAAATGTCTTGTTTTGTCAACAACTCAAAAGATATTTAGTATACTGTGAAAGAGTAGTATAGAAACGAGCAAATGTTGTTGTTTCAAAAGCTGAATTTAGAGAATTTGTTTATCACTCAAATAGATTTGATCTATGTCTGCAGTATTTGACTATTGTTTTTATTGTTAACCACTCATCAGTTAATCGTTGCAACTCCAAGCCCAACTCACCAGTTCTGCATTGCATTGGTTAAATAGCAGATATGTCATTTTTTCTATTATTGTTTAATTTGCACATGGTAACTGATTAATTGTCAATCAAATGTCTTAAAGTTAGTGAAAATGCACTTTGATGTCTTGAAAAATCAGACTGAAAAAAACACAGAATACAAATAAAGGCTGTTTGGTATTTTGCTAAAGGTAACAGATGTTCGGCCCCTTTTTGTTATTTCAACATACCTTAAAAAAAGGGCATTTTGACAAAATGATCTTATGCAGTGTGCAAGCAGTACAAAGAAAATAGAATAGGTTTGCATAGATTTTTCATCAATCCATAAATAGAATATTGGTAGAAAATGAAGTAGTTACTGAGCTACTGCTGTACTTATTTTCTATATCTCTGTATTGATTGTTCGGTGCATAACATAGTGAAAAATGTTGATCCCAGTTTCTAAAAGTCTTGTGTGGTTGGTTCTAATCCCAAAGATATTCACTGTAATATGATATAAAACAGAGAAAGATCTCAACATAGTTAAATATGTGACAAAACATATCTGGGCTTTTAGATGGTCCAGATTAGTGTTCCTAAGCTACTGCTAGCCTTAATCTCCTGCAGGCAACATTAGCAAAACCGGGATAAGCGAGTGGGATGCTCGGAGCCATTTTCAAGATCACAAAGCCTGGCCACGTTGTTGTTGCAGAACTCTTTGTGGGCGTTCCCACCGCAGTTTCTTTCAGCCGTTTCCTGTCCTTAATCCGTGTGCGCCTGCTCAGTGACACTGAACACACCGATTCCCCTCATTTTGTGAAAAATCACAGGCACGTTATAACTCTGTATTAGGGATCAGATTTCATTCTGGCTGCTGGATCTATTTCCAACTACACCTATCTTTTTATATCATGTTAATACACCGCGAGAAATTACCAAATGCATTGCAAAGTGAGGCGCAACTACACATACAGTGTTCTCCCTCACCAGAAATAATAATGTGTTTAATCAGGCACATCCATTATCGGGCACATCCATTATCGGACGCACCCCTTGCAGCTTTTCTAAGAATGCTTTATCAACAACTTCTCCGAGAGTAAAATCAGCAGACGTGAGGAAGAGAAGGTGATGCAAACAGTAACAACTTGGCAGCCCAAACACCATCACTTGCTGCTGCCATCAACAGGAGAGGCCATGTCCGACTAAGAACTCTCTACACTCGACGTTAAGGTTTCGTCTTACGTTCATTTCATATGCAAATGCAGTCGGGAGGAAGACCTTCGTCACCGGTTTTAACGTCCAGCCCAGTTCTTTTGTTAGTTTACTTCTTTGTCAGTCTCTGAGGGGAGTTTTCTGTCTTTCCCTCTTTGTTTGGCCACGTTATTGTACCAAGTCAGGGAAAACATTTACCACCGCAGAGCTACTATTAGCTAATCCGATAAGGGGCACTTCCCCTGGTTAAAACACTATGGGAGTACATGTCACCGCCAAAGCAGAAGTTATGGACACACTTTATTTCCAGCTGTACACAACATGAAGTGCTTATACTACAAACTGTTGTTGTCCTCTTACCTGTGTGTGTCCGGATGTGTGCCTTCAGGTGGGAGGATTTCCCGTAAACTCTGTCGCATCCTTCAAAAGTGCACTGGTGTCGCTTCACCGGGGACCGCGGGGCCCCCACGCCTACTCCCCCCCTCAGCTGCTGTCCGGGCACCGGGGTGGCGGAGGGGGTCATGGTAGGGGTGGTCGGGTCCGACAACGTGGTGTAGCCGCTCTCCCCTCCACACGAGGAGTTGCTGCTCTCAGAGTAGGCCGACATGGGGCGGAACTTGCCGTGCAGGTCGGTGAGGATCCCGGCCACCGCCATCATGTTGGCCCCCTCCAGCCTCAGAGTCTCCCGCACTTCCCTGTCCTCGTTCGACACGTCGGGCTCCCCGGGGAGCAGGCCCACGGTGGTCGGCTGGCTGGCGGGGGCGACCGGGGTGGGTCTGTGCAAGACAGGACCGCTGGATATCGATACCAGACACTCGGCAGCGAAATAATCAGACGAAGCAGTCAACGACATTGTTATCTGCCTCGTTTTGTTGGCTTTATCTAGAAAAAAGTAACGAAACGAATCCGCCAGGAGGGGCTAACGGTAGTCTGAGCCTGACCTCGTTTTCATCAAACTCGACGAACCAACCGTTTCCAGCCGAGCCCTGTAACCGCCATACAGTGTGTCAGTAGTCTGAGAATGGCTTATTTAACTAAAGAAGAGGCACAATTGAGAATAATAATGTGCTAAAACCTTGCCAATAACTCAAGCCAAACACTCATGCCCCTCACCGTTGACGGTTCATTGTGTCTGAGCCTCCGAGAAGCCGGTCAAACCTACGCCCCCTGGTCCGGACCGTAGATGCGTTTAGGGCCTATCGGATAAATGGGTTTTAGGGGTGTTCTAGGTTAACAATCTCTAAAAATGCCGTCCTTTTTGTTTTATTTTGTCACTATAACTACTTCAGTATCATATCTATAATTGAAACACTGCATTTATACATAAACCCCATATAGCAAATCACAAAGGGCAATATTTAACACAAACTATGAATATAGCATCTAGGTATGTTATGTTTTATAAATAACCACAAAGTCCCAAGCACAATGCTTTTAAATGACCATAATATAGCATCATTGACATACTGAACGTAATAAAATGTGCTATTTCTATGATTTCAGGACTCTAAACGATGGGGTGAAACCGGGTTAACGGTATTTCTTTCGAGACATTTCTTATTTACCATTTTTTGCTACGTTTTGAACGCATTGTCTACCAGCGGCACGCAGTAACTGACGTCGTAGCACGGGCGTGGACCGCGGCGGCGGGTGCATCGTGGAAAGTAGGTGGCAGGCAGCTTGGGTAATGATGGGGGAAGGAGATGGGGATGAAAGGCGCGATGGGTAATTTAGTTGGAGCCCACCCGAAAGGCTGAAGAGCGGGACTGAGTAGTGCAGGGCTTTTTTTTTTTTACACCTTCCAGGCAAATTTAGTTTCATGAAGGACTCTCTGTATACACTTTTCCAACAGTTTTTATCCATAAAACCCAGACACTAGATGTCCCTCTTGCCTGACGCTCACCTCACTAAGCTGTGTGTAGAGAGAAGTTTATGAATCAGCTTTAATAGATTAGAGTCCACACTGGTTGTGTGGCTTATTGATTATGGTCATAATGACAATGTGTATGTGTTTAACTGTGTGTCCTCCTAAACTATTAATTAATATACAATAGCAACAACACTTTGGTCATTATTATAATGACCAATCCACAATCCAGGTTGTGCTGTCATGCTTTACTATTGTACTATAATTAGGATATATTGTACTATTGTACAATATTGTACTATAATTAGGATATATACCTGCAGATAAATATGTTTTACATTGTATATTATGATGCCATCTTTCATACTGAACAATGCAATACAATGAATTTGATCTCACTGTATGTCATTCCATGTTTTTTTTTGGGGGGGGGGTGGGTTCTTTCTGAGGTCCACTCAAGTGATTGGCTCAGAGTGTGTTTGTAGCTCCAGTTGGGAAGGTATTTCCTGATTGGTCGCTGTGAGCACCATGGGTCACTGTGGAAGCCCACGTACAAGCCTGGTCATTCAGTGGTGGGAACAGTGCTTGGTTTTCATCCCACTTACATGTGGAGGAGGCTTGGAGGAAGCCAAACCTGAAGTTACTACAGAGGTTGCTATGGCTATGTTCTTGTTACTACTCAGTTGTCTGCATCTTCTTTTTCTACTGCTACACGGTGAGTTGTGTCTTTTGTTGTGTGATATATTCATTCATGGTGTGCAATTTAATTTTCCATTAAAGGCAGAGTTGACTTGACTAAGAGTCGAGATAACATGAGGGTTAAATATAGAGGTTTGGTGAGTTTTCTATACGAAAAGTTGTTGTTTTTTGTCATTATGTTTATGGTTTTTTGACCTGATTTTCCATGCAGTAGGTGATTGTTTTCGGACGGAACCAAATCTCTGTGATTCAAGTTGTGCTGGTGAGAAACCAGTTTGTTGCTTATGTCATACAATACATGCTCACTGAAAAATACTTAAATGATAAGATTTGACATAAACATTTTTATACCACAAGATTTGCCTCAATTAAAAACTCACTTTCTTTAAATCTTATTATTTCATGTCTTTAGGGTCTCCTACCCCCGACTTGACCTATCAGAGAGGGGTCAGGTATACTTACAGGTATAGCACGACAATTACTACAACCCTTCATGGCTCCAGTGCTGGAAGGAATGGACTGGCTTTGGACTGTGTGGTTGATATCGACGTGGTTTCCAAGTGTCACCTAATGATGCAGGTCAGCTTTCATAGAAGTGTTAGTGGGAATAAAAAAGAAATGCAAAAACTCATTGATTTGTGCACTTGCAGATCAGGAATCCACAGATAAAGCGACTTTCCCCTCAGAAGGAACACTCTGTGCAACGCTTAAAGAGCTTGAGGTACAACTTTATGTGTTTTTATAAGTAAATGCGCTCTATTTTGCATGTCTGTCCTCATTGTGCAGCATTCAAAGTCCCGATCGTTTTGGAATGCCACAATTGTTTTTCCTATGAATGTGATACTCTGTTCCGATGCTTCACTTGTCTGTGTTTTGGGGTCCCCGGGGGGCTCATCTGCTGTTTTTGTTTCCCAGAGATTTGCTGGAGAGAACGCGCCTCAAGTTCTCCCTCCATGGGGGAAAGGTCACGGCCCTCTGTCTCCAGGAGGGGGAGCAGGTGTGGGCCCTCAACATTAAAAGGGCTCTACTGAGCATGCTCCAGACCTCCCGCATGGCCTCCAAACAGGAATTAGTAAAAGAGGTGAGGGTTAATGAGGGCTCTGTTCTGTGTATGCAGCAGCTCCTCTGTCTTTATGGAAATGTCAAAATAACTACTTCTAGTCCGAAAACATTCCCTCTACTCCTGCAACAAACAAGAACCGTCATCAACACCATCTTGCCATAATGTAGTGCACTCACATGGTAATTATCTGACTTTTCTCTAATCCCTCTTCCCAGACTGATGTGTATGGGACGTGCAGCAGCAAGTATGAGAGGAGAGGAGCTGTACTGCTGAAGAGCAGGGATCTAAAACAGTGCCAACAGGCCAGACTGGCACACTTCTGGTCTCATTCAGTAGCTTTAACTGAAGATACTGTGAGTTTACCACTCTTCTTTTTTGATAAAGACACTGTTGAAACTGAGGCATTTTAAAGGGGCCCTATTATGCTAATTTTCATATTCTGTACATTAATGTAAAGCATAATGTCTCTGATGTGGCTAAGGGTCAGTGTCAGTGGGGGTCCATGGGCCTTGTTAATGTTGATAGGGGCAGTCAGGACGTTAAGGGCCGAGCCCAGACCACAGTGGCAATTTCTTTTGCAAACAAAAACAAGCTCTGAGTCTATTTTAAAGCATTTTATTGCACTCCATCCTTGCTAGTACTTACAAAACCCTAGCTTCGGCTCATTATACTTGTTGATTCCTTTTTCTTATCTTTGGTATCTGAGTTCAAGGAACGTGGAATTTGAAAGAGAGTGATGACGCTGGTTCACACTTTTCTGCACAACCCTAACCCTGAGCCCTCTGTCATCAAAATAACATCAGTAATGTGGTTCAACTGTTGCATTACAGTTCTTCTTTCATGATGCAAGGTTTGTTTTCTTTCTTTGCTAGTCAGTGCAATCAGAACTGAACTGTATTCAGAAGCATGGATCTACAGTGATGGAAGAGGTCAACTGCACTGAAGTTGTTTCTATGGCAACATGGTCCGAGACTGCAGGGTTGGTTAAGACAAAAACAGTGTCGACCCTGCTGCTGCTCAGAGCCCAGCCAGGGACCCCCTCAGGAGCAGGTCAGGAGGAGTGCTTACAACTTGGCAACTGTTTTATAGACAAGTATCCTGATGCCTGTTCTCCTCAATGCAGATTCCGTAGGTCTTGGTGTTCTGACTGATCTGCAGTTTGAGGACGAGGGGGCTGCAAGGCCAGGAAAAGCCAGAGCGTCAACACCTCAGCAAGCCAGCCAAACTGTTCGGATGTTATGTAGCCTCACCTCAGACCCACAACTGGTAGGACTCAACAAATTCAATTTTCCTTTGAACTGTATTCAAGAAATTATTATTTTATGTTTTAGTTTGCATATGTTACACTTACAGCGGTCCTTTTCAACTGATGATATAAACCACTTGTAGAGTAAGGGCTACCCTAATCTCTATAAACATAATTTGCATGAAGAATCTGTAATCAACAGGACAAGGCTTTGGCATCGGGAGCTTTCTGGTTTCCGTTTGTAGTCCTTGTACTATTGACCAATCATGTTTGCGCATGCTTGGTTGAATGCAGGTAAACAGTCCGTGTAGAGAGCAAAATAGGCAGAAAGTATTGGCTGAAAAGCAATTTAGGAAACCCATCGCTTATCGTCTGACGATGATTATGTTTTTTACTACATTAACATTTGCTAATAAACTGGCTACTTTTGAAACAAAATGGTCATAGACGTCGTTGTCTCGCTTCTCCAACTCCATTCCGGCCTCTCAAAAGGCTAAAAGACTGTAAACAATGAGTGTCAAAAGAAAGAGGGTTCTGCAGGGTTCCGTCACCTGATCCCATTGGTCCTAAAAATCTGTTTTCCAATTGACTTACATTGGTTTAGAGACCTCTATAAATAATTGGATAACATTTCTTTTTAAAATTTGATTGATTCGGACTGATGAAGTTTGAAAGTCTAGATTATGCGCACAGTTAAATTGTTTATCACCATTTAAGTTAGCGTAGTTCTAAACCATAATTGAAATGAGCAGGGCTCTACCTCAAATGCGGTATCTAGTTCTCTTTACACACATCAATGCGTCAGAACAAGATGCCAATGGGTTACAAGATTGCCCGTACCCTCCCAGAATGTTGGCGAGCCTAAGTAAGAGGATTGACTTCCCCCAATACTTTACTGTGAATCATTTAAATGATTCCCATACACAGGAGGCCAGTCAAACATAATCTGGCAGCCCTCATCATAATTTGTTTACATGGGATGTGTTTAAAAATAGCTGTCAGACCCAGAGCCTGACACTCTGTGATATAAAAGCTGTGTGGGATAAAAAGTGCATTCTGTAGGAAGCCATTGGTTCTGGTTGAGCAGGAATAGTTTTGAAAAAATGGAGAGTACATTTAATTGATTTTAGGATATCAAAAATCTAAGTCTATATATGTGTTTGGTGTTTGCTCTCAGCTATCGCAAGAGTTCCTTGAACTGGCTTTCCAGCTAAGAGATCTGACACTTGCTCAATTGAAGACACTTTGGCAAGAAGCGTCTTTCAAGTGCCTCAACGACTGGTCAGTATTTCCTTTGTGTTATATAATAACATACAGTATGTTATGTTGAGTCATTCAGTTATGAATCAATGTCTATACATGGGAGTTTAAATTGGACATTTCCACACTTGTTATAGAGAAAAACATTTATTGTGTGACCAGTACATTTGATTTAAGCTGAAGGGACTTTTGTATATCGGTTACCATTAGAAAATACACAGCCTCTGGCAAAATATGTTAACAAAAGACAGTCTGTGTGGGACAGTAACTAACTCAATCAGAGACTACTGTGAGACGGATGACTTACAGCAAACCTTCTTAGTATCGTCTATGCAGAATATAACAAACTGACATTTTGACTTAAGATACAAAATCTTGTTTCAAGACTAACTTCATAATCATAAAATATCAGCTATGGGATTACTCTGCATATATTCCAGTTTAAATTGAGACTAAACCTATCTTTGGTCTAAGGTCAATGGTTCAGCCACCACAAAGGCCACTAGAGACCATCTTGTGATGGGATCACACCAGCCGTAATGCCAAATCGGGCCATAGGTGTAACGATTGGGGGGGGGGGGGGGGGAATTCTGGGTTCCCCTTGCCCAACCAATCTTTTAAACTCAACTACACAGCTGTAGGTTTTGTGATTGCATTTGTGTAGTTGTGAAAGCTAAAAACAATACCAGTGCCCTGTTACGGTTTTACGGCAATCGGTTTGTAGAACTAAACTTGCTACTAAAGTCATGAGTCAGTGGTCAATGACGGAATAAAACAGTAAATAGTCAAAGACACTCTGTTTGAAAAAAGATGAAGAATCAATGTACAGATTAGCTGTGGACATACAGATACACACACACGACCAAACACAAGATCCCCCAAAGCATATGTGTGATTATGGAAAAAGCAACAGTCCCATTTCGGTAAAGTCCAGCTGACCTGTTTTTTGTGATTTCTTGTTCATGGCATGACTAACTGACACAACTAAATGAGATGAAGGCTACATTAACAAATATAGTACAACAGTGAAGATTAATACCTACCCTCCTGTCTGTATATGAAGCTACAAGCTAGCCGTCGGTTAGCCTAGCATAAACACTGGAAACAGCAGTAATTTCTTTAATACCACATTATGACACATACATACAGCAGAGGTTGATACTGATGCTCATTAACTGGTTGGACAGGCAGCCTCTGTTGGATGCATTACCAGCCTGTGGATCTGAACACTGCATCGTACTGCTGACCGACCTGATGAGGAACAAAGAGCTGGAGGAGGAGCAGGCTTACGCTTTTTTAACCACCATGGCCCTCATCCCTCATCCATCGCCACAGATCATCGAGTCCATCAATGTAGGAACCTCTATGTGACATTAATGAAGAACTAAATATCTCATAAATTAAATGAAATAATTTCTGTATTGAGGCTTGTCTTCTATCTGTGTTAGGCCTTACTGCAGGTCCAAGAGCTGCGTTCAAAGGCGCTGCTAGCTGGATCCTCTCTTGTGTATCAACTGTGCCAAAAGTCTCAAGCCTCCTGTAGTGAACTTCCTCAGGTGCAGTCCTTCATACAGACTCTTGAGGAAACCCTGAAGGAGGGCTGCGAGGAAGAACAACCCACTCAAGCGAAGGTGCTTTCATACAGACACACACACTAGCTGCATTAGCATATATTCACCTGACTAAACCTGTTGATTTGAACAATTGTACATAAACAATGGCTAATATACATGTATGTTTTCACCCCAACAGTTTTATTATGCACTGAAATCTGTGGGAAACATTGGTCTGTCTGCTCCAACCTTTATTCCATTGCTAAAATGCTACATGCTAAGCCCCTCAACTGCACTTGAGCTGAGACTAGCCGCCATCCAAGCCTTCAGACGCTTTCCCTGCTCAGCTGATGTGAGTTGATTACATTATCTTTACAGCTTTGTTGCCTTTTTATGACAGAGGACGGTTAAAGATTGGGTAGAAGAAAACATTTGGTTTGAGGAAAATGACTCAATGCCAGAATTGAATACAAGTTTAGTGTACCTGTTAGGCTAACAAAGTGCTCCTGATGTGAGTTGATTCTAATTAATACCTACGTTTTTACTGAAATCATTCACTTACATTTGTGAAAATAGGTAACTCTAGATAACTGTCCTTTTTCAATAGAAGGTTCAGTTACTCATATTTCAAAAATAATATCTCTTCATATCAAAGAGGCTAACTGTCTAATTGATTCATGATGAGTAGAGGTGGAGGTGAAGAGGTGCTGAGCCGTCTAACATGAGTGAGTAACAGCAGTTTCCTTCCTTCAGAGGTCTGTGCTGTTGCAGCTGTACCGCTCCTCCCAGGAGGATCCCGAGGTCAGAATCGCTGCATACCAGCAGCTCATGCACTGCCCCAACCAGGACGTGTTTGAAGTGGTCAAGACCACGCTGAGGAACGAGACCTCCAGCCAAGGTCTGATTCAAACCTTTGTGGTTGGTAGATAGATGTGTTTCCTCCTGAAAAATGTTTAGCAATTAAAATATTAATAAACAATGTCAGCTTTCATTGTCAAACAGATGAAGTATTCATTATAGAAGCCACTTTATTTTCTGTATTTTTTTAGTTGGTCATGCTAACAAGACTTCATTTTTTTTTTAAACATAGATGATGATTTGTTCTAATAATTATCGAACATTGTCTGCTGGCATGTTTCCCCAAATTACTAAGAATGTGTATATAAAATTAATCTTGTTTACTTTAATTCCAACTCTATTCTGTCTAGACATCAGTATGACTTTCATCAAGTCCACTAGGGTACATGGCTTTGCTTTCTCTGACAGATTAAATCTCACTATAACTTGATCAAAAACTATATATTTGTTGTAAAATGTTGTGTAGGTGAATAACAACTTTTACAGTTTAATTGCAGAAGTATGTTTTCTCAACACAGCAATCGTATGGCTAGGATATTATTTGTGTAATACATAACACTGTTAAAAGGGTTGCATTGCCATTAACGCAAAGCCCAATTACAGTAGGGTGTACCCCAGGGGTCTATTCCTGTGTTTCTAGAATTCCTCATTTATATAAATGATTGACCCAATGTGTCCAAATGACTTACTCCATCAATTTTAAGTAGTCATTTATGAAGCTAACTCTGGTTTATCTACTTATGCAAAGTGATTAAATGCAAACAAAATTGAACTTCAGAATTCGAATTGGCAAGTTTCATTATGCCTCATGTCTAAGCAATTAAAACCCTTTTTTCCTTTTTACAATGAAACATTTATGAGAACAAAAAATCACACATTTCTGAAAAAAGCTTGAACATTTGAGATTATAGCGTCCTATATTTGCGAGGAAGTACAAATAAATGATCTGAGATTTAATTCACAAATTTGCGAGATATCTTTCTGGGTTAAAGTAACAATGAATGGTAAAGGGGCAAAACTAAAAGCGGGATATTCCTTTTTAGAACTTTCTCATCTTGATGGACATTAATAACTGTTTCTCTTCTTCTTCTCCAGTGGGCTCATATGTGTGGAGTCACCTGACTAATGTCCTGAGGAGCGAGGACCCCATGAAGCAGCCCCTAATCGAGTCACTGCCTGATGACATTATCAGTAGAGACTTTGAGGCTGAGTTTTTGAAATACTCTTTTTATTCAGACTACACTATTTCATCAGGTAAAGATGGCGTCCCTTCAGTTTCAAATTCCAGATAAACAATACAAGATAAACTTAATGTTACATGACTAATTCCTTTCAGGCATGGGGATTCAAAATGTGGAAACCTCTTTGGTTTTCTCTCCCAAATCGTTTCTACCAAGATCTGCCTCTGCCAACCTGACACTGTATTTACATGGCAGAGCCCACAACCTTCTGGAAGTGAGTTTGATGTCCACTTGAATTCTAAAACTAAATTAAAGTCCTACAAAATGTACTTAAACCCATGTATTTATTTCCCAACTTAGGTGGACCTTCACGTTGAAAACGCTGAACCTCTTTTGAGGAACGTTTTCGGTCAGCAGAACTCAGATGGAGAGTCCCAGGCTCAAAGTCCAAAGTCGCAGTTCAAAGAGGCATCAAGGACAAGAAGAAGAACAGAGGATGGACGTAGTGCAGAAAAAGAAGCGTGTTTATCTGACACCAGCAGTTATCTGAGCCAGGCCAGGGCCATGGTGAGGTCACTGTGATTGCTGAAGGCCAGTTATCTCTACTTTATTAAGAGGAGTTAAGGCAGCAGGATTAACACCAAGCCTGGTCAAGTGGGATACACAGACGTGAACATGTGGGGAGGTTTTTGCATCGGACTTGTGGCCATTTATATTGCATTTTAGATTTAAAACTGTTATCTTGAATGTACATTTGTAAAATACTTGAAGTAAATGCCTAAATTAGGGCTGTAGCTCACAACTATTCTTTACTATTGATTCATTTACTGGTTATTTTCTTGATTAATGATTCATTAACCCATAAGGTTAGAAAATAAAACTGACCTAAGTTCCTGAATTTGCATCTAAGGTATTTAGTTACAGGAATTGAAGGACAAGAAAAATGCAAGCATCAATACTTACATTTAAGAAGCCACAATCATCAAATCCTTAGTTGGCGATTAATTCTCTGCCAAACAAATAACTGACTACTTGTTTCAGCTCTCTTGAAACAAAAGTAATTTTAGAGGCTGTTCATAAATGTGTCTTTTCTAGTTGTTTGGGAGGAGGAGATCAGAGGAGAACAGGCCCCGGTGCTGGGTTGGTGTGAAGGTGTTTGGCAATGAGCTCAGCGTGTTCTCATGTGAAGATCTCTACAACCAAGTGGACCATCTGTCGCTGAGCGTGGCCGGACTGGCTGTCAAACTGCTCAAGGTATACTCACAGCAGCCTATCTTAAATATGTTTTTATATATTTTTTAAGATATGGCACAAGAGAAAAGGAAAATGTCAGTTTAACAATGACATAAAATAAATAATACATTAAACTAAGATTATGTTTATCTCAATGGATCAAAAGGGGAAGAAGGTATCCTTTCTGCATTTTAAATTTGTATGCAAACTATTCAAAGTAAAAAGTTAAAAAAAATAGAGAAAATCCCAATATAAAAAAGAATACAACAAAAGAATTAAAAAAAAAACGAAAGTAGAATGGCACCCAGAGAGCCCAGACTTCCACCAAGGCTAATGGTGCGTTTATGTGCTCCTTGGATGGTCCCATTTTTGAATTTCGAGGTGTGTATTCCGAATTCAGTGTGTGAGGAGCTTTAAATTGTAATATTGAAACAACATGGTGTGTAAAAAAACGATTTCGATTTATATCTTATAAGAATTTTCTCTCACCGAATATCTTATTTTTAAGTAATAGAGTTTTTTTGCGGAGTTCCAATGAAGAAGATTGTGTGTGCGTGTCTCTAGTAAGGAAGTGAACGCTAGAATATCTCATTGCTTCGAGGTGTAATGTTTGGAGTCTTCTGCAAACCCAAATGTTGCAATATAGGGAAAAACATGAACAGTTAACAACAGTGTTTTTGCTATATTATCGCAGTAGTTCTGCTAAAAGCAGGATAATGATGGACAAGAATACCACAAATGGGTTGAGATAGCAAAATAAAACCTGGATACATCTATGATAATCAAGCTTTGGATTGCTTGGAACTATATAACTGTGAGACGTCGTCACCAGTCGTCCTCCAGATTTAACCTCAGTCCACGCTCCTAGTCTTACTTGAGTTAGTCTCTGTCTGTTTACCCTCCTGTCAGTTTCTCACACACTCTCTGTCCTCCAGGGTCAGGAAGTCCAGCTGAACCACCGGGCCGTGCTGATGACAGACGAGCTGGTTTTACCGTCTCTGTCCGGTTTACCCATCAAACTGGGCATCAACATGACCTCCCTCCTGTCGCTGCGTCTGAAGGGCAACATCAACTACAGGGACACCTCTCACTTCTCCCTGACCGGATACATCAAACCAAAGTACTTCCATATAATCTAACAGGGGCTACTACTCTGACATTTGGTCACAAGCGGTAGAGTGTAACTGCTGTCTGTATTCCCAGTGCCTACGTGGGGCTGTCGGCCAGGATGGGGGTTGACGGTGCTCTGGGTCAGGCTGCGGTGGACTGGGTCTCTGAGCTGAGGAGCTCCACCAGTCTGGATGGTAGTGTTCAGCTGCAGGAGGGGCGGGATGTCCGGGTCACACTGAACACACCGGAGGACGTCATGGACATCATCTCTCTCAGGTAACAGTGGATTATTACCAGAATTATTTGTTCCTTTATTACATTCGTCATCTTTTAGAATCAGAAATGGTACAAGAGGGTAAAGCTAAGTAAAACCAAACTCCGAAACGTTTTGGCATCCAAAAAGTAACTTTCTGAAACTGTAAACGCACTGTTAAAGTTGTAAGACGAAAACACCCTAACTGTTCTACACCATGTGGTAGAGATCTGCTAATTAGATAGGCCCTAAAGTATTTCCTGCTTTATCGTCTATTTCACTCTAAATGGGACCCAACTTTACTAAATTAACATCACGATGTATTGAAAAAGACTACAAACTAGAAATTGAGACCATAACATTATTAGAAAAATATTTACTGGGGTAATAAAAGAAGTGCGAAGTAATGTCATTTTCTCATAGACTTTTATACAATAAGCCTTTTTTTAATGCAACCAATGGAGTCACCCCCTGCTAGATATTAGAAGGATGCCCTTTTAACGTCCTATAGATCTGTCATAATGTTTTAGACCTGGAGATGCTGTTAGTGTAAGATTTAAAAAAAATGTAATTGTTGAATTGGTTCAATATTTAATACATCTTTTTTACCACATTTGCACTTTGCTTTACACTTATTTGTACAAACTTTCTTTCTTCTTGATTATGTTTAGCAGGTTGCAAAATCTTCGAATTAATAAATACATTTTAATTGAACACAATCAGTCAGTGTTTGATATATCAAGGGTTTCAGCGAGTGTGTCCATTTGTGTGTTGACCAGCTCCAGAGTGTTTCAGCTCAGTGGAGACCACAGAGAGGAGATCAGGGGGCCAAAGAGTCGAGTGCAGAAGACCTCCTGCACCCCAAAGACATGTGAGTCCTCCAACACAACACTCTGTATAGATTTATACATCACACACAGAAGCAGGGATAGGACGATTTAGGATTTTACCTGTCGGCTTACTTTCTACGATTGTCAGATGATAAAAGTTAGATTCTGTTTGATCTCTGCTTCCTTGGCAGGGTCCAAGATGGTCGGCTGGCAGCTGTGCTCCAACGCCTCGTACCCATCGGTTGCCCCAGGGGTTTCACTTCCTGCTCCAGGACCCGTCCACCTCTCCCTCCGCCTGCTGAAGCTTGACCGAGGCCTCCATTATTACATGTTGGAGGCCGCCTACTCACTGCGCCCTCAGGTAGGAGAAAAGAAGAAGCTAAGTTCTTCGTATTCCCCTGTGTGAGATCTCTTTATCTAGCCTCACAACTTGTGTTTCAGAGAGGCACCTGGCTGCCCAGAGAGGCCTCCATCCACTTCCTCCTGGCCACACCTCAGTCCTCCATCCCCAGGGACATGTCTCTGGACCTGACCTTCAACCCCCACAGACTGCTGCTGAGGATCACCCACCCTCTGAAAACCATCCACATACAAGGTCAGTCGCAGAGGGGAATTATGGGAAAAAAACATCTTTCAGGGTTTAATACTGAAAATGTGTTTTTTTCAGGGCAACTTGAACAAGAGAGAAACGTAAAGTCAGGGAAGCTGGAGCTTATAATTGATGGTGTTCACTATTACGTCATGGCAAGTATTGAGATTGTGTATGCTATGTGATAAGATTACATGTCTAGTCATGAAAGATGTTAATTAGTTTATTTCTAGGGTTTGGTGGACACTCACACCCTGCTGTCAGAGCAGAGGACGCGCTATCACCTTGAAGCCAAAATGGCCGCTGATGGACTTCCCATGATCCTCTCTGCCAATGTTACACGTGGACTGGGCAGGAAGACCAGCTTCTCCGCCACTGTGAAGAACGTGTTCAGAGAAACTGCATCACTGTCGGGTATGCAACTAATATAATATATATAATATTAATCTTCGACATTTATATTTGACATAATATTTACCATAAATGTATTATTCAGAAAATGTTAACCTAAGTCACAAATTAAGTTACAAGTAGGGTCATTTTTTCATAGACTTCTATGCAATCCGAAAAAACAATTATTAACCAGTGAATTCGCCGCATACTGGTAAAAAATGTAGGTTTATGGAACATCCCTGAAATTACAAATTAACCACATTTTATAAATGTTTGACATTGGCCCCAGTTGGTGAATAACTCACATGATAGCTGAGGTTAACGCAGCGTCCACGCTGGCATATGATTTGATTGGCTGACGCTTCCGTCGAAGCTTGAAAAGTTGAACTTTTCTCAACTTTTGAAGCGAGCAACGGAGGCAAAGCGCCGCGACGGAACCACAATGCAGTTCGGCAAAGCGTGACGTCACCCCATTCAAAGTTAATGGGAAGCTGCGTTGAAGCTTCAACGCACGCCGCCGTGTGGACGGGCCAAGGAATCCCTGTAAAAGTTGTTCCTATGCTGTTTAGAATGTTTACCTTTGACATGTGGTTTAGCTGTGTTCGTTCCTCCATCAGTGTCCCTGGAGCGCAGGCGGGATGCCAGCAGCAGGCAGTACTCTGTGGAGGCGGAGCTCCTGTTACCTGGGGTGGTGGGCACCAGGATGCTGGGTCTGATGGAGCAGAAGGGCTCAGTGTGGAGCTCCGCGCTCAGGCTCAAATATGGTCTAGGAGGTGAGCTACTAAAATATGTACATTTTGAGAAGCCACACGACTAGTATAAGGTTTATTACACATACAAGGAATTTGCTTTGGTGTATAATGGTGAATTCATAATATTACCAGAGAAATTAAGTTGCAAAAAAAAAAGAAAAAAAAAAAAAAGCAGGAGTAAACTCTAAAAAAGTAAAGGAACAGTATGCCTAAAACCATACAAAAAATTAAGAATCCTCCAATAGTCCTCTTTAGAAAGGTTGCAATTAAGAAAAGTGACGGTATTTAACTGCTTTAACTCCATCAATGGTAATATAATATGTGTTAGTATTTAAAAAAACAGCTTATTTTGATAGCTCATTTTGGTAGGAAATGGTACTAAGGTGCTGCTCTATTCATTCAGATTGTTGAAGTGTCATTTGCAAAGGTTAACACATATTTTTTGTTTCTGTATTTTGGAAAACTCAGCAGCAGAATGTCTCCTTCTTCGGACCAACTGCCTATCCAATATCCTGTTTATTATACAGACGACAGTGAAAAGGTTTTTAGATAAATCACTATTTTTGAGTGATAGTGATTTGAGTTTTTCAAAATGGCACGTTTTTTAAAGCTACTACCACTAAAAAATGCATTTAAGTCATACTGACATCTGTTCTTCCTAAAAAAAGGGCTCTTGTTAATGTTTGGAGGAAATTGAGCAATTTTACATCAAGTTTCTCCCCGTCAGGTATAATTTTTAGCTCACAAAAACGTCAGTTTCCCTGACCTTTGACCCCTGCACAGGTGATGCCCGGCACCTGCGTCAGGAGTGCTACACGTCTCAGAGACTAAGGAGGGAGAGGGACTCAAATCTCACCTACATCATGAGAGCAGAACATGAATTCTACTGCTCCAACACGGCTCCCATCAACCACAAGGTACCTGAAACCCACTGTGTGATCTCACACAAGCTGGTAAAGGGTAGTCTGGATTTTGTGGGGTTATGAGGCATTAATACAAAGTCGCTGTATAACCTACAGTGGACGATGGTCATCATGCCCCCAGTTTTGAAAAACAAGTAGTTACAGCTTGTGAAAAAACCCAATGTGTTGCTGTGGACAGAGGCAGGTGCGAAATGTATTTTAGCCAGCTTAAAGAAAGGCTCACTTAATAGAAAAGTATAACGCTTTAAGTGTATGCTATATTGTAAATATTTCCAACGGTTGACCTTGCTGTCAGATAGTTTTTTACGAGGAAAGTGCATCTGTTATCTAAGACCTCCCCAAAGCCACCACACTTTGTTGAAAAAAACTGTAATTTTATCTCCAAGATCATGGGAGTTACTCGTCTACAGCTGCCTTGCAAAGTCAGTTTGTGACATAGCGTGACTTCCTTTTGTTGGGATAAACCTAAGTCAAACAACAAAACAAACAAACAAATAAACAAACAAACAAAATGATAGACTCAACACCAACAACTTCTCTGTCCTTTTAGGTAAATTGCTGTTTCAATATATCTCTTTATCGTATAGAAAATCATGAGTGGAAATGCTGAAAAATCGTATTATATAGCTTCCGAACAGAGCTCTTTGTTTCTTTTCTGTGTCTGCAGATCCACCTCCGCCACGAGGAAAGCCCCGTCCACATTAAATCGTCCCTGGACGTGAGCTACGGCAAACACTGGGACGAGATTAACAACAAACGCACACTTCTACTGAGCCAGTCCTTCAAAAACCAATCCACACAAAACCACACCAGCTACACACTGGAGGTAAACAGAACTATTCCAAACCAACGCACATATATATAATACAAATAATCCTTGTATTTACATTTTATGAGCATGGAATTGATATTTTATGTCCAAAATACAGTAACATCTTTCCTCTGGTGAACCCAGTTCAGTCTCCAGGTCCCAGAGAAGAATCTGAACTACCGGACCCAGCTGATGCACTCTCACCTGAAACAGCTGGGCTCAGAGAGCAGCACTCATCTCAAAATCCATTACAACAACCTGATGCCTCTGGTGGCCGGATTACACTGGAAAAGCCCCCCCAAAGGCTCCTCGCTGAGGAAATGGGAAGGTAAAACAGCTATATTTAATTTGACATAGATAGAGTTAAACTTGTTGCCTATGTTTAATGGTCTTTAAACAAAGGATTATAGTTATTTAAAGCATCATTGTGTTTAATAATAATATATTGTATTATTTTGTCTTATATCGTATTGTAGTATATCATATTAAATAGTTTATCGTATCGTTTTTGTCAATCGTATTTGTATTGTATCCTATCGTATTGTTTATCGTAACGTATCGTATTGTATCGTCTATCCTATGTCATATCGTATATCGTACCTCGTATGTCGTATAGCGTAGCGTTTATCGTATCATATATTGTGTCTTATCAATTATTGTACCGTGTATTGCATATCGTATATCGTATCATATAGAAACCCTAGTCCATGCTTTTGTCACCTCCCGCTTGGACTACTGCAATGGTGTCCTGTTTGGGGTCCCCAACAAAACCCTGGTCAGGCTCCAGTATGTTCAGAACTGTGCTGCCAGGGTACTCACACATACAAAGCCGTGGCAGCACATCACTCCCACCCTCATCCACCTCCACTGGTTGCCGGTCAAGTCCCGCATATCCTACAAAGTCCTCCTCCTCACCTCAAGTCCCTCCATGCCCATGCCCCCCAGTACTTATCGGACCTCCTCCGCCCACATGCCCCACCCCGGAACCTGCGGTCCTCAGACTCTGGCCTGCTCACCACCCCCCGCACCAACCTGCGAACCTTCGGGGACAGAGCCTTCAGTGTGGCAGCCCCCACCCTCTGGAACGCTCTCCCTGCGGATATCCGCAACATCCCCACGCTTGACGCCTTCAAAAGGGCCCTCAAGTCCCATCTGTTTGCTAAGGCCTTTGGCCCCTAATCTATTTGTTGTTTTGTCTGTCTGACTGTTTGTCTGACTGCCTTTTGTTTTGTTATGTTTGTTCCTACTCCTGTTCTTCTTTGTAAAGCGACCTTGGGTCTCATGAAAGGGGCTATTTAAATCCAAGCTATTATTATTATTATTATTATTATATATATCGCATCTTACATCATATCTTATATCGTATATCATATCGCATCGTATATCGTATAGCGTATAACGTATACCGTATACCAGATATTGTATATCGTATATATCGTATGTCGTATCGTTTTCGTATCGTATCTTGATATCCTATACCGTATACTGTATATCGTATCATATATTGTATTTTATATTGTTGTCGTATATTGTATATCGTATATTGTATATCGTATTTTATTTTATATTGTATATCGTATATCTTATCGTTTTCGTATTGTATCTTGTTTATCATATATCGTATATTATCATATCTTATCGTATGACTAAAGACAGTGACACTCTCAAAAAAACAATAAGATGTTTGATTTAGAACCTAATGTATAATCAATGTATTTGTATTATCAACATTTACCGGTACATTTCTATCTGATTGTAATTGGAGTGTGTTGGCAGTGAGGCCCTGGTCAGAATCCTGTCTCTCTTCTCCTCCAGGCAGCCTCACCATGGACTCTCCCTGGCTGTACGTGTTCACCTCCCACAGACTGACCCAGCAGCAGAGCCACTCCCTCCAGCTCACCTCAGAGCTGACCGCCAGCAAGTGGCTGAACATCCGGACCCTCATGCTGGAGGCTCTCTACAGGAGCCGGGGCCGGGGGGGGGAGGCCCGCCTGGAGATCAGCACAGCAGCCGCTCAGTACATCCAGGTGAGGGAGGGGGGAACACACCTGGGAGATATTAACAATCTAACTTATTTATATACGTTCATATCATTTTTATTATTTGTGAAATGATTGTAGTTGTATTATCTGTATTAATCTACACACACCTGGTCCTGTGAGAGGGACATCCTCTGTTTCTCTCCCACAGTTTCTTCATTTTTTCTCCTATTAAATGTGAGTTTATTTGGGGGGATTTTCCTTGTTGCTGTACACACTATAAAAACTGCTGACTGAGACAAATGTGTAATTTGTGATAGTAGAGTATATAAATACAATGTTATTGATTGAGATCAGTTTTTTAAAACTTTATTTTAAAGATGTAAGGCACCATATGATCAAGGTAAATACATCAAAAGAAAATAAACAACAATTAATAATAAAGGTCACACAAATATATCAATAAAAAAAAAAATGCACTAGAAAGGTTACACATATTAAGCAAAAATACTTATTTAAATAATTAATGATATCACTCAAATGCCCCATTAGCGATTTCATTTATAACACTATGAACATTTTACCTAAAGTTTCCACTGTCTTTCTCACTTCTCCTCTCCCTCCCCCAGGCAGGGGGGTGGGCCGTGGTGGGGAAGCGCGGTGTGAAGGCCTCCGGCTCTCTGAGCTCGTTTTGGACCCCCCCCCCTGAGAGGAGACGTCTCCCTAGAGGCCTCTAAATCCAGCCACACCCTGCACATGACCTCCACCTGCGGCAGGCACAACGCCAGCCTCTCTGCTGCCCTGAACACCGTGGACAAGGTGGGTGGTGTCTGTGGAAGGGTGGGATTATTACTGAAATGCTTTTAGATTATGGGCGGAATATGAGACATTAGGCCCCAGGCACAGACATGTAAAGGGCCCCCGCCCATCCTATATACAGTACAGTTAAACCAGAGCCACAGATTCAAAGAGACTTTAGTTTTTGTTGCATCTCTTTGTAGTGATTTGATGTCTCTTTGTTGTACATTTGTTTCTCTTTGTAGTTTTATTCTTTCTTTTGAAGTTGTTTTGTGTGTCTCTTTTTTTGGTTTTTGGTTTCTTTATTGCCGTTTTGCATCTCTTTGAAGCCCTTTGCATCTGTTCAAGTAATTTTGCATCTATTTGTTGACGTTTTACATCTCTTTGTGTTCATAATCCTCTCTTTTTTTAATGTTTTTTGTGACTTGCGGTTATATTCTGTCTCTTTGTAACCCTTTTGTGTCTATTTTATGTCATTTTGCATTTATTTTTGGAAGTTTTTTGTGTCTTTCTCTTTGTATTCTGTCTATTTTTAAAGGTTTTTGGCTTTTTGTGGCAATATTCTCCCCATGTGTATTATTTTTGTGTCTCTTTTATGGTTGTTTTTCTTGGACATTTTGCTTCTCTTTGTGATCATATTCTGTCTCTTTCTACCTATTTTGTGTCTCGTTTTGGTCAGTATTTCTGTCTGTGTTATGTCTTTTTTGCTCAGTTAGATGGTCTAGTAATCCGTTCATGAGAATGATTATCTTCTCACTTCTTTTAGAATTTGAAAAAGAGGCAAGCGATCTTGAAGATGACCTTCTCGAAGCCGAAGAGTCCGTCCACAGAGCTGGAGTTTGAGGGTGTAGTGGAGGAGCTGAGGAAGGACAAGAAGATGTATCAGAAAAGAGCCATGCTACAGCTCAGGTCTGTGATTCACTCTGACTTCATCTGTTGATGTATTTTAGGATGTTGTAGTTATGTTAAAATGCCAGTTGCTGACATTAATAGCTGCCATATCGCACAGACAGCCCTTCCAGACCTTTCCTCAGACTTTCCTCCTACGGGAGACTTTCACCGTCGACCTCCTCAAAGGCCTCTACATCCTGGAGTCCAAAGCGGGTTTCCATGGCAACAGAGAGGTCATCCACACCCTCACCCTCGGCTACAAACCACCGAGCCCTTTTGTAAGTTTGACACATGTTGATTTATGACTCACACATGACACAAGTCGATCATTATTGCTTATCGATATTTTTTCTGGCTTTTTCCATGTTTAGGTTTGTTCTGCACTCGTCCATCCTTTCGGCTCTGACACTATTCCATCAGACTCAGAGGTCTGCGTGACCCTAACCAGCAACCAGGTAAACTGCCAGCCTTCTAAACTCCAAACACTCACAAAAAAAAAAATAACCTCTTTATTTGTTTAAAAGGTAATGACATTTTATTACATATATATAACTCTTCTTTCCTTCGCTTTTAAGGTGTCTGGATGCAGAAATATCTTCTCTGGTCAATATTGAAAATGTTGGCTATTTTGCTTCTATAACATTTCTTCTTTGAGACTAGACTAAATTATCCAAAATACACACACATTTAGGTGCTTATAACCAAAAACTTAGCGTTTAATAATGCATATTTAAACATTTTAGAAAATGATAAATAAACCAAAAAGTAACTGGGTTAATGTATGTTATCTACTGGGGAAGTAGCATGGTCATGGGGTGGGGACACTTTTTTTCAGATAAAAATAAAACTGTATTGCTTTTTTTGTACACACCCATTTCCTTACTATTTGCTATCAACACCAGTATAGACAGGATTCACAGTTTCAGGCTACAGACTGTTTTTGTAGGAACCATTATAGATGTGTGGCCAGGGGGAAATGATTGAGGAAGCCAATGTTCTCCGTCTTTCTTTAAGAGTCTTGAACACGCCTGTTCTCCACAGCGACGCAAATGCACACTCACATGTTGTGAAAACCATGCTTGCAAACTGAAGCCCTGCAGGGGGGTCTGGGGGGATCCTCCCCCTTTTAACATGTAAACTACGCATTATGGTACTCTCGGACAAGAAAATAAAGCAACAAGACAACCTTTACTTCAGGGCCAGGCAAACAGGCCAAACAACATTGCTGTATGTTTTTGGGTCATTTTAGAGTCAGTAAAGTAAGGAGGAATTACTCTGTTGCTGCAAAGCCAGAGCAATGTTTTTTTTTAACATTTTTTACATTTCTTTTTGCACGCTATTTTTCAGAACATTACAAGTTATACTTTTAAAAAGTGGTGGGGACAAAATTGGCCATTTCAAAAAGTGTCGGGGACATGTCCCCAGCGTCCCCAGTGCAAATGACGCCTATGAGCATGGTGATATCTACTAGTTACATGTTTGACCTTATTCTCCTGTATCGTGTCCCCTTAAATTCAAGTTCAATGTTTATTAAGATATTAAACTTGTAAATGATAAACTAAAACTTGCAGAGTTGTAGGATAATTTAATTTAATTACAATGGATAAGCATATTTATTTGATAAGTATGATCAAATGTAAGTAAGTACACTAACTTATATACTGTTAGAAAATGTTGGGAACATTTGTGTATTTAATACATGTTTTACATTTCCCTTTAAGACCCAGAGAGACATACAGGGAAGGTTACGGGTCGGCAGCAAAGAGAGACTGACGTTCTTTGGACAAGTTCAGTTTAACCCTTTGCACTCAACTCACCAAGAGATAAAAGTCAGAGCCAACTTCTCCCATCTACTCCAGGTGAAGCGGACTATTACCATAATTATTCTACAGACAAAACCATTTGTTATATGTATGATGTAAGTGCTTAACAACTAACAAGTCCACCTCCAGCAGCGTACAGTATAGTTTACAGTAGAAAAGGCCGAACTTGTGACCACTTGTCTGTTATTACTGTTACAGCTGCAGCTCCCCTCCTCCGCTATAATGGAGGGAAATGTAGGATGGAACCCCAAAAACAACAGTGACTTTGATTATCAGGCAGGAGGGAAACTGAGAATAGAGCGACAGGAATGCCAAGTGAGTAAAACAACTCAGAATTGTAATTATTGCATGTTTAATTGGTGTTAATTATGGATTTTTTGTTTGTTTCTCGTTAGCTTTCTGTACAGCTCAATGGAACATCAGGAAGAGTCAGTCTTTATTCCTCCCTCACCCATCCTTTCAAATCAAAGATACCCAAAACATTAGAGGTACACTGCTTCTGTTTTTTGCAAAAATAATGTCTGTCAGTGGTCCGAAAATAGTCAAATAAATAAAAAGTCAGATGACAAAATGTGTCTGCATTTTAGCATCTAAGCTATCTTCTAAATTTGATGTTCTCCACGTTAAGGTACAGGCCACTGCAGACGTTTCTGCAGTTCGTGGCACAGGAAGTAGCTCCGTACATGTGAGGGCTGATGGGAAGGACAGGGTGAAGCTGGACGCCCAGATGTCCCACTCCTTCCAGAGGGGAGAGAGAGCCATGGGACTGACTGTGAACGTATCCCAGAGTCTGCTGCCTTCTGCCACCGACCTGCACGTAAACATGGCTGCCAACATGTTCTCAGACAGGTGTGTGCATCTTTTTTTTTGTTGGTATAGTATAATTGAGTGAGGGTTTGAATACCATCCGTTCAAAAATACAACAATAAATAATATTAGCAACACACAAAATGATAACAAAATGCAATTGATGAAAAATATATGTATTTTATCCCTATTGTTATGATTTCTTGTCATTCATTTATAGAAAATGTAAAGTAGGTTTTCCTTTTGCGATCATGTAATGGTAATACACCACATCTATTGCACTGTATCATTTTGTGTTAAATAATGTCTTAAGTCTCTTTTTGGACGTTTGATTCTCATTGCATTAACGTCCCTCCAGTGTGTCTCTACATGGCTCCTACACTCAGGGCCATGAGGCTCTGCTGGCTCAGCTCAAAGGGTCTCTCAAAGACACCGGGGGTCTCCAGCTGGCTGTGTCCGGGGACCTGAGGCACTCCATGGCCAGCCTCGCTGTGCTGCCTACAGTCCTGGGGCTGGACGGGCTGCTGGGACAGTCTGACACCCTCATTGAAGGTAGTGTTCATTTAATGAACTAGTCATTTTCTGCCACCAGGGGTCTTCCAATCAAAACAATACCTAAAGAGTTTGGATGCATCGCAAAGAAGCATGGAATCGTGAGAGTTTTTATTTGCAGTCAGCTTCTCCTGGATAGGATTCATTTTTCATATTTAGTTTTACATGGAGCGGAGTTATCTAGAGAGGTCCCCTCCTCTTCAAAATTAATTAATCTGGGGTATTCTGGGGTAGGGAGGCTGTGGCTCAGTGGATAGTATGATGGACTTCGAATCAGGGGATAGCAAGTTCGAGTCCCACTGCAGTCAGCATGTCGTTGTGTCCCTGGGCAAGACACTTCACCCCAAATTGCTCCTGTGGTGATTGTCCACAGTACTGAATGTATGTATGTCGCTTTGGATAAAAGCGTCTAACAAAATGACATGTAATGTAATGTAATGTATTAAACTAGTAAAATTGTCCGGTGCCTTGCTCAAGGGCACCACGGCAGGGCAGGAGGTGAACTGGGACCTCTCCAAGTAGCAGTCCACACACCATATTTAGGTCTGTTCGGGGACTTGAACCGGCGACCCTACGGCTCGCAGTCCAAGCCCCTACTGACTGAGCCACTGCCGAACATATTGTGATTTACTGTTATGTTAAATGTTTTTTCACTTGTTTCTTGTTTAATGTTTGTCATAGCTGAAGTTGTAAATGGATCTGCAAAAAAAGCTTTTGACTTGAACTGACAATATTATCGAATCATATCGTATAATTTAAAGGGGACCTATCATGCAAAATGCACTTTTGTACGTCTTTTACACATGAATATGTGTCCCCGGTGTTCCAGGGAACTCACCAAGTGTCAGAAAACACAACCCTCTCTATTTTCCTCCATACCCAAATCTCTAAAAAAGGGGCTGCAACGGATCTGATAAAAACTGATCCAGATTTGAACACTGTCCTGACGTCAGGACGGTGGCACTACGGCTATTGGGCCAACTCCACCAATCAGGAGGAGACAGCCACGGCCATTGCAGTTCGAAAGCGCTGGAGACGCTGTAGTACATATGCCAGGCCAGTAGGTGGTGCTGTTCTCACAGAATCTGCCCAGAGCTAGAAATTGTCAAATTGAGCGAAATGAGGCATGGCTAAAATGCATGATCTGTTTGGTATTTTGAAAAAAAAAAAGTATAAATATGCCTCATATAGGTATGGTCCCACACTATATTATTCAAATATAGCATGATAGGTCCACTTTAAGATACAGTCATTAGATGACTAAAGTCCTCCACCGGGTAAAATATTAAGCTAAAAACCACCAATATCTAAAAAGAGTGTTGTAAAAAAGTTGCTTAAAATCGGATAACACGTCAATTTATGGCAGGGGATGCATCAACATATGAGTCGACCAATTGAAATGCACCGTTTCCTTGATTTAAACAACCGGGATTTCTCTATATTGAATATTGTTGGAAACACAACCAAATAGCTAACATATTGTAGGTTTATAGGTTTTTAGACATTTGAATGCGGAAATGTTACCTATTATATTTTTAATATTACATGATAGCTTGTGATTTAGTTTGGACATTTACTTCCTGACATCGTGGTAATTTTTTAATTTGTTATTGTCATTGTAGGACAGCTGAGAGTACGAGTGATGGAGACCTTGTACAGCGTGGAGCTCAGACATCAGGAGGCTCTCGGAGATATTTTGGACAGAGAAGATGAAGAGGGCATGATGGGAACAACATTTCACATGGCACGTGATTGGCTGTGTGTTCGGTCAGGGGCGGAGCATTTGTGCATGAATGCGAGTCGCCGAATTGGGGATGGAGGGATGGGAGAGATCTACACAAGGCTATCTCATTCCTTTGTCTTACTAAATGCCACAGGTAAATCCTTACTTTATACATATGCACACATATAGCTTCTCCTGGTGTCTGACTGCCTTTGACCACTGAATACAGGTGTACCTGCCAGCAGTGATGCCCAGCTGAGGTGGGCCCAGGATGGAGGTCGTTTGTCAGTCTTTGCAGAGCTGCATGCTGGAGCAGAACATCTAAAAGCTGAGTTTAATGGAGGAAAGACTGACCAGCTTACACAACGATGGGAGTTCTTCTCCAGGCTGCAGCATCACTTCAAAGCCCTGCTGAAGAGAGGTGTATCAAGCTCCATACTAGCTAAAGCACATTACCAGGTGCAGGACTATCTACACTTTTTATATCCCAAGCATATTTCATAAACAACACTAGATGTATCAACTTGATATCTGTTCTTGTGTTTTCTTTCCCACTGTTAGTTAGAAAAAGAAAGTCTGGACACAGGCGTGGTCCTTCACACAGGAGACGAGAGAGTGGTTGATATCCTTTTTAATGTTGGATCAAAGAACAGCGCAGCTATATTGGAATTGTCTCTATGGCAACAGATGAAGATCCTTCAGGGTGTCATACCCACCTCTTTACAGGTAAACCTTGCTTACAGCATGTATACACTTTAATTTATCGATTTATTGCCCATGACTGAAAATGTGAACTTTGACTGTCTTTCATATTAAACAATACATTTGGAGCGTTGTCCTTTATACATCAAGTTATCAGTTAGTCCATCAATTAAAATTTTCTGGAAAGAAAAATATGTAATTCTATCATAAAATAATGTTGCTTTTGGAAATAATGTCAAATAGAGAGGGCCCACAGATTATCCCTGGAGGACACCGCACTTCACTTGATCCTTGTAACATTCATACATTGGTACAACTACTATATGTTCACCCTGCATGTAGGAAACAACTTAAAGGGATGGTAACACTTTATTAATAAATCATTAATAAATGGTATATTGATAGCTATTTCACTGTTAACAGAGAATGAAATGATAACTTCATGATAAAATGACATACATTAAAGTACTATTTATTAAACATTATAAATTATATTTGTATTATTTGTTAAATTACTATCAACTTAAATGATTTAACTCTCAATTTAATATTGATCAATAATGGACTTTAGAAAGTTTTACAAAGCAAGGAAAGCTGTCTTCCTCTTTTGTTGTCTTTATGCTCAGCTAATCTAAGCTAACAACCAAGAAATACTTTTTTCCCCACAAGAAATATCACTTTAAAAACTTTGTCCCAGTATTCCAGCATGTCCAGCTGCACACCATGATCAGTAGTATCAAATGAACCAGTAAGAACCTAACAGAAACACTGCTTCAACAATAAACATTTTATGTTTTAGAAAATGGGCTCAAATGAGCATGTTGGTGTACCACAACATGTTTGACTGTTGCACGTCTAAGGTTCAGTAATTCCACAGAAATTCTTCCATCTCCTCCTTCAGTTTCTTCTTTGAAAAACAAACTTTGCTAACGGGTGTTTTTGTTTTCACAGATGAACTGCACAGGGGACTCCAGCGCAGAGCGTCTCTCAGCCCAGTGCTATGGAAATGTCTCAGGTCGCCCCGCGGAGGTACGAGTATTTCGCTCCTATAGACCACACAACAGGCTCTGCTATGGCCTGTCGCTAGCTCACTTTAGCCTTAGCGCTAGAGCTAAAGGCTGTTACGGTCCTAACAGCCAGACGGAGCTCCGGGCTAACCTCACCCACTCCTCCGTGCTAATGCTAACGTATCTGGGCGTGCCTACAAAATCTAGTCTCAGGCTTCTGCTCCGGCCTGGGCCTCAGAGGTGGGCCCTGAGTGTTGGGTTGGTTTGTGACCCTTGGAGAATGGACCTAAATGTGGGACTGAGGCTAGAGAGGCCTGGGCTGTATGGCTGGCATGGGCTGCTTGAGTTTGGGGGCCGCGGCGTTACCCACAAGGCTGAGCTGACAGGTCGGATGAAGCTGGAAAGCTGGTGTAATATCTGGGCGGATGTCAATGTGGCCTGTGACTCACTGACCTCAAGTCTGTTGCTGTCTGTGCGGTGCAAAGGGGTGGGGAGGTTAACATGGGTGCAGGTTAGGAGAGTTGAGGGGGGTGTACCACAGAAAACCTCTTTAACAGTAAATGGGCTGGCAGGGAACGATGGATTTACATGTTCCCTAGGTCTGGAAAGTGTGAAGGACTCCTGTCAGTGCTTCTTGTCTGTACTGCTGAAGGACAGAAAGGTGGAAGTGGGCTGGACTCTGCAGCATCACTGGGCTTCTCTTACCTCCATCTTCCCAAACAAAATAGAACTCCAGGGGTCAGGGGAGCTCAGTGACACTTCCCTCTCTGGAAGTGCCATGGTTTCTTTCAACACCCGCTCGGCTCTGATGGACCTGACTACTTCCTGGGAGCCCTCCACCTCCTTGAAGGTCATGCTTCAGCAAAACCTGACCCACACGAGAGTACCATCCGAGCTAACTGTTAGCATGTTGACCACGGCTGGTCGAGCTGAATTGGAGGTGGAAAGTGATGCGTGCTCTGTGCTTTTCCTGACAAATCAACAAAAAGGAGGAGACAGGAGGAGCAGCTGGAGCTTTTTTGTCCACCAGCGAAGTGTCTTACTGAAGGTTAGAGAGGAAACAAGTGCACAGAGACTTGTTTCCCAGCAGAGGAAAGCAAAAGAAACATCTTCGCCACGGAGATGACTCTCTGTCTTTCCATTACATTACAATTCACATTGATAACACTGTTACTCTGTGATAAACGTATCAATGGACCCTGGAATGGGCGCTAATAAGACGTTATGGTCTGCAATGTCTGTCCCTATGTTCAACACTTTGGTTAACACTGATACAAATAATGATCACAGGAACAGGGTCAATTGTAATAACTAACGCACATCATCAGGTGAAAACTTTAGTTTGTCCATGACTTTGGTTTATGATCCAGTACCTGCCACACTAATGACATCAAAGATTTTCTATTCTCAATTATCTCAACAATATTAAACCTTTGTTGCACTTAAGTAGAAATATATTGCAATGGTCTTGTTTGTGAACTTCAGTATGTTTGTGGTTAATAGATGTATTAAAAGGATATAAACCTGTATTCAGCATAAAACAATCCCAGAAAAACTGTGATCGAGTAGCAAACATTTATTTGTTGCCCTAATCCTACATTAGGCCTCACAAAGTATTTAATTGTATGCACTTTACTTTACTTTACACAGTCATTACTATTTTTTAGGTCCCTCGTTTTTTTTGTATACAAACTTTTTTTAAAACATATTTTTCAGAAAGAATTTCGCGACAGAAAAACAGTTATTTATCCAAGATAGATTATTTGAATGTCCTTATCAATAACACATTATTGCCAAAGCACATGTTCAAAGTGGTACAAAAGTAAAAACATGAAGCAACCTTGCTAACAATAATATGTTGTTCAAAATCATGGAAAGAAAGAAGCTGAAATAATAAATAGTAACTATTATATTATTGGCAAAGTGACTTCTATGACTTATAGCAAGGACTTCTTTACTCACACCACAGTGAATTGGAACGTGATTATGACCTGAAGGATACATCTTAAGACTTGTTTAATTAACCCCCCCTGCTAATAAGTTTGTAAGGGGGTTCTAATCTTTCCTTCTTCATTTCAGACCCTCCTGCCAGCGCAGACCTCAGCCAACATCTCCATCACCCGCTCTGGCTGCTCCACTGATCTCAGAGCTGTCCTCCATGCTGATGGGGAGCAGAAAGGCAGCCTCAGTGTGCACTCCACATGTTGCCCTCAGCTCAGTCTGAGAGCATCTGTACAGCACTCTATAGAGGCCGTACAGATGCTGGGACTTCCTGCCCACGGAGCTTTCATCCTGAATGTCTCAGCTGCACATCTGCCTGGCGTGGAGGTCGGCGTGGAGCTGGGTCGTTGTTATTTCAGAGGTCATTTAGGGAAAACCCAGGATCCACAGACAGAGGAGGAGCCGGCTTCCTACGCTGTCAATGTGACCAACCACTGCCCCGCTCTACAGGTCAGACAAGCAATCACTCCTGTGTGGAAACCTGAATAAACTCATATGTTTCAATTGTAAATATTACTCAAACTGTGACGACATATTGATCTTTCTTTCATCGCAGTTAGAAGAACTGGGATCTCCTACATGTTCAACCCGGTCATGTTTACTCAGATTCCTTTGAAAAACAGTTTCCAGCTCATTAGAAAGTCAAGATACAGCTCATTTATTATAGCAGCGAGCAGAACAACACATGCTGGATTACCTGTAAAAACACCCCATTTGAATGCTGAGTGCCAAATCTCCTTCTACCAAGAGACAATCTGAGTCCCTGGACTTAACATGGCTGTACATATGGGGCCCTATTCTGCTCATTTTCAGGTTCATATTAGTATGTAGTGCCTCTACTGTGACATGTTTACATGCTTTAATGTTCAAAAAGCTCTTTATTTTTCTCATACAGCCTGTGCTGCAGCACGTCTTTTCACCCTCTGTCTGAAACCAGAGTCTGCTCTGATTGGTTAGCTGGCTGGGTCTGTTGTGATTGGTCAACCGCTTAGAAATGTCCCGCCGCTTTGCCTATCACGCACAAGTGTTACATAGTAATGCCGGTATGTTACTGAAGTAAACAAAGAAATCCAAAACTTCCTTTGGAAGAAACCCCTCAAAGCACAATAGGGCTCCTTTAAAAAAGATATACAATTGACAAGGGTGAGAAGGTATTGTATGCAATGTTTAGTAGGAAGTTAAAAAGCAGCAGATAAAACAGAATTAAAAAACTATTAACGTAAAATGATTATTAGATGTGTGTGAATCTAGTTCATTATTTTCATTATCCAATATTGAATCTTTAATGGGGACTTTTTATGCTTTTTGGGGTTTACTCCAGAGGAATTGTCTTCCCCCCTGCCTGAAACGCCTCCATTGGTCTCCTTTCATTCTTTTTGTAAACATGTCCCAGCCATAAAATGATGACAAAAAAATATCAAATATAGGAGAGTTTATTTTATATCCACCAGTAATAAAGCTATATAAAAAACAGCTACTGATGAACATCCTCCTTGTATGTCTGTGCCACAGGAAACGGTCCTCCCGGTGTCCCTGACCCTCCGGGGCCACCTGTCAGTCGGCCCCTGTCAGCTCACCATGACCTCCTCTCTAAGGGCCGACTCTGAGGGCCTCTCCCTGGAGCTGGGGCAGGTCTGCAGGCCCCCACGTCTATCTGGGAGCCTCACCCACTCTTTCTCTGGGCTGAGGAGCCTTGGCGTGCCCCAGACGATGAGCATAGAGGCCTCGGCCCCAGAGCAGGCAGGGGCCCTGCTCATAAAGGCTGGGACGTGTTCCATTAGAGCCAATAGAGTCTCAGGGTCCTCAGGAAGGACACCGTGGCTCTGGGCTCTGGATGCTCAATGCCCATTGCTACAGGTAACTACTACAGTCTGTTTTAAAGCTGTCCTTATTCCATACAATGACCATTTGTGTTACGCTGTGTTACTTTGAGCTCTTGAAGAAGAATATGTTTTCCTCTTATGGCTCCAGGATGAAGAAAGAATCAAAAAAGTCTGGATGAATTGAAGTAAATGGGGGAGCGTTTTCCAACAGTAAAACGATATCAAAACAAGAGTGTAAGAGTGTAAGAGTTTCGATTACAAACTCTTACACAACTATTGCAGCATAATTCAAGTCTTAATTCTACAGTAGTATGTTGAAGTCTTCACAAATATCTGCATTTTCACACTTGATGAGATGCGCTACGAGCCCTGTTAAGTGTATTAGAACAAGGCATACTCATACAACGGTTTGTATGATATCTTACGAATCTTGCACATTTTCTATACGAAGTCTAGTAATCTTATATGCATATGCAATTCAAAGATTCAAAGGTTTAATGTTTTATGCATAGTGGCTACAGTGTAGATATGGCAATGAAAACCTTAAGTCCCAGGCTCCTCAAACAATGCAACATAAAGTAAACGTGCAAGTTAACTTCCAGCTTCAGAGGAAACTGCTTTAAGAATAAGATCGAGTAATGGTTCAAAACGACACAAGTGACTTCATTCCATGTCAAATTTGTCAATGTTTGGGTTGAAATACCAACGGAAGCTATGTTACGTGCACAAGTTACCTTTCATCCATGTCCATACCTCCTGGTTTTGAGGAAAATGCAAACAGATAGATTTTGTAAACAGTGTGTAAACAGATGTTTTGACATCGTTTTGCTGGTTTTAAACACAGCCCTTACTTCCATCCAATTTGTTATCTTTCATTTACCAGCTAGACATGCGAGAAAAACACATTTGCTTTAAGAATTCAACGTAACAGGGTGAGAAACTGATCTTATTGTGGGTGAATTGTTCCTTTTAATCAGGTATCTACATTTATGACCATAACAATATCAATTTTGGAATTCAGTAGTGTCTGACACACATTATGAGGGGTTTCTCCTTTTACAGTTAAAGGCCTGAATAAAATAGGGATCCAATTACTATTCAATTATTGATTGTCTAAGCATTTTGACCTTTTTCACTGCAGACATGTAGAAATGTCAGGAAAAGGTCAGGGATAATTACATCACAATAATTAAGACTGGGGCGTTCAATTAAATGGAGCAAATGTTAGTCTAAGTTACATATGATTTTGATTGATGGATTGATGGTGGTTTTCCTGGAAAGTCCAAATGTACTCTATTATAGGTCAATCATTTACCACTTTGGGGCAATTTGAAGGATAAGGAATCTTCAGTCAGTGTTTGTAGAAGACGTTTTTATCACTACCAGTGATAATAGTGTTGATATTCTGTCCTGTTCAGGCTCATCTGAATGGCTCAGTGTGGCAGGACCCTCTGGGTGTTTGGACAGTGACAGTGGACACCAACCAGGAGGATAAAAGGGGTTTCCTGAGGCTGAATGCAAGGGCCTGGCCGGAGCTGAGTGTGGAGGGCGAGCTCCGTCACGACCTCCCCGCCCTGAGAGGGTTACCGCAGCACGGCAGACTGAGGGTCTCCTGCAGGGCCGGTGAACAGCGGTATGACGGGGAGGCCCTCGTTCAGCTGGAGCTGTGCACTGTGGGAGCCAGTGGAGCTGTGATGTCACAGACAGGCCTGCAGGGGGCGCTGCTGTATCACAACAACTGCACTCTCATTCAGGTACACACACCACATGATCATCCAACTGCTGAGGTCGCAATAGCTTATCACTTTGAATCAGTTTCTATTTCATTTTGAATTTCATTTTAGTTTGATTGTTTCTTACAATTATGTAGCTGCATATACATACAAAACAAATGTTTGGAGAACTGTGTAGAATAGTCCATAATGTTTTATGTTGACTTTGATCTGGTAATCAAGTTGAGTTCTCAATTAAGATTTAAATAGATTTGTAGCCATGATTATAATGACATACAGACCTGCCAAAGCCTTGTATGAATAATGAAGTAATCAATGTACTCTTTATGAAGAGGACCAACAAGTTAAAGAAGCAACACAGCATTCTTTAGCCCCGATATGTGAATAAAAAAAGGAACAACAACTTGTCATTCGCAGTTTCCTGAGCTGAAAAGCTTTGTTAAATCGTATTTCACCTATTACTAACAAACAAGACTCGGACGCATGTGAAAAAAACAAGGATAAATTGTAAAGCTATCGCCACAGAGCGTTCGGTTTAATATCTTTGGTTCCATGTCACGGGAGTTGGTGGAAAAAAACATGCTGTCTCCTTTTTTGGAAGTGTTATTATACATCAAAAATACATTCTAACATTCATTTGTATGTATTAGTTCTTCAATCAGGCATATCTGCTATTTATTTATTTAAGGCTCACTTCAATAAATGATATTTAATTATTCAACGATCACTCTTCCCCTCTCGTCTGATGTCTGTAGGAGTGGGGGAGTCCCGACAGGATGGAGTATTCTGGGGCGTTGGTCGTCTCCCCGACTCTAACAGAGTCTCGGGTCTCCATGGCGATTGATGAAGCAGAGTTAAAGGCTTCTGTGGTTCTCAAGGAAACCAAGGTGTGGATATGCATGGACACATTTGTTACATAAATAAACAATAACAATTCACATTACACAAAGCATTGAGATGAAGTGACATCATGTATCATTTTTCACTGCTGTTGTTTTCCAGGATATAAATGAAGCATCGCTCAGTGTGAACCATTCTGTGCCCGTGTTGAAGAAGATGGGTCTCCCTGTCAGTGCTGCACTCACAATGCATTCTGGGAGTCATGGCAACGGATCGTACTATTACCTGCTACACAGCAGTGCAGGAAGCCAGAAGGTACCCTTTTATAAAACAGTTTAGAATCAAATGAAAGTCTTAGACAAACAGTATCTGGCCAATCTTTCATTTGGTGGATCATTATGGAAATGTTGATGCATTTATAAAAAAATATAATTTAGTATGTACTGACAGGCAATATAAGATAGTTATTAAAGCAATCCCTCAAGCAATGATTGTTTGAATTAAAGGCATGCTTTCGTATTCTGTGGTTATTCCACAAGAGCTGTCATTACTTGTAAATGGATAATAAATGTAATAACAAATGATTAAGAACTGCCCTCACATCAATTTGCTTTCCTTCACAGCTACAAAGAAAACATATTTTTGAAAAGTATTCAAACAATTATATTATAAAGATAAGAACCTTTTCTTTCCAGTTCCACCAAAAGCTAAAGAAGTACATTTTAAAATCATACCTTTGTAATCATTTCTCACGCCACAGATTCAATTTAGATTGAAATATAAGCTCCTTTTGTCCTTTAGACATTTTCCACAGTATTGGTTAATTTATAATGAGAAAAACATTTCGCACATCTATTTCGGCCTTCAATTTGAAAACAAAAAAACTGAATTTGGAATTAATAAATTGATTATTTTAGCAAAATATTAAATTCACAAATGTCGCTTTTCAATATTTCCCCAGTTTGTATTGCCTTTCTAAATGAAAGGCATGATGATACAAAACATTTATTAAATTATGCTTCTTTTTTTCTCCACTTTCTTTCTGTTCAAAATGCCCTCAGTTTTGTTAATTGATGTGATGAACATTGATGTTTATGTCCCTTTTGATTGTGTATTTGATATAATTGTTCAATAATAAAAAGAAAAAAATATTTTTTATAATGATAGTGAGTTTCCACTGTATGTAACGGCGTCTCCTCTCCATGTTTCACAGCTAACTCAGGAGATGAGCGTCTCACAGATGTCTGAGTCAGTCCGAGTGAAGAGTCTCTTCAGACACACAGTGAGCGTCCTGAGGAGAGCGGGAGTCCCAGCAGACAGCAGCATGCAGGTTAGAAACCGTCAACAAGTGACAGTGAATTGACTTTAAACAGTTCAATTAATAAAGGTGTGCCTGTCCAATTCTTTTTTAGAAGGGCCAAATTCGAAAAATGAAAAGTGCTAAGGAGTAGGCGGACATTTGCATTTCCTGTCTGACTTTTAAATCCAAGAATTTAAATGTGAAAAAATAGTGCTTTAAATCTTAGCAGTGCGTTTTTGTCTGCAACAAACATTTATTTTCTTTATAGATTCATAAGCAGATATGTTCTGGAATAATGGATTAAGGGTTTTGCTCAAAATTGTCAAGAAAGTCCAGCCCAAATTTTAGAAAGTCCAAGGCTTTCTTTATTTCTGCGGGAACAATTAATTATAAAAAGGTAGTTGATAAACATTTTCAGTCTTTATTATTTTATTCTCTAATGTTCCTGTTTATTAATTTGTTCAGTTGAAATCTCCTTAATTCTATCTTTTATGGGTTCTTTTTTAAAAGACGTATTAATGTGCTTAATGACATAACCCGTGTGTGTGTGTGTGTGTGTGTGTGTGTGTGTGTGTGTGTGTGTGTGTGTGTGTGTGTGTGTGTGTGTGTGTGTGTGTGTGTGTGTGTGTGTGTGTGTGTGTGTGTGGTGTGTGTGTGTGTGTGTGTGTGTGTGTGTGTGTGTGTGTGTGTGTGTGTGTGTGTGTGTGTGTGTGTGTGTAGGTGGAGCTGGGCTCAGCAGGGGGGAAGGCCTTCACCTTACAGTCCCAGTTTGGAGGTCAGCAGGCTGGGGTGAGACTCAGCATGAAATCTCTCCCAACGAGCAAAGAGATGAGAGGAAGCATGTGGCACGGCTGGTCCTGGCTGCAGGGGAGGGGGCTGCCCCGCAACATAGAGGTATCATATCTTGGTTATTTACATTATATAGGTTCATCAAACTGGTATTCAAAGAGTGTTTTAAAAAAAGAAAAAACCTCCTCGCTTCTTATTGTCTTCTTCAGGGCCTGTGCTCCGTCCAGGGGGTCTTCTCTCAGCTCCAGTCGGGGGTCCGGCTCTCTGTGGACGGGCAGCAGCTGCTCTCTTCCGGGCTGAACGTCAGTGTTTCTGAGGGACGCCTGGCTCTGCTGCTCTCATTCTCCCCCCCCGCTGCAAATCTGACAGGAACCCAGAACAGTCTGAACACCACGATCACTGCACAGTTCAAAGGTCAGAGTGTATTCACCGCTGGATTCCATGTTTGTGTTTTAATACTATTCCCTAAGTTTGGGACACTGCAGTTGTTTATCGGTACTTTTTGAGGTGATACGATTATTCTCCTTTATATGGAAGACCTTCAAAGAACCAGCACCTTAATGATTATTGCATTGCAGGCCTTTATCTGGGTTTTACATTCAGTCCTTTCATTCAGCTGCAGTATCAAAGACTGACCTCTATTGTCATGATGGGTATAAGGAACTATTTTCAGTATTAATCCTTGGGTCCTTGAATGTATGTCCATTTGAGGGCAAAAATCAAGGCCTTCAAAATCTTTAAAAGAAACATAAAAATATGATAGTTATGATAGTTGAATATTTTAATGTTTTTTTTACTTGAGGTTAGTAATAGCGTACGTTTGTGTGGCTCTTTCTGTTTTTTCTGTGGAGTGAAGTCTGATTGAAGCAAAGTGAGAGTGTGTCCTTCAATTTGCTAGGTCATTTGACCTTGGATGGTTAGGGTTAAGTCCTGAGTGAGTATAAATCTAACTCAACTTAGAGTTTTCGCTCTGATTGATATTTGAAGCAACCTTCAGTTATGCCTGGAAAATGTCAATTCCATGTCTGGTGTTCACTTAAGACATTTATTTCAGGCTTATTGAAGATCCGCCAGACATCCACATGGCAGGGTGAAGAACCAGCTGCCTAATATAAAAAGTTGGAGACTTTTTTTATTATCATTTATTATAGTGGATTGCAAATGGACTATGCTCATGTGCTCTTCTATGTTTTCATTTAATGCCATTAACCCACCAGATGGAAATGAGCATCTATGGCTAAATCTGGCACATTTACATGATGGACTCCAGTGCTCATGTTAAATACTGTGCATTAGGCGCGTTCACACCGGAGCACTTTCCTCGTACTTTTCCCGTTTAGTTCCGATAGTGCCTGGAATTATGCGTTCACACCAAAAAGAGAACTTAGTTCAGAGAACTTTTACCCCCATGTTTAGTGCCTGCTAGAGAGGTGGGACTATCCTGGGGAGAAAAAAGTGATTCAGGTGTGAACGCGATCTGTACTGAGTTCCATGGGGGTACTAAGTGCAGGGAACTAAGTGCTGGCACTAAGTATGATAAAGTACTTCGTGTGAAAGCGGCTATTGTCCCTCCTTGAATCAATACAAAGTATTTACAATACAAAAAACATTTCAAACCAAATGTTGAACATAATGTCACGGCTTGAGAGCAGAGTACATGGGACCCAAATGCAAAAGGCTGTTTCTTCAAATCTAAATTCTTTATTGGCAGAACGGGCCAGGCAAACAAGGCAAAACCATAACCTCTCTCAGAACAAGCAACATCCAACACCACTTTTCAAAATACTGTAAAACGGGGAAAAAAATACGGATCATAACACAATAAATACAAAGGAGATCAAAGAGGAGAGAAAAGTGATATTGTGCTATTTGATCAGTTCCAGTTATTCTATTGGTCTTGGGAGGGGCTGGCCAACATTAAAAGTTCATGACCACGAACTGTATCTCAAACAATACTGTTTTGCGTTCCTCATTTTTAATGGAATTGGACCTGGAATGTCTTTGAAAAGTCCTTGAATTTGATGTAGAAGATAAGAACCCTGATCATGCTCTTCCTGATCCTCCCCTCAGGTCCTCTGCGCAGCGCCTCCGCAGACATTCACTGTCCCCACTGGAGAGTGAGAGCTCTGGGGGACGTAGGGGGCTGGGGGGCCCACGGGGGCTCCAAGGAGGCCCGGGTCACTCTGAGGCACACAGTCCAGGGACTCACCAGCCCCGCCTTACAGGTGAGGGTCGCACACACACTCTACACCCCCCTGCTGCTCTTCACTGGTGCTGACCCCCTCTCTCTGACAGGTGGAGGCCTGGGGGAGGCTCACTGAGTCCCAGCTGAGGTGCTCCATCGCCCTGAACCCAGAGCTCAGCTCCTCTCTGGCCCTCATCATGCAGGGACACCATCGGCCCCACAGGTACTGGAAACACTCACATATGTACATGTAATACATGCACACACTCATACTTAGGCTTATCTCATACCCTCTCATACTCAAGGTTATCAATTGTTTCTTCAGCAAAGGACCCCTTATATACCGGGAACACCTCCTATCCCTTGGAATCATTTGACTTAGCCTCATCTTTTACTCTTATATACAGTCGTTTTAATTGTGTGAAAGAATAACAATAATCAGACTCAGAAGCAGAATGGGAAACAGTCAATTGAGATGTTACTATAAACCAATAAACATGTTTCTTAAAGTTATAGTAACACTATCTATAATACATATATATTGGTTATGGTTTGACTCATTATTTGTTATTTTTGCTGATGTAAGGGTAATGTAATAAAACCATATTTTAAACTATTTGTAGCATCTCAACACAGATACACAAAACAATGCATAACTTTAATGATCTGTATCTATCTGTACCTGTATTTAACGATGTACCACTATACCATATATAAAAGAAAAATCAAGAAAAAAGGTTTTATCTGAAGACCCTTTTTATTTGTAATTGTCACCTGTGTTTTCTTACACTAAAACTTTTACCAAGACCTTTTCCAACATACATCGATGCAACCATGCAGGAAATAAAGTGTTTGAAGCTTTGATTTCCCTGGGACCCAGTTCTGAAGCTATCCATGAACTGTTTTGGATTGAAAATGTAAATGACAGCTGTTCTTTTGTCCAGCAAGGACCTGATGGTGAAGGTGGTGCAGAATATTCCCAGGATGTTGGTGTACCTGCCTCCTCAGCTCAACATCCGCTCTCAGGTGGGGGCTTATTACATTCTATTCAAATGAGAATGAAGCAATGCAACATGTGTACTGGAATATCCCCTTTTATGCTGTTGCTGTGTCACTTTTGTCCATGCACTTGTTGTAGTAATTAGACTTTATTGCCCTCTCTCCTCCCTGCAGCTGAACCAGTCCCAGTCGGGTGTAGCAGGGCTGGTGGAGGTGTCGTCAGGCCGGAGGAGGCTGTGGGCGGTGGGGGAGCTGACAGCCATAGAGATTGGATACAGACAGGCTGTGGAGCTCAAACACTCGTACCCTCAGGTACTGCTGAGCAGGATGCTAGATATGATATGGGACCCTACACTCAATGACATCATCAGTTGTAAAGGGAAATGAACAGGCATTCCAATGGTGTGGGACATGATTTAAATCAGTGGTTGCCTTACCCTAGGGGTACTTGAGGGGATTGCAGGGGGTACGTAGAGAGAATAGAGATTGCAATATATTTCCACACAAAAAAAACATTTTAAAATCAATTCTCATAAGCCTGGTGTCCTGCCCCAGAACTATCACAGCTTATTAAAGACAAGCAAGCTCAAGTGTCTCATAAAGCTCTAGTCTTCACAAAAGATGTTGTGAGTCTTAATATGATTTTGTTATTTCACTCACAATAAGTGTAGATGTCAGGTTTAATGCATTTGTATTAGGGTGAGTTATACAAGTGATTTAATGTAAGGAACAGTTGGGTTAAATTTGATGACAAAGGGTTTAGCACCAGAAAAATGTTAGGCAAATCATCACAGATGAGGGAGGGGGTTCTTATAGAATGGAGACCAGCTCAAAGGGGACACCAGACAAAAAAAGGTTGGGAACCACTCATTTAGATCAGGGGTTCCCAACCTTTTTTCCCAAGAGCCCCCCCAAATGACTCCTGTTGGAAGTTGCGCTCCCCCCACACACACACACAGGGGCGGGGGCGCAACAGCGGTAATTAAAGTTTAAAAGTCTCAAAAATGCTACAACTACTGTCACAAACTGGATGAATGTGAAGTATTTTGTTAAAGGAGGATGAAAGCGTAATTGAGGAGCACTATTGGAGTGACTTATTGGTCACTTATGGTTATTGGACTCAGGATTAATTCATTTGGATTCCCGCTGTATGAAGAAAATAAAGGACGGCGCAAGTGGAAACAATTCACAAAGGGATTAAACTGTTTAAAACACATGCTCAAAGTAAGCCGGATTTTGCCGATGTGTTTATGTGGATTCAAAAGTCGTAAATAATCTACAAAATGGAGGAGACCGATCTGATCGGAGCAACTGTGACAAATAATCTGAAACCGGCATGGACAATGACTATGTTTTAAAAATGCGCTTATCCAGAAAAGCCTGGTTTGGACACTTTACGGGCAGAAGAAACATTTCTATTAAAGAAAGAATTATACATTTCTGTCTTTTTATGACTATAATAGCTACTAACTTGAATTTTTATTCAAATTAATTAATCAATTATTTTTTATATTTTATTGTAATGTAGAGACAAGGCTTTTAGTGACAATCATGTATTGCGTTACAATTATATGTCTATATATGATATTTGGCCTCAAATCATCTGAGGCCTGGCGCCCCCCCCTGCGATCTTTGGCGCGCCCCCCAGGTTGGGAACCACTGATTTAGATGATGACATGATCACAAATAGTCAAGATATGATACATAAATTACCAAACTTTTTTTTTGTTGTATTCACATTTATTAAGGGGCAACCTTGCAATGTATATATTCCTATGTTCTAAAAACATACGTCATCATTACGCAGCGTCCACATGGCGGCGTGCGTTGAAGCTTGCCGGCGGGCGTGTCTGAAGCTCGACCAACAACCAATCACATGAATCTCCCGCCCCGGACACACAAGCACGCAGTTTGATTGGCTAGAGCTTGTACTGGCATATGATTTGATTGGCTGACGCTTCCATCGAAGCTTCAAAAGTTGAACATTGCTCAACTTTTGAAGCGAGCAACGCGAGCAAAGCGAAGCGACGCTCCCACAATGCAGTTCGGCAAAGTGTGACGTCACCCCATTCAAAGTGAATGGGCAGAAGCGTTGAAGCTTCAACGCACGCCGCCGTGTGGACGGGCCGTTAACAAAGCTCTTCTCGGTCTAAAAAGTAGCTTAAAAACAAATGTGTGATGTCATCAAGAATACAATGTGAAACTGCTCCACAGACAATGAATTGTAAAAAAGGTAAACAATAAAAAAAGGCTTGTTTGGTATAAAAAAAATAACTTGGATGGATGACATCACAAGATTGAGATTTTCTTCTCTGGTTTCTGGCTTTAGGAGGGTATAGCTCGTTTTCATGAACAATCCTAAGCAAGAGAAAAAACAAAATTGGGAGGGGAGTTCCCCAGACGTGACTTAATATTGCACTGTAATCCAGGCATGACCACACACAATGGTCAGATCTTAAAAAGTCTTACACCGGAACATTTTACCAACACAATTACACACACAGTGTTTCAGTGCTGTCCTCTGCTCTGCAGCTGAGGCCCCTCCCCAGGACGGTGGCAGTGAGGACGGTGTACGAGGCGAGGAGCTGGAGCCACCAGGTCCAGCATCGAGCGGTGTGGGGCAGCCAGGAGTTGGTCCTGTCTGGGCTCTACTCTGCCCCCCCAGCACTGCAGCAGGGGAACCACACCCTGAAGGGTAACTGTTGCAGAGCGTTTCCACCTGCACACACGATCATTCACCAAGCTTTCTTATACCCACCTCTAATCCACATCCACAGTTATCATGAAGATTCTGACTCTCACCAATGTTTTCTATTCAAGGATTAGTTCAAAGTAAAAACTATTTCAACATATACTCATTAGCACACTTGCACACATTTGAGTGCTGGCATGTTTGTTCAAAAACATGAATTCTACAGTTGTATAAAACTGGATTTTATTAACAATAATATAATTATTTATAACGTCTTTTTGATTATGACCTTCATTCTTTTAAATGATTATCTTCTTTTTAATTTTAAGATTTAAAGACTTTGCAACAATGCAACATACTTGTTTTGTTACTAACAGAAAAGAAAACAACATTAAAATAGTACGATAAAATAGTGCAATAGAAAAAGTAAGTTCAAGGAAATAGACAAATACATACAAATACAAAAATGAAATACTGTAAAGCATTATGGTATTTTTTAAATAAATAAACGGAACAATATTTGTTCTATTATTTTATATCCACTTCTGCCGCTGCCAAATATGAAGGCATGAACTGCCAAGGTACTTCAGAACTTTTGAAGTTTTTGTGTATAAAGTTGATATGGGCATTCTTGACCTTCACATTTTTGAGAACAATGGGATTCATCTTTATGAGACCATAGGTACCAATAACTGTGGTTATAGAACACGTGCTGTTATTATGTTGGGGAAAGAGGCCAAATGTTTTTCCATTTCAATCAAATCTAACAAGAGGGCTGAATCATAGCCAACATGTGATAAATGTAGCAGCTGTTGGTCTTTCATTATGCTCCCCATCTCTCTCTTGTTCTCTGCTTCAGTTCAGGTCAGCTGTGTTCCCCGGGGGTCCCGTGTGGAGGTGACCCTGGAGCGGTCCCCCCAGGGCGGGCAGGACAGTGTGGGGGTGGGCTGGGTCAGGCACGGCCTCCTGGAGCAGGTCAGACTGTGACTGTGATAATGACAATGTGAAGAATTCATTATATCGTTTTCTTCCTACCTTTTTTAAGTCACAAATGGTCATATTCCACAGTGATTTTATTTGACATAGAACACGTCAGGACTGTGACAATACGGCACAAATCAGAACATTTAAATCAAATACAAATGAAAGCATAGGTACAGTTCACAATGCATATAAAAGAGGTTAGACGAAAATAAGACATTGTTAAGATCTAAGAGGTTTATAACAATCATATTTTTAATAATATGAATCGGCCTTATCCTTTTGGAGCTGGAGAAGTCATTTTCTCCATTTGATTGAAAAATAAATCAGGCATTTATTTGATAATGTATGAGGTTTTGGTAACGCTTTCTATGACTGTAAGGCATCATATAAATACTTAGACTGCTTATAGCATTGTATGATTACATTTAAAAGCAATCATATATTGATGTTACTTTATGAGCATAATCATAACACATTTTTATAATTAATAAAGGTCAAGTATAATAACACTTCATAATCATTCACAATGACATTTTATGATAGATAAAAGTGTATAGCTATAAGCAGATAATAGCACATGTCATACTGCGTTATAGGCCCAGGCGTGATAGAAGCCTCACTAACGTCTTGGCTCCGCTGCAGGTCCGGGCTGAGAGCTGGTGGAGGCGCTCGGAGGAGAGCAGTGAGAGCAGGGTGGAGCTGCAGCAGCCCTTCTCCTCCACCCTCAGCAGCCTGTCCCTGCACAGCCTGACACACATCGCACTGACGGAGCAGCGCACCAGCCACCAGGTACACTGACACCTTTCATCTTATACTACACTACTCAAATATTTTCTCACGTCTCCATGCTTCTGTCATTTGAATTGAAACATTTCAGGTTCTCATAAAAACATTTAAATGTATCTTTTGGATCTGATCGCTCAAATGGACAAGGTCACTGATTTTAGGTTATTGTATTAAAACCACTGGTATAGTAAAGTTGTACGCATGTATTACCTACTTAATAAAAAAGAAAAGTAGAAAAAAAGTTAGCCTATCATCCATCCTTACTATGGCATTTGCCACTTGATTGACGTACAGGTAAGCCAGTCTGAGATCTCATATTTTCTAACACGCAGTTCACCACGCATGTGCGGTCAACTGCGCCAGCTGCAAAGGCGAGCTGATTACCTAGTTAGCCTTCCAATTTATACAATTCTACTAAAGAAAGGGTATAAGGGGGGCCTCACCTCCTCATCTGAAGCACAAATGCAGCACAATAAGTCTAAGCGCGCCACAGTTTCTCTGCCGCTTCAAGGTTCCGGTGCTCGCAGTCCACTAGCCCCCCCCCCCCCCCCCCCCCCCCGCTCGCAACACACAGGGCCTCACCACATGACTTTGGGCAGCTAGATCACTTTGACTTGGTCATTTTAAAAGTAGCTCCCAAGCTGAAAAAGTGTGGGCACCACTGACTCCAGGTGGAACTAAAGTCTGATTTAAGAGTTGATTATTATTTCACATCATTAATCCAGATCTGTAAAGTACCTAAAGATATTAAATAAATGTAGGGGAGTAAAAGTACACCATTTACCTCTCAACTGTAGGGGAGTAGAAGTACAAAGTAGCATAAAATGGAAAGTACTAGTACCTCAAAATTGTACTTAAGTACAGTACTTGAGTAAATGTACTTCGTCACTTCCCACCTCTGATGTTAAAACATACTGTATATCTCACAAAACAGGCTGTAACACCTGTTTTGCAATAACAATAATGTGTTTGCATCTTTTTTTAAATATGCAAGTCTATTTTTTTACTTTCCTATTATTATAATTATAATTATTATTATTATAATAATGATAATAATAATTATTATTCATTCATCTTATTGTGCTTGCAGACCCATCTGTCATGGAACAACACGGTGCCCGTCAACATCTCCATCAGCCTGAACAAGCAGTGGCAGAAGAACTCCAGCAGGGGGCAGGCCTGCGCTCTGTTCTCCACACAACAGGTTGGAAGACCCTCCTCATAGGATGCTACACACGTGTAGGAGAAGTCTTTCTTTATTGTGTTACTTGATCTGTGTGTGTGTGTGTGTGTGTGTGTGTGTGTGTGTGTGTGTGTGTGTGTGTGTGTGTGTGTGTGTGTGTGTGTGTGTGTGTGTGTGTGTGTGTGTGTGTGTGTGTGTGTGTGTGTGTGTGTGTGTGTGTGTGTGTGTGTGTGTGTGTGTGTGGTCTAGATGGCGGTGTCGTCTGTCAAAGGTTGTGTGTCAGTGGGTCAGGAGGGAAACTCGTATTCCCAGAATGCAGAGCTCAGATGGGACAACAGGAGCGTCAAACAAGGCTTGAAGTACCAGGTAAACTCTGCAAGCTCGGACCACACAGGAACATGGGCCCCTCTGAAAGTCAAGTAAATGGGCCCCTCATCTAGATTTTCTTTACTCATACAGTAGACTGTCTTTCTCCTAAAATTTGTCGAATATCCTTCCCAGCTCCCAGCTCCCTCTTTTTCTTTTCATTTCTTTTCAAGACATCCTGATTTATGGGCAGACATAGCAAAGGAAATCACTCCGTAATGCTTCAGATCAGTACGTTTCTTAGGTCATGAGGCCGAATCCCCTAGGGTTTTTCTTCTTCTTGCAACTGAAAAATCTATCATTCTTTAAAGAATTTTTATTAAATGGGCCCAATTATGCTTTTTGGGTTTCCCCTTTCCTGTAGTGTGTTTTATAGGTTTTTGTGCATATAAGTGGTCTGCAAAGGCTAAAATCCCAAAGTCTCGATTGGACTCCTTTGTTTACTTCTGGAACATAATCACATGATCACATCACTATGTAACACTGGCGTTACAATGTATTACCTTTTCAATTCACACACAACACCTAACGACACATCTCTAAGTGTTTGACCAATGACAACAGAGCCGGCCAGCTAACCAATCAGAGCAGACTGGGCTCTGGTTTCAGACAGAGGGTGAAAAGAGGTGCTGCAGCACAGGCAGTATGAGAAAAATAAAGACCTTTTTGAACATTAAAGCATGGAGACATGTCCCAGTAGAGGCAGAAAATACAGATATGAACCCGTCCTGAGTATTATGAGGGGCCGTACAGGCCGTAATTCATGCTGGTCCTCTCACGCACATACATTCTCCTTTTACATACATCACTCTTACACCCATACATTCTCCTTTTACATACATACATTTTCACTCTCACACACATATTTATACATTTTTCACTCACACATATATACATTTTGCTCTCATATTCATATATTTTAATGCTCATATGTATACATTTTGCTCTCATTCATTCAATGTTTACATTTAAAAAAGTAAACGGAAGAGCGTCTGAGAGGCGTTTTTGCTTTTTGCTTTTTACCTTACTAAATGGTCTAATGGTCATTGGAGCGTTCGAAACTCGCAGAAGTGATTTCAAAACAAAAGCACTCGTTTGCTTGGAACGGTGATAATATTATAAACAAGGGGAATTTAGCGATCACAACGAAAACAGCCAAGACACACATTTTGAGCCCAGAAAACTAATGTTATTAAGAGCTGTAAATATAATAAGCCTATGTCTAAAATGGACAACATTGTTAGGAGATTTAAACTATACAGCGATTCTGCACTGCGGTCACTCAGCCGTCTCTCGAGTTTGTTTTTTCAAATCAGCTGCTCTTCATTTTTTCCCCTGCTATATTTGACGAGTGATACAAATATTTTTTACCACAAGTTCTTAATAAAACTGACACTTTTGGACTCGGTACTAGTTTGACTGCTACTAACAATACACTGAAGTACTTTTACTGTGTATTCTTTGAGAAATACTCTGTCCAAGTCCCCTCCTGAGAACAAAATCTTCTGCTAAGTTTGATGAGGGAATTCTTTTTTGTTGCCATTAGTTCTTCGTGAGATTGATCCTGTTGGACTCAGTACTACTGAAACTACCCTCACAAGTACTATGAAGTACTTACTGTGTACTTACTTTATAAACTCTGAATCTTGTGGTGCTTGAAGAAATACAGACTGGTTAAGCCGGCCAGGTTATAGGCCTATGCCTTTTTTTGAGCCCTTTTTTGTAATATTTATTCAAATGTCACTAGTTATTTCAACAAACCACTATCTGAGGATAACAAGCAACCATAAAACACCCTTTATCTAGAGAGCCATTGAAGCCCATGAAGAATTTATCCTTCCACAAATCTTTTCATCTGCTGTATTAATAAAGTTGCCACGTGTTTTCAAATTCAAGTTAAGGCACTATCTGTGCAGAACATTACAAATATTCTTCATTTGCAGTATTTTATTTTAAAAGTGTTCAGAAAGACTGCATCAATGATATGCTATATATTTATATATCTATATAATATCAATATTGTTATGAACTTCAACCAAAGTCAATTTAAATAGCGGGCAAAAATGGGTTAATTGCCATGGATGTGGTGTTTGACATAGTTTACGTTCAATTTCAACTATTTTAGGCAGAACAACGAATATTGACCCTTTTTTATTAATTTACTATAATTTAGAAAGGTTTTTGTGAGACATCATTTCAAAAGTAAACTTTTTTTTCCTTTAGTATTTAAATTTGAAATGTTTGCACACAACATTATTAATGTATACATTTTTATCAATTTAAAAAAAATTATGAATCCATTAATTTTATTGTATTTCCTTGAGGCTGGGGAAGATATCCAGCAGTTCAACATGCAAATGTTCTATTACAAGTAAGTATATAAGTATAACATGGACAAGTAAATAAAATAAGTTTAGTAGGAGGATGTGAATTTATTTTCTCTCACCTTGTAATTACACAATCAAACACTCTATAATTTAGCTCTGGCCTTCACTCACAAAAAAACATTTTGTTGAATTGGACACATTTTTCGAAGCTCTATTGACTGACATGCAATGACTGGTACTGATGGAAGAATCTGAGAGGAATGAACTAGCGGCTGAGAAATAATCATATTTTAAACGACGGCAGCTTAATAAGAGGCCAACAAGGGTGACAAGGTGTGTCACTTTGCTGAAGGATAGTTGTGACCAGCTATCCAGGCCAGTCTCTAAAGACTTTCCATGGTGTAAAATGCTGCTGCTGGAGTACTGACTGGAAGTATTGCTGATATCATGTCTACCATCCTCTTAACATACTCTGTCCAACAATATCAGTCTCATGAAGAAAGGAGTTTTAACGCTTGTTCAAAATAGCAGAGAAACATGCATTCTTGTACTCAGGAGGGGACATTGACAGAGGATTACTCAAAAAGTACACAGTAAAAGTATTTCATAGTATTTGTGGGAGTAGTTTCACTAGTACTGAGTCCAACAGTGTCAATCTCACGAAGAACTAATGGCAGAAAAAAATCATTTTTTTCCCTCATCAAACTTAGCAGAAGTGGACATTGACAGAGGATTTCAACAACAACAAAAAACACACTAGAAGTAGGCTACTTCATTGTATTGTGGTAGTAGGTGTAAGACTACTGAGTCCAGCAGTATCAATATCATTAAGAACTAATGGTAAAATTGTCTTTTTATCACTCATCAAAGACAGCAGAACACATGCATTATGTACTCAGGAACTTGCGGTAACAAATATTTGTAAAAAAAAAATGAAGAGCAGCTGATTTGAAAAAACAAACTTGAGAGACGGCTGAGTGACCGCAGTGCAGAATCGCTGTATAGTTTAAATCTCCTAACAATGTTTTCCATTTTAGACATAGGCTTATTATATTTACAGCTCTTAATAACATTAGTTTTCTGGGCTCAATGTGTGTCTTGGCCGTTTTCGTTGTGATCGCTAAATTCCCCTTGTTTATAATATTATCACCGTTCCAAGCAAACGAGTGCTTTTGTTTTGAAATCACTTCCGCGAGTTTCGCGCCCCTCGCTCCAATGACCATTAGACCATTTAGTAAGGTAAAAAGCAAAAAGCAAAAACGCCTCGCAGACACTCTTCCGTTTACTTGTTTAATAAAGAAAAACAAATGGTCCGAAGATACACGGATTCATCTCCCTCCATCATGTTGATTTGAATCAGAAGTTCTGAACATGAGCCCGCCCCGCTCGACCTTCTGAGCCAATCAGAGCGCGATGATGACCTGCCTTCCGTTTCAACTATACTCCTTCCGTTTCTACTATACTTTCTCTCACACATACATACATTCTTCTCTTGCATACATATATTGTCTTCAGACATGCATACATTCTTCTCTTGCATACATATATTGTCTTCAGACATGCATACATTCTTCTCTTGCATACATATATTGTCTTCAGACATGCATATATTATTTATAATATTAAATGTAAACATTGAATGAATGTGCATGAGAGCAAAATGTATAAATATGAGCGTTAAAATATATGAATATGAGAGCAAAATGTATATATGTGTGAGTGAAAAATGTATAAATATGTGAGTGACAATATATGAATGTGTGCATTGAAATATGATAATATGAGAGCAAAATGTATGAATGTGGGAGTGTAAATATATACGTGTGTGAGAGTGAAAATGTATGTATGTTAAAGGAGAATGTACAGTATGTGCGTGAGAGGACCAGTATGAATTACGGCCTGTACGGCCCCTCATAGAGTATAGTATGTCCTCTTTAAGAAACAGGCAACATTTACTAAAGTAGCAATACATACAATGTTACCTATGCCTAAAAATATAGTGGTGCAGTGAAGTATTTATACAGGCTTACTCGTAAGTTAGCATTGCAAGGGCTCCCTCGACTAAATATAACCTTCATATTAACACCACTTTTATCATTTTTAAAGCGTAAAGGCAATCCCCAGAAGTATAACACGGTCGCATGGCTGCTCGTTACCTCTGCTAAGCTAAAGGCGCTAATGTTGGACGTAGCGAAGTTCAGTAGTCTCATTTCACTTGTTAGCAACCGCCGTATTTAAGACGCCTAAAAGCTTGGGACAATCACGAGTGAGGTAATTACTTACGTATTTTATGTCTTAGAACAAAATTTGAAGGTCTCATCTCGAAAATCAGCTTGTTCTGGTTGTGTTTCAGGCATCTAGAAACACGTTCAAATTTACTTTGAGACGGGGAAACTGGAATTTTGTCAAATGCTAACTCATTTCCAGGTTTTAGGACTCCTTCCTGCAACACTCTACCAGGATAAACATGATGATTGCTATTATCTATCCCCCCCCCTCTCAGCGGTGGGGCCCCAGAGAGCTTTCCCCCTTTTACCCGCTGAAAGCTTTAAATCCCCCTGACTTATTCCCTCATGTTTGGCTGATGTTTCTGTCTTTGTAATTCTAGAGGGGTCCACGGGGAATGCACAGCCTTCAGGTGAATGTGGGCCTCGATAAAGTGTCCCCTATGCCCTGTCATTCACACACACTCCTGACAAAGATTCAGACCAACCTGAGGAACCGCCTGGAGCACTCAGTGCTGCTGGGCCTCTGCCCCCCCCAGCCTGTGAGTCAACACATCTGCATCCTATTCTTCTCACTGCTTTCCTTCACGATGATTTGGTGTTTTTCTCCCACATCTGAATACATGTGCAGATTGTAGCTGCTGTTATATCTCTCACAGGCTCCGCCCTCTACTGGACTCTATGGGTACTACCTTATCATGCAAGCATTCACCTACTGAGATTTCTATAGACGTAGCCGGCCCCGGGGCGGGCCTACCTGAATGCGTGCGCATCTCACTTCCCTATAAAAGGAGGCCTCGCCTCCTGACCACCATCCTTTACTCTTCAGCGAGCGGAGGTGATAGCCTAGCACTGAGTCCGAGACGTATTATTTGAGAGAAAGGAAGAAAGTAAACGAGTATTTTTTTAAATCATGCCCTGGATTAAATAGCGGGCGTCGATCCCCACCACCTCTGCTTCGAGTGTGCCAGGATATGGCCGAGGCGGTGCAATTCACGTTCACCATTCCTTCCGGGTCCGGCGTCCATGGAAGTCCACCGCCCAGGGCTGTACTCTCCCTGGATGATGATCATGGTGGCGGGTGTGTGGGCTACTCGCTCATTGCTAGAGATGCCCCCGCCTCACAAGGTCAGAGCGATTATTGGGCCGCAAGGCCGAATAAGTAGCTTGGTCCACGGGCCTTGCCCCAGGCCTCGGTGGCTTCACATGATATAGGGGCGACCCTACTTCATCACAGGCCGCCGCCGCTGCCTGCCGTGTGATGTCCCTGGGATATCACGCCGCATGGCACTTTCCAAAGAGGACCGTGTTGATCTCCTGGGAGCCCCCGTGTTTACGGAAGGGCTCTTTGGATCGATCTCCTTGCTCACAGGATAAGGGTAATCGCAGCGTGGCTGCTTCTTGCCCATCCGCAGAGGAAGAAACACTGTCATACACTCCCCGCCTCTGCTGTAAACCCCAGTATAGGGAGCCAGCAGGTGGGTATGTGCACGTGAGTGGGATAAACCGAGTGCTGTCAAAGCACTGTGCGGGTTCAAGAGACGCTATTGCCGGCGTGCTGTTGTCAGAAAACACACCTTGCCTGGTATAATAGCTCCGATTAATGCATTTCACCGTTGAATGGGAAATACAGCATTAATACGTGGGCGCGCGGCCCTCGTAAGAGTGGCCGCGGTGTGTTCAGGAACCTCCGCAGGAGAACGGTGGTTTACGTTTGTAAACTCTAGTTCTGGAGTGATGTGTGTGTGTGTGGGAAAATGCATTCAGTAAACATGGTTGCATTTATCCCAGAGTAAGAGTCATCTCTCTCCACAATTCCACTTTTCCCCATAATGTCCGTTTCAAAGAGAGGGCATTGTGACGGCGCGCGCGGCCCCCCTCGCTGAGGGCGGGCCGCGGTGCGTTGAAAGACCTCAGTAGAGAGAAGAGTCACCGCTGCAGACGAGAGAGCGCAGCGCGACGGTGAGACGAAGGGAGAGGTGCCGGCACGGAGATCCCGTGCCGGCACGGAGATCCCGTGCCTGCGGTGCCCTCCACCTCTTCGGCCCACCCCGTGGAACCGGCGTGTCGGCACTCACGGGGACGGGCTGCCCAGCCCCGGCAGGCTCCGCAGCAGCAGAGAGCGGCCGGGTGGGGTGCTCCGTCTTTACGGAGGTGTCTGGCGGGGGGAGAAAATCTCTCCGCCCGGGACGAGAGGGCGAATCCCGCCTCCTCCCTGTACAATGCACAGATCACTACGTTTTCTAAATAAAAATGAGGATGATCTGTATCCAAATCTAGGTGTCTTTTGTTTTCACAAATGCTACACTTACACACAATGTTAACCGTACAAATTCCCCATTCGCTGCCCCAGCTGTAGCTCCTGTAAAGGAGGTGACTAGTGGGCATGCGCAGATGAGAGGGATGAACCGCAGGGAGTGCTATCTAAAGGAAAGCACTATGCGGTTACAGGGACATTATGGCCGGCGTATTGCTGTCAGAGAACACACTACGCCTAGAGCAAAGACTCCAGTTAATGCAGTTTACCGTAGTGGTAAAGGCTGCATTATGGCGGAGCTCGCACTCACACAAGAGCGCGTGGCGGTGCGTTCAGGGACCTTAGTAAAAACACACTACGCCTATAAAAACTCAGATTAATGCTGTTTACCGTAGTGGTGAGAACAGCATTATGGTGGAGCGCGCGCACACACAAGAGCGTGAGGCGGTGCGTTCAGGTACCTCAGTAAATAATCGGCCCTTTCTGTGTCGACCCTCCATCTATACTATGAATCTTCCATTCATGGGGAGTTTTGCGGCGGAACGGGTCACCAGAGAGTATCATAGCTGCGGCCCCACAGCTGAGGGCTTGTCCATAAACACAATGTTATGGGGAATGGAAACTCAGCTGTGTACTAATAGGGTGGATGGACAGGTCGCTGAAACGGGGCTATTCACTCCAGTTTTGCAGCGTCCCACCTCCTTTTATGGGCATGCGAGAGGTAAATCTGTCCTCCCAGGAGGAGATGGGTTTCCTCTCATAAGAGATTCGGGCTCTGGTGCAGAAGCAGGCTGTGTCTGTTGTGCAGCCTCAGCACAGAGAAAAGGGTCTTTATTCCATGTACTTCCTGGTTCTCAAGAAAACAGGGGAATTCAGACCTATTCTAGATCTCCGATGCCTGAATCGCCACATTTCCTGCAGGAAATTCCGCATGGTAACTATGAAACAGTTACTGGGCTTGTGCAGCCAGGCGATTGGTTCACCACCATCGACCTGAAAGACGCGTACTTTCATGTAGAAATTGCTCCAGAGCACAGAAAGTATCTGCGTTTTGCCTTCCAGGGAACAGCCTACGAGTACAACAGGCTGCCGTTCGGTTATTCCCTATCCCCACGCACATTCAGCAAATGTGTGGCCACAGCGCTTTAACCGCTGCGCGCCCAGGGCATGAGAGTTTTCTTTTACCTAGACGACCTCATAGTCATGGCTGGGTCCCGGGAACAGGCAATGTTTTGCAGAGCACAGTTGATCACACACCTAACCAAATTAGGCTTTGCGATCAATTGGAAAAAGAGCACCCCCATACCTCGCCAACAGGCGTTGTATTTGAGAGTGGTGCTCGATGCAGACGCGCTACGCGCCACCCTGTCAGAGAGCAGACGTGCGTCCCTTCTCCGGGCGGTGCACAGGCTGCGACAGTGACAGCTTTAACTGTCATGCAGACTCTGGGTCTCATGGCGGCTGCTCACATTGTGGTCCCGCTGGGGTTACTACATATGCGCCGCCTGCAGAGGTGGTTCCCCAGCCTGCGTTTGGATCCCAAGAGGCACAAACGGCGGCTGGTGACCATCCCCCCCTCAGTGGAGGGCAACCTCCGGTTTTGGGGGTCCCTGGATCACCTCCGGAGGGGGTCTCCACTGGGACGGGTGACCTCCTACATCACAGTGTTCACGGACATCCAGAACAGGATGGGGAGGGACCTGCCTGAAGAGGGCTATAGGTGGGCGCTGGGCTCTACGGAGTCTCAACACAGCAACCTCCTAGAGCTACGGGCGGTAGTGTTAGTTCTCCGGCATTTCATCCCCCTAATTCAAGGGAGACATGTAATGGTCAGGTGCGACAACAGCACCACAGTGGCTTATATCAACAGGCAGGGCGGAGTCCGCTCAGCCCCCTTGTTGGCCACAGCGGAGAGGCTGTGGTTATGGGCCTCAGAGGTGGTGTTATCTCTGAGAGCCCTCCATATCCCGGGACTGGAGAACAGGGGGGCCGACCTCATGGCGAGGGGCGGCCACCTGCCAGGCGAGTGCTTCACCCGGAGGTGGTGAAGCAGATCTGGGCCCAGTTCGGGAGAGCGGAAGTGGACCTGTTCGCCAGCCGGCGCAACAGCCACTGTGCCCTGTGGTTCTCCATGGCGCTGAGCGACGACCCGCCCTTGGGGGTGGACGCGTTTGCACACGAGCCATGGCCAAGGAAGCTGCTATACGCCTTTCCACCGCTGCGTCTCATTCTCCCTCTCCTGGGGAGAGTGAGGCGAGAACGTCTGGCAGTCATTCTGGTGGCACCGGATCGCGTCGGGGCTCCGTGGTACTCAGAAATGACACAGATGAAGGTGGGCCAGCCCTGGGCGATCCCCCAGTTCTGGGGGGCGATGTCTCAAGAGGCAGGTGCAATCGGGGCGTTACCCACTCTGGGCCGTCCTCTTCAGGCTTGGCTCCTGAGAGGGACAGGCTGAGACAGGGTGGATTGTCTGACAGCGTTATTCAGTCTATCCAGGCAGCTAGAGCAGAATCCACCACAGCCTGTTACAGGCCAAAGTGGCTGAGATTCCAGCATTGGTGTGAGGAGCGGGGAATAGAGCCCCTATCTTGTGAGTTGGGCTCTATTTTATCCTTCTTACAGTTACTGGTGGACAGAGGGCTTGCTCATTCCACAGTGAAGGTGTATGCAGCAGCCATCTCGTCCTGTCATGAGGGATTCAACGGCAGGTCAGCCTTCTCTCATCCACTGATGTTGCGGTTTTTACAGGGGGTCAGGAGGCTGCGCCCGGTGGTGCACGCCTCCGCCCCACAGTGGGACCTGCCGCTGGTGCTCGAGGCTCTGGTCACGGAGCCTTTTGAGCCTCTTGAGCTCTCCTCCCTGAAAGCACTGTCGTGGAAGACAGCGTTGCTACTTGCCTTAACGTCAGCCAAAAGAGTGTCCGAGTTAACCGCTCTGTCGGTGCACCCGAGCTGTTTACTGATTCGGGGTGACCAGAGTGGGGCGACACTCAGACCGAACCCCTCCTTTGTGCCCAAGAGCCTAAGGAGTGCGTTCAGGTCGAGGGCTATTCAGTTGGGGGGTTTTAGTCTTCCACCCCATAGTGGGGCTAGGGAAGCTGAATTACACCTCCTCTGCCCGGTGCGCGCATTAGCATATTATGTAGAGCGCACAGCTACCCTGAGACGCCCTGAACAGCTGTTTGTGTGCTTCGGGGGCGGGGTGACTGGAAAAGCTCTCTCCAAGAAACGCCTGGCAGGCTGGCTTTGCGAAGCCATTGCACACGCCTACAAGCAGGCAGGGAGAGCCTGTCCCATGGGGGTCCGTGCGCACTCCACACGAGTTGTGGCTGCATCAACAGCCTTATTCAGCGGTGTGAGTGTGGAGGATATATGCACGGCGGCGTCTTGGTCAACGCCAGGCCCCTTCATAAAGTTTTATCTCTTGGATATGTCTGGCTCTTTCTCAACGTCTGTGCTTGCTGTGGCAACACAGGACTGGTGAGGAGGGGGGGGGCTGTGGGTCAGTGGGCATCTGACCCCCTCCCCGGGCGTAAATGCGCTTACATTTCTCCGGACCCCTGGAGGGTCGCGGGGTGATGTAATGCGCTCTGGGCCCTTACAGGGCTGAAGGGCTCCCCTCGCCTGCCTGGAGGCAGGAGGGGGAGAGCCCTCCATACTATAGTCCCTACACACTCTGCACAGGGTCAGTGGCTGAGTGGGGGGACATAGGGGGCACTTGCGTTCTCCCCGTGCTCTTTAGGGACTCAGGAGGGAGAGTGCATAGTGAACCCATACAGGGCTGCGGACTTTCCCTGTCTGCCTATGGGCAGACGCACGGGAGTCCTCAGCACTATTTTTGAGCACACTTTTTTGCGAGGCAAGCGCGTCAGGGTGTGCTCTATCGGCCGCAGCCCGGACTTCTCCACGGTTACAACCGAGGGAGAGGTGAGTGAGGCGCAGTGGCTGCTAAAGCCGGTCAGGGACAGTGAGGTGGAACGGTGTGCTGGACGACAGTGCGTGCATACATCGGGGCTCCGCCCACTGTACCCATAGAGTCCAGTAGAGGGCGGAGCCTGTGAGAGATATAACGCCGGGTTACGTATTGTAACCCTTGTTATATTAACACAGGCAGAGCCCTCTACCTTGGGGGCACTGTCTGTCCTATGCCGCTCGCTGAAGAGTGGTGTAGGATGGTGGTCAGGAGGCGAGGCCTCCTTTTATAGGGAAGTGAGATGCGCACGCATTCAGGTAGGCCCGCCCCGGGGCCGGCTACGTCTATAGAAATCTCAGTAGGTGAATGCTTGCATGATAAGGTAGTACCCATAGAGTCCAGTAGAGGGCTCCGCCTGTGTTAATATAACAAGGGTTACAATACATAACCCGGCGTTTTGGTAATGTGTGTGGTTCAACTTGCATAGACTCTGAACCCTGGAGGAATCTTTTTTTCCCGTAATTTCTTGTACGTTTTCAGACTCCCAGGATGCCGCTGTGCTTGGTTCCTTTCTCCAGCTGTTGTTTATTTTCTCTGTGTGTCTCTCAGACTGTATCGTGGTCAGGATCCCACAGCGTGAACTCGGGAGAGGAGCTGTTTTACTCTCAGTCTCGCCTCTCGGTGACAGGACGGCCCCACCAGTGCAGCCTCACCGTCGCTCTGACCAACTCCTCCACAGCCCAGGGCTCCAAAATGTCTCTGTTCTCCAAGGTGAACATCCCCTGGATCAAATCTTAGTTTTCCTTGGTTTCATTCACATTTGTAAACATTACTTTCAATTTTAGAAGCTACCAAATATATTTTAGTTGATTGATTAATCTTTAGATCTACAAAATGCAGTGGTGGGAGAAGTATTGAGGTCCTTTACGGAAGTAAAAGTACTAGTATATTAGCTTATTTAAGTATGATCAGGAAAATGTCCTGAAAAGGTTGTTTTAGGTGTCAAATATTTATAGCATAGTAAAAAGTACAATATCAACCTTTTAAATCAGTTGGAGTAGAAGTATAGAGTGGCACAAAGAGAAAACACTCAAGTAAAATACCTCCAATTTTTACCTAAGTACCTAATTTGAGTAAATAGATTTTTTTTTTACTTCCCACCACTGATAACATGTCAGAATATAGTCAGAAATGTCCATCCCAGTTTCTAAAATACCAAGGTGATATCTTGTTATTGTCTTTTTTTGTAAAACTCCCAAAGTCTTATATTATATACATATAAAACAGAAAAGCAGTAAATCTCCATACTTGAGAGGGCAACAACAGCATTTCCAAACAATTTTGCATAAACAATTACTTGAAAGATTAGATTATTATCAGAATAGTTAGTAATGTTGCAGATCTGAAGTGTGTTAAATGGGTTTATTACACTGACATGTGTCTCGTCATGAACTTTAGTTAAAAAGGGTGGTGTTTCTTTCCGTTTATTGAACATGATGGTTTTATTACTGTGCTGCCGGAACTTTCCAGTGATAAGGCATTGGTGGGATTGGATTAAATAGCACTCTCTACACAGAGGCTGTTAGTGCTGCTGCTGTGTGTGTGTGCATTTGTTTTTGTGTCTTAGTGAGGACCAAGTTTACAGTATACAGCCTAAGGACATTTGTGGAAAGTAAAGAGTTGAATCTCACTTCTTAAAAGGTTCATAATAACATGATCTAGATTAGGCCAAGGCTTTGGCATTTATTTGTGATAGTACATAACAGTACAACTTTTTCTTTTAAACCCCTATTATTGACATTTACATAATTGACCAGAAGGTAATACCACTCACCACCAAGAGTATTACAATAATATTTTCCCAAGCTTTAACCTGAAGTGAGATATCCTTTTCCAACAAAGAACTGAAGCTGTTAGCTATGCTAACCCTTTTTTACTCCATTAAAAAGCAGTATTTTACCTAGCAGAACTTGGGTTGCTGGTTTACTGCTGCCTTGATCTATTGTATTATTGTATGACTTTGATGAAACTGAACTAACCCTTTAAACCCTAAAGTCATCCATTAACACAAGCTAAACAATCAATTGTGTCAGTGGTAGACCAGCTAACCTGTATTTTGCAAGGTAAAAAAATGAGTTCTTATGAATACACAAGTACAACAATGTGTGTGTTGTACACTTCACAGTCTAGGATGGGCAACTGGAGTGTGGAGGTGGGGGGCAGTGTCCTGTCTGGGCCCCGGGGGTCCGGTCTCCAGGTGCAGGCCAGACTGGACGGCAGAGAGAAGATCTGGCTTAACGGGACGGCGGAGGGACCATGTCTGCAGAGCACAGCGGGTTATATGAACGGTGAATACATCTGAAAAATAAATATGGATTTTGATATTGCTCTAAACAAAAACCCACAACTTCTGCAAAAAAAAACAGAAGAAATCAAGAAGAATATTTACTTCAGCCTATTAGTTAGAGTAGCCACTAAACACATTCTAAGGAAATAATCAAAAGATGATAACCTTAAAAACATTAAATGGAAATAACCATGATAATTCCTATTTTTGTGTTGATATATTTGATACAAAATGGGGAAGATGGGTAAACACAAAATATTAGAAATGACCTTTGGTTAGATGTTGACTATATATCCGTTTCCTGCTAAATATATCCCATCATCATTTTTGAGTTCTTCTTTCTTACAGATTTGTTTTAGGTATTATTGTTTTAACTGTATTACATTTGTATTGCGTTTGCTCTGTAAAAAATGAATTTCTTAAGAAAAAAGAAATAAAAAAAGACAAAAATGTTGAATCTAGGATGATGAATATTTGAATGTGTTTATGTCCAGGTGTGAGCGAGGACGTCACAGTTGTGGCGTGTGTGGGAACAAATGGCAGTGTGACGCTGGATGTGCAGAAACGAGACGGCAGCAGCACAGACCCTGAGACTCTGGGCAGTGTGTGTGTGGGAGCAGCCAATCAGAGGCTGAGGCTGAGAGCAGGAGGCTGTTTGGAAAGTCTGACAGCAGTGGAGGTATCACCAAGACAACAACATCAGATACATTAATATTACCATAAAGCATGGCACTTTTTAAAATACTAATACTCATTAACAAGCCTACAAGCACTCATAGAGAATACAGACATGCTGTATAAACCAATACATGGTAGAATAAACATAGAACACTTAAGTGTGGGGGATTTTATATGCAAGTAGAATATGGGATTTATATGCAATTTCTATTGGTAGTATGTTTCGTGCCTGTACCACGTCTTTTTGTCCGGTCGGGTCTTGGAAGACCGGAAGCTGTGTGGTTCATAAAAATATTTTCTTACTCAATATCAAGCCACGATTATTGTTTTTATTTTAAATAGTATAATGTCTGAGTTTTTTTGCCGTCCGCGAGGAAAAGAAATGGGGCTCAGAGCCTCAGAATACTGAAATCTGTATTTTTTGTCATCTTTTTTTCCTTCTAATTTGTTATTATTTGGTGCAGGCACAAAACATACTACCAATATAAATACATTGCTTCTAAAATCGTTCTGTGTCAGAATACTGAAATCTGTATTTTTTAAATCTTTTTTTCCTTCTAATTTGTTATTATTTACATTGCTTTCAAAATCGTTCTGTGTGACACTAAAAAAAATGGGGAAATCGTGTTGGTGAACACGAATCAATAGATTAATTTCGTGACTATAACACGAAATGCCGTGAGACTGTGTTGACAGTAGATATGTAATTGTAAAAAAAGTAATTATCAAATTAACCATGTCAGAAATAGAGACATTTTAAAAAGTCAATGCAAAAATTTGAAATGATTGGTCAAAAGTCTGGTTGTCATTTATCTTATCTTGTATTATATCCAATTTTTATTATTTAACGAAAAAAAATATACCATTATCATAATTCCAGAATGTGCTTTACTCATAATGGTTTACATATCTGGCACTTCAAACAGCCCGTTATGTACTTCAAACCACAGTACAAATACATAATTAAGTAATTTTTTTTTAAATTATTTAATCATTAATCACCAATTTGGCAATCTGTCCTGTCAATAGAAAACATACAAATATTCTTGATTAACTGAATCAGCGACACAGAAATCACTTTATTAATATTACTATAATTTAAATGATACCTAAAAAGGTAGTGATGGTGGTTGGTTTGTATATTAACCTTGTGTTCTCTATAACATTGTGAATTTTAACTTTATTTAGGTGGAGGCTTCAAATAAGACCATTTGGTTTTCTGCCTCTTCCTGCAATGTATACTTTTTTTATCTGTTATGTCTGTATTTTCAAATTGTGCAAGAAATAAAGTGACCAGTGCAATCGGACAGATCATAAACAAAGAAAATGCCTTCCTCGTAACAATTCCCCATTAAATGTAATCATTCTATTATTCCATAGAGTTGGTCCGTGAAGAGAATAATAAGTTCAATTTATTCAGTTTCTGTTCAACATGTTTTTGTTTTCACAGGCACGGATTCAATATCTAAGCACTCGCATACAGACCAAGCTGCTGGAAAGAGTCAAGACATTACAGCATCTCCTCGTGGAATTCAGACAGCAGGTAAACAAATGACTGCAGGATAAGTTACGTCAACAAAGCATTTACATTTTTTGAACTTGGCAACCTTCTCTCCACAGTCCAGGGACAGCGAGTTGCTTCAGGAGCTGAGTGCCGTTCCGCTTCATGTTTCCCAGCATGCTCAGGCTCTGCTGCAGCACAGACAGGGGGGTCTGCTGGCTCTGTGGCAGCACAGCCCCCTGCGCCGCGTCTTGACCGACAGCCTGCCGCGCCTCCTCAGCCTGCTGCAGCACGCCTCTCTGCTGGGACAACAGGAACTGAGGAGTGAGTCCACAGGGGTCACATGGCAGACATTGCCTCCATGGGGTCGTGCATTTTGTGTCACTGAAAAGGAAATTGAGAAAGATTAAGAGAGCAGATAAAAGAGATGTGCTGCTTTGGTTTGGCCAATACTTTACTTTTCCTTAAAAACCTGTTAAACCCCACGGACCCGCCGAAGGGTCCGAAAATGCTACATCTGCTAGCACCAGTGTGATCTCTGAAGTGTCATTTATGAAACTATTAACGTTCCACACCCAGCTGACGGGAAGAAACTCAGCTAACTGACGATACGAAAAAAAAAAAAATGAAAAAAAAAAAAAAATAATTCCCACAAGAAGCCTTTAAATGAGCCCTTAGCAAATACGGACTAATGCTATTTCTGCTCATAACTCACAAAAATTATCATTTATAATTCATACTTTCTGCACAAACAACACATCATCTGAAAGCTGAGATTCCACAGATTCCATGGGTTTACACCCCATCACTGCAGGCAAGAATTCACTTAGCTAGCAGCCAGAACATAGCAAATAAACAACATCAGTTTTCAAATCCATGACAATAATTAGCAGGTTAAATATTTTAAAATTTTACAATAATCTTTTTTTTTTTTTTTTTTTTTTATGGAATGATTAACTATAGTGATGATTCAATGTTATAAAATGATTTTTACAGTCTGGTACCTGAAAAAGGTCAAATGGCACTGATGGAACCAGATGTGCCCAAATGTGCCCAAAGCTTAGTCCACCTGGACTTTTTTTCCCTAAATCTCTCTAAAAAGGTCAATTTTATCTTGTTTTGCCTCAATCTTGATACAGGGTACTTATTATATGTTGTAGTTTGGATTCCTAAAGCTTTTAGTCTACTAACCCATCATTCAAGGGTGGTTTCCACTATAAGTATAAGAATTTACACTTTTTTACTATGTTCCATCTGAATTTATTCTGACACAGAAACATCTATATTGATTCTGACACTTCTACATCCATCTCACAGATGTAACCTTGCTTTGAGAAAAAAGATTATTAATTTACCCCTTTTAGAAGTGAAGTTATAGTCATTTGTTCTGGGCATGTCATTTTCGAGCCTGAAACCTGAAACAGGCTTGGGGTCTAACAGGAAACATTGTGGTTCTTTCACTTGAAAATAACGCTTGAAAGAGGACATATTCTGCTAAATTCAGGTTCATCTTTATATTTAGTGTCTCTACTGTGACATGTCTCTATGCTTTAATGTTCAAAAAGCTCTTTATTTTTCTCATACTGGCTGTGCTGCAGCACCTCTTTTCACCCTCTGTCTGAAACCAGAGCCCAGTCTGCCCTGATTGGTATCCCTTAGCCTATCACATACAATGTGTTGACATGCTAGCCAATAGAAGCAAGTGTTACATAGGGATGTCCTCATGTAACAGAAGAAAAAATAAAGGAGTCCAATGGAGGCGTCTTAGACGGGGCTTGGGGACTCAGTCTAGAGGGAACACAGGGATTTTAGCCTTTACATTTTACATTCACAAAAAAAACACACTACAAGAAAGGGAACACAGTACAGATGTGTAAAGGTGGGGTTGTATGAGATCAGAATATTTTCACTATCAACACTTTTCCTTGCCATCAGAGGCCAGTTATTCCTTTCTCTTATTTGCGTGGACTGCATCTATATATTGCTTTATCAGTCTTTGGTGGCCGACAGGTGCAAACAGGCTAACACTCTTCCATTAGGAGAAACACGCTGCAGCTTCAGAAGTGATGCAGATATAAAAAACACAAACGTGTCAAAATATACAAATCAAGAAACATCTTCACCATCCTGCCAACACATGCATGATGCACACAGCTGGGACCGGAGCGCGTCAGCGATTATAAAGTTGGCCAACTGTCAGTGTTGGCAGAGTTAGTCTGTTTCATAATTGTAATTGTAAGTGTTTTGTCAGTATATTTTAAATGACTAGGTTAGCTACATTAGCTAACTAGCTTATAGCAGATCTGCAATAATATCGGGAGGAATTGTGCAGTCACATTGTTTAAATAAGCCAATAAAACGTACATTTGAGGTTGACAGTGACAGTTGGCCTGTGTGTGCATCACTTTTTAGTGTCCCCTGATTTTCATTGTGTTTTTAGCTTCTTGCAGCATTTTTTTATTTGCAGAGTTTTTGTTTATGCAGCGCTTTTAGTTAACACTGCGCATGTGTTTTTAAGTAGGTGAAGATGTTTCTTTATTTGCATGTGTTTTGGCTCATTCGTGTTTTTTCATTTGCAGTGTTTTTGAAACTGCAGTGCGTTTCTCCTTATGGAAATGTTTTGGACCTGCTCATGCAGACTATTCATACAATCTCTCAAGCATTCCCTCGGACTTACCTTGACATCCTGAGCAACTTTGGGTTAAGTGTATGTATCTTGCCCAAGGACGTATCGACAGTCAACATGTGACAGTCAACTTGTGGAGGCTCGGATTTGTACCACCAACCTTCCAATTTGTTTCAAAGTAATCCAATGGCTTTGAGGAGAGCATAGAGAGTAGCTTCAAAATTGGTAAAAATATTCTAAATACAGCGCACACTTTCTAAAGATAAGTTCCTAATACAACCCCACTTCAAAACTTCCAATCTTCCCTTTGAACAACTGGCCTCACTGGATAGGAGTGTGTACTGGTGTTCACGTGTACTGCTCTGTGATGTGTACGGTGCTGTAAGGAATTTCCTTCTGGGGCACAGTAAAGTCTAAAGTAAAGTAAAGTAGGTTTAAGCCTGCTTCTAGGACAGACAGGTCCACGGGCTAATGAGCGCTATACTGATATGGTCAGCGGAATTAAATTTGACTTTTTGAGTGAGTGCAGTCAGTCCCTGCCTTTCCTCAAAGCCAGAAATCTAATTTCTTCATGAAATCACAAACTAATTATCTTTTCCTTTGCGTCATTATGTGACGCATGAGAAGCATCTTTTCCCAATGTTTCTGTTGTCAGGATACTTTACCCCTACTTTCCATTTGAGTTATTTGAATGTGATAATACTGTTTATCTGCTGCTCTCATCTTAACGCATTTTGCTCTATTCTCAGGGCCCCTGGCCACTCTGGCAGGTGTGTACCAAGATGTGAAGGGCCAGAGGGTGGAGGCGCTGTGGAGGGAGGCTGTTTCTCTGTGGACTGACGGGCTGATGCATGTCCTCCCTGTGCTGATTGGGAACCCTCAGCTGAGGCCCCTGGCTCAGGCCGGGGTCACCACGCTCAGCGCCACCCTGGATGTGGTGAGAAATACTTTTTTCTTAGCAACAAACGTTATAGTAAGATTAGCAAATTCTAGTGCTGTCAACGATTAAAACACTTAAATACAATAATATAGTTCAAATACTAGTGTTTACTCGTATTTGGGGGAGAAAAAAAAAAACACGTGTGGTGTGTAATTAAGAAATGTATGACAAACTGCTAATAGAAATAATTTATTACTTTATTATAACATGATATCTGAATTTATGGCATGAAGTCTGACAGCTAAAGCATCGACAAAGCTGATGTCACAGAGAGCCGCTGTGATACCACTCTGTATAATGTGCGCTACACATGCATGGCATGTTATCTCTGCCACTATCATACTGCGGGCTCTATCTGTCCTACAGTGGAGACTGTCCGCTTTCTCCCACTCCTGTGCAACTACAGGAGCATGGTTCAGCAAAGCGCCTTATCTCTGTACTAACCACACCTAAAGCCAACAAGTGCAGTTGCCATTTGTGATGGATGAGGTGTTCCATTGCTCACTGATGTCCAGTGGTCTCCAGTCTGCAGATACATGTAGCTCGTGCCGACTTCTCCGTTTTGTTTGCCTTTGCACTGCCATGCGATTCATAGTAAACATCTATGCTGGAATTACAGAAGATATTTGAACAACTCGTTAACATTGACAGCCCTGGTCAATTCTATTTAGCTGACTAAAATAATGTGTTGACATTGAAGAACTACAATCTGAGTTAGGTTTAGGGTTACAGTAGGGTAACTTGTTTATGTTGTCTGCATCTAAATATCCAGGTTTCAAAAACCTGAAAGAGCTCTTGACCTGGTTTTGTTAAAACCTGCATAAACTGGGATACTTTGTTTTTACGATCATAATCTATTTGTAGTGATGCGAAATCCTCTCAAGTTATGCAATAACAAATTGGTAAACATAAAATATAAAGTAGAAGAATGTTCATTTTACTTTACTACACACACACACACACACACAACACGCACGCACACACACACACACACACACACACACACACACACACACGCACGCACACACACACACACACACACACACACACACACACACACACACCACACACACACACACACACACACACACACACACACACACACACACACACACACACACGGTGTGCACGGTGGGCGAGTACAGCTGCTCAGTCCGTGTCTCTGTTCTTCTCCCGGTCCTCCAGTCCTAATCATTTTGCTCCTTTAGTACAGTGAGCAGTTTTGTGGGTCAGGTTGAGATGGTTGATCATATTTTTGACAATTGGACATTTACCCAAGCCATATCCGCTGCCCCCTCACCCCCTGCCCTGTCATATGATGATAAGCTTGTCAAATGGAATGATGACTGATGGTGTTCTGTGAACCAGGCAGGAAAGCATGCCTACCACTGGGTGGAGACCAGGCTGGCGATGGCTCTGTCTGGGGTCAGGAAACGCCTGGCCTCTGTCTACAAATTCTCCCCCAGGTACTGCACATGTCTTACACAAACATAGAAAAGCTCCATGAAACCCATTTTGAATTTAAACATTCCTTTCATTCAGTTACGAACAGAGGTCAGTGGAGGGACATATTCTTTCTTAAGTTTTAATAATAATGAAAGAAAGATATAAAACTATATAAAAAAAGTGAAATTAAATACTCTGTCTTTAAGAAAAGGTTTAAAAGATAAAAGTGAGATTTAAGAAGAGGTTATTGAGTTTCTCTGCCTAGTATTCTTGGATGTTTTGCCTGCTGATAGCACAATACAAAGCACTGCGGTAGTTAACTCTGGAGGAGATAAAAGCATGAAGGCCTTTCCTTAATCTGCAGAAGAAAATAAGGACTTGAGTTGAAAATAACTACCAGGTTGCGGGCCTCTTTTTTGAAATTACAACATTTTAGGATGTCCTATTCTTATTATCATTGAGCCAAGACATAATATAGGAAACATTAGTTGTGTCAGGTTCTAAGGGACATACAGTTGCATATAATTGAAGGTCTATACTTGGCATGGTTTGCCCCAGGGATAGCAAGTTAGTGGCAAGAGGACCCAGTATAGAGCCCTGGGGGGCACCCACAAAAGTAAGGGTCACGAGAGGCTCCACGAATGACAGAGATACAAGCAGTAAGTCATTTTAAAACCATGTGTCGTGTCGAGCTTGAAAACCAGATTACATTTTTCAATGGTAAGATTTTTGTTAAACATAAAGAAATCAACTGTGTGAAGACATTTGTATTCCTAAATCTTGGATAAAAACAAAAGCTTGGAGATAGACCTAAAATGTGTAAAAACAGATAAATCTAACCATGGTTTCTTCAAGAAGGGGTAAAAAGTGGCAAAAGACAGGGAGCAGTTAATAATGATAAAATATTCTGACCACCTGCCTAAAATACAGGTTTTAAAGACCAGGTTGGAATGTCCTCTGAATGACAGGTGGATGAGCTAAGGGTTGACAGATTTCATGATTTTCATGTGCGGCTTTATCTCCAATATTCTGTCATGAAGTAGTTAAAGGACACTTATTATGCAAAATCCACTTTTTCATGTCTTGTATACATACAATTGTGTCCCCTCTGTGTCCCTCACTGTAGTGAAAATGTATATAAACTCAAACTTCATAGTTGTGTATTTGCTGTTACATTCCGAAATCTTAATAAAAAAGATGTAAGTTAATAAGAAAATTATTCCAGTAAGATATTTTTAACCTTGCCTTGTTTTTTTTTCCAGTGAGTGTTCAGTGGTTGTGTCAGTGCCGCTGCCACCGCTCCCCTGGTCCAGGGTGTCCGAGGCTGGACTGGTAGAAATCCTTCTGGAGGAGTGGCTCCTGAGACCCCTGCAGACCCTCGCCACTGTCAGGCCCACAGCTGAACTTTACCGCCTCAAAAGGAAGATGATGGACAGCCCGTTTAAACGTAAGACACATTTATCAGTAAGAAACGCAATGCAACTTTAGGACTTAGAGGAATACTTTACCCAAAACAATGTCCCTTTGAGTTTTCCATTATATGACCTCTTCCACTTCATTGAGACAATTAAATAGTAAGGTCTCAATGAAAATGCATGTGTTTTAGATCGTGAGCATGCAACTGGGTAAATGAGATTTTGTAGGTGAAATATTTTCTGTAATCTTGTAATTTTAATGATGTCTCTCTCTTTCTGTTTTTCTCTTTCAGACCAAGCTCTGTTGGTGGCAGATCAGTTTGTGGTGACATTTGATGGTCATCTGTATGAGCTCCCCCCCTCCTGTGCACTGCTCCTTGCTCAAGACGTCAGCGCTGAGCCTTCATTCACACTGCTGCGCAATACAGACTTCCTTCTCATAGAAATGAATAACAGCACCGTCACCATTCAGCACAATGGACAGGTATGTGTTCATGCTGGGGACTCCAAAGAATTAGAAGAGTGGACTGTGTTTAGTCAGAGAACAAAATGAAAACTGCAGCAGACGGACTTCTTTCAACGTGCCTTTAAAAATAAATAAAATACATGTTTGTGTCCTAGGTGAAGGCCAATTGCAACCACGATGTTACGCGCACATTTCACAGTGACAATGGAGTAACTGTCAGAAGAGGGTCAAACATTGTGCAGGTGTCCAATCAGAATGGGGCGTCAGTGTCATGTGACCTGTTGCTTGAGCTGTGCAGCTTCACTCTCGATGGATGGTTGCATGGTAGGTCTAAAACGAAAGATTTGACGTGAGTCCTGAGATTAAATATCCTACTGATCCTCATTATTGTCTATGTTTTCTTCTACATAGGTGTGTCCACTGGTCTGTTGGGAACGAATGACAATGAAGCCGGGAACGATTTTCCTTTGCTTGATGGTTCTCAGGCTGAAAACTTGGAGGAGTTCTTCCATAGTTGGCAGGTTAGACAAGTGAGACACTGTCAGTGTTTGTACTTCAATTATATACATGAAGCCAATGTGGAAGTGCAGTTGATTCGTTACTTCAGGAAACTTTTTTTCTAATGAGTTTAAAGTCTTAATTCCTAGTTTCAAGTCTTTTCCAAGACAGCATGTGTTCAATTAGTAAATTATTGTCAACATTTGATTTAAAAAAGGTCGGGCTATCTTGCGATTGACAGGTTGCTATTGTGATTTTGTCACTCTCCGTGTTATTGTTTTAGACCTTTCACAGTGTGTTTTGTGTATATAAATATGCATGTAAATGGTCTGCATACTCTTAAATCCTAAAGTTCTATCCAAGAGGGAGTTTCTCTCACACCCACTCCCCCCCTGACGGAAACACCTCCACTTGACTCCTTTGTTAACTTATGTACAATAGTGACATCAATATGTAACAATCGTGTTTCTATTGGCTAGCGCTCCAACACATTGAACATGATAGGCTAAGGGGCGGGATATTTCAGACACATCTCTAAGCAGTTGACCAATCACAACAGAGCTGGCCAGCTGACCAATCAGAGCAGACTGGGCTCTGGTTTCAGACAGAGGGTGAAAAGAGGTGCTGCAGCACAGGAAGTATGAGAAAAACAAAGAGCTTTTTGAACATTAAAGGATGTAAATTCCAAAATATACCTGAAAATGAGCATAATATGCCGTCTTTAATGCAAATTCTTTTTTTTATTCTTCTTTTACAGAGGAGGCGTGGTAAGAATTTTTTATTAGGAATTCTAGAACTCAAACCTCTCATGTACCTACCACAAAATGGTTGTTTCTGGATGGGAACTCTTAAGGTTATACATTGACCTTGAAGGGTAGAGATTATGATTATGGTTTTCCATAGGGCGAAATAAGTTTTGCAAGAGTCTTTGCCAGTTTTCACAAATCTAGGATTACCATAGACACAACCTTTCAAGAAAGTATTTATTTTGTCTGTTTTTTTCAGATGAATCTGGATTGTATTAAAGCTCCAGGTGTAACAGAGCACCTCCCTCAAGCAGCCACTGGCCCTCCCAGCTGTGACTCTTTGTTCTCCTCTCCTGATTCCCCGCTGAGCTCCTGTTTCAGGGTGGTGAGTGCAAACACGCTCGTGCAAGTGAAAAATGTGTACCCAGTGGGATGTTATTAATGAGCCTTATCATCGTCTTGTGAGGATGGATGTGGATGTTACACAATTTAAAAACATGTGTCTGGCACAGCGCCTACCTGGCAGACCTAACTGATGCTAACGGAGTTCACGCAATTTCCGTGGAGGCTCAGCGAAGGAAAGTGAAAAAAACATACAGTATATATATATATTTAAACTTTTTATTTATTTACTCGTTTTGTGCATACATGTAGTTAGTTCAAAATACATTTACAAGTCAAATATATATTTTACTTACTTATTTTATTTATTTATTTATATTTTCCACACAGTATAAATTCAACAGAAAAAAAGCCTAAGAGTATGCCTTCAATCTCAAATCTCGGGTGGCCGACAAGTGCAACCGCGCTACAACGGCCCAAAACATTTCCATTAGGACAAACGCGCTGCAGCTTCATAAACTATGCAAATGTTAAAACACAAATATGCTAAAACACATGCAAATGAAAAACACATTGTCACCAACTTCACAACACATGCGCAGCATTTACAAAACATTCACCAACAACTCTTCAAAGTGTTGCATAAATGAAAAAGCTGCAAAATGGAAATGGGGACACTAGAAAGTGACGCACACAGCTGGGACAAGAACGCTTGTTGACGTTCAGGGATTATTAAACTAGCCAACTGTCACTGTCAACAAGCGCTCAACAAACGCTGCACATGTGTTGTCAATTTGATGAAGATGTTTCTTCTTTTGCATGTGTTTCTGACCATTGTTACGCGTTTACACCTGCCTAACCCATAGAAGGAGTTTCTATGGGTACTAGCAAAATAAGATCACATAGTATAGCCTAAATGTGCGTGATTTATTTTGAGTGATAGTTCAGAGAGAAGTTTTTCATACTTTCCCAGAATCCCAAACTGATAAAAGTCTTAGCATGTCATCTATTATGTATTTAGTGTAGTCTGTGTTATGTCAAACGGCAATATAAGGATGTGTTGGTTAAATTGTTGAGTGTCTAAGGGTTCGAATAACCTTATCATAATCCCAAAGGCATTCTGGAATTGAGCAAAAGTAAGACAGGGTGAAGGCGCAATTTTTTCCAAACATTGCAAGAGGCCTACAGTCCTTGACTTTGAATCCCCCTGATCTACAATAATAATCTTATATGAGGGCTTTGCATTGAGCATCACCTGTATGTGATTGTTTCTGAGTGAAGTGTTTTTGTCGTCAGGTGGATCCCGGTCGGTTCTGGTCGGTGTGTAAACTGAGCTCCTGGAGAGCACCATGTAGATTAGCATCTGCTTTTGTTCATCTCTGCCGGCAGAACTACATACCTCTGGAGGTCCCTGTCCACTGCTGTAAGTCAGGCCATTACACAACCAAGGACTGCTTAGACTCACACCATGTTCTCAAATCTGTGATTCTGAACTGCCCTGACATGTTTCTGTTTTTTTATTTAGTGAAAGCATGACCGGACGCGCTGATGAAGAGTGAACATGGCGGATTTGTGATATCTGTTAGCTGCTAAAACTGACACATTTACACTTTTATACCACTGTTTGTGCTACATTACTTTTGTATTGCATTTTGTTCTTAATTGTATATTTACACATTGTTATACCTCACTATTTAGACATCCAGATATTGGGCCAGGAACGTGAATGTGAACATACTAACTACAGCAAGTTTATTATTAATCACAAGGCCTCACTTTTTATATTTTCTGTGGTCTGTAATACAAACACTGAAAACTATTTGACCCCAAAGTAACTAATCCTAACAAGCAAACTTGGACTATGAAGTGCATTACCTGTTGTATGCTATTTTACGATTGTTTATTAAAGACAGAACTAATAGAGAAGAGGGTAAAACATAAAAAAATCTAAATGAAACTTCACCAGTTGATTAAATTAATCCAAACATTTTTGAATTACCGTTTTGTTGTTGTTGATGTTTTCGTTAAATATGCGAATAAGGGATTATCTAATTCTAAATTTCGGTGAATTTAGTTGAAATCTACATACATAAACAAAGTTACAAAGAGTCTAAAAGAAGACATGTTGAAGAAGAAAAACACCCCAAAATTGACCAATCACGCTCTGTTCATTTATTTGAAGATAGGTATGTAGTTGTGTATCTTGGACTTCTGTCGCTGTGTGACACATTCTGCGATCCAGACAATGTTACGACTCTCCTGCTCCTTCAGTTTGATGTAGGAGTAAAATACTCCAAAGTGGAACTGTTGCAGGAAAGCAAGTGTGTTCAGCTTCACCTGGGAAAAGATAGATAATGAGAGTTCTAACAGACACAGAAAGGCACTTACAACACAAATAGATAGATAGATAGATAGATATTTTAGTTATCCCAAAATGTTCACTAACATATCGTCAGTGAAAATAATGTAAACAAACTGCCTTCTACGGAAGATGATTACTACCACAATGAGGGCTGTAAACCCTCATTGTGATGTTATTTTCACATGTGGCCACAATCCTCCTGTAAGTACTTTCAAGGTACATTTTGTGTGAAATGTTGTGCTTGGTCCAAATATATTGGTCCCAAACTTCATCAGCTAGATTGCACATCCTCATAGGACACTAAAGTCTGAAGAATCTTCATATTATATTACCTCTTGTTCAAAGAATCTGTCTTCCAGAGTCTTGCATCCTGATTCTGTCTCAGGGTCATCAAAAATGATCTTATAGCCCTGTAGGGAGGTTAGGGTTCATGTTAACCTTGTTTACGACTTTGATTAAGTGCAGTCATAACACAGCAGGCAATGTGTTTGGACTCACTGGGTAGCAGTCTGCCACAGCTTTGACCTGCTCATGGTCCTCTGCCCTGGCCAGCAGTTGCAGTCCTTCAGGGTAAAGTTTGCCACAAGATGGATACAACGCACTCCTGTCTGCCCCGCTGAGATCCGTGCCGAAGGAGTTCACTGTGATGATGAAGGCACGCCTGTCTGCCTCAAACTGAAGCACATACACAGCATTTTTAGCAAAAAGAAATCTTACGTAGTAAAAACTTGAAGAAATTGTGAAGGAAATTCCACGAGTAATATGCTAGAAAACACAAAGAGGATGCTGGAGACAGGGAGCTGATGTCTAACAATACTAAGATTGAAATGAAGTTTGATCATGAGGATTGGCAATGACTAAAGAACAAGGAAACATAGATGTGGCCACCCTGCTGCCACTGTGAGTGATGCAGGAAAGAGTCCTAAAATGCGTAACATTTGTTAGCATTTTTGGCATGTAGCATGTTCTTTACCACTTCTGGTTCCCCTCGTCTCACAGTCAAAAAAAAATGTAACCATGTTTTTGGTTAAAGGCCGCAAATAAGGCTCACCAGCTTAGATTTTCACGTTTTGTTCTGCGACATTAAATACGACAGTAATTACACTACTCATGAATGTCCGAAGCTTCTATGTGACCGTAGTTTGTTTATAGCTTTTTACTACTGCCGAATATTTTTCCACAATCACAAAGAGGTGTTAATTTGTGGAGAATATCCTGCCAAATTTTGTTTATCATATGATGCCCCTTCCGGTTAGCTACAATTTTACGTCATCACTGTACTACTCCAATTTGGAGCCCTTTCCCTTCATGTATTAATTCTGTGCAGCAGCAATTAGCTTTTTATCTAAAGATGACTCCTCAAATATTGGTATTATCAGTTCTGGTCAGACAGCTCTGTATGTTATTTGACTACATTTGGGAGAGATGACCATACACAATAAGAAATATGGGACTTAAGACCTACTTGAATGATTCCTAGCATGAAAAGGACGGTCTACGTCAAAATATGTATAAAGTCTATTCACAGTACCTCCAGGACAGGACACATTGTATCTCTTGTGGCTCCACCAAGGCTCTTGCAGAAGGAGTGGAAAGACTCTAAATATGCCTTTAAAGAAACACATATTCATCATATCTTTAAAAAAGTCTTTACTGTAAGTGTCTGTAACATAAAACCCTGACCAAAGGAAGAGGGTAAGCACATTGTCTTAAAACTCAACAGTCCAGAATTTATATGAACACACAGACACACACATTACTGCTTTATAGTATCATTTGACCCTGTAGTCACCTTAAACAGCTTGCTTCTGAGAATTTCAGCTTCCATTTCATCCAGGTTGGTATCGGATACAGCTTCCTGGAAAAACGGAGCTTTTACACAACAACACAGTGGTATCATTAGTCTCTAGCATAAACCAATGTCTGATCGAGCAGCTTAAAGACCAAATTGGCCGTGAAATGATTCAATTCTGATGGAATATCCGTGTTTGTGAACTTTGACCGGTTGATTTATGGATGGTGTTGACGGTGGAGGGAGCAGTAAGCCTGACAGTCAAAAACGGAAAAAGCCCTAATATATGATTAGCTTTGTTGCTTGCCAATGTTTCCTCAGACCTATGTCCCTATGTTCCTGTAATTCCCTCAATGCAATATTAAAAAACAATCCAAAAGAATGTTCCTCAACTTAAAGAGACGAATGCTGTTCCCTTATATAACCTCACTTCTCAACTTTTTGGAGAAGGTGGATAAAAACACAGGGTCAAATCCAACCATGACTTTCCTGAACCCGTCCCTCTCCCGAACAAATACTGTTCGTTGACCATTTTGATTGTCAGTCAAGCTGGGCCTCGCTGTTTTGCATTTCCATAGTTTTACTATCTCCAGAGTTGGGCCAAACCAACCTACAGAATACAAACTAACTCTCCCTCTCCCACCAACCTGTTGTGCGACCGTGCCTTGATCTCATGTGCGACACAAGAGAGACATACGCTTTATAAAGTCTATGTGGTCAGCTTTCAGTGATTTATATTTGGCTCCAAAGTGGAGCTTTGTAAATGGCTATTCTTCAATAAGAACAAGACTATTAATACTGCCGGGAGGAAGAGTAAGCATAACAAATAAAGGGGGACTTTTATTGTTAAAACTAATAGGGATATAAATGAATTTATCCACAGCTACTTAGATCCCGAGTTCCCGAGGACCAGTTAAAGACACACTTTGAAGTGAGTAGTCCTGTTGAAATGAAAATGCAAATCCCTGTGTCGTCAAGCAGATTTGAGCCAAGCCACTTCATGTGTTTGGAAAACCTCAATAGGCTAAAGGAACATTGAGTGAGGGAACATCGCCTTATGGGAATTTGGATAAATATGTTCAAGGAACATTGGGCAAGGGACAATGGGCTGAGGGTACTTTTGACAGGGGAACACAGGGGTAGGAAACATAGGTTGAGGAAAGAATTGGAGAGGGAACATAGGCTAAGAGAACGTCGCGTGAGGGAACATATAGGCTGAGGAACCATGGGCCAGAGGGAACCCCGGTTGAGGGAACATAGACTAAGGGAAAATAGGCTGAGTGAACACTGGGTGATGTAGAAAGAGCAGAGGTTACGTTGGGTGAGGGAACTTAAGGCCAAGTGAACACAGGATAAGGGAACATTGGCTAAGGGAACATAAGGTCTAGGTACCAAGAGTAGAGGGAGAGTGTTTTTCTTCTTTTGGCAAGTCTTGATTGATTGATTGATAAAATTCAGAGTGAAAAAGAATGGAGAACAGAGAAAATATAAAGACGCTTCGAGAGCTACAGTATTGTCACTGCCTGAACTTTACGTAATTGTTTAGCGCGTTGAAAGGTTAACTTATCGTTTGCGCCTATAGTCAATGAGTCTCCTACCTTCTCCACAATCACATATTTTATACAGTATATAAACACAGATGATTCCACTCCCACTTTTAGGTGTTAAACAATGATATATTTTTATATTTAATTTGATCTCCAACCAGAAAGGATCCCTATTCATCAAACTTCAGTTTTTGAAAATGTTTCCTCCCCATTATAAAACAATTCAATTCTCACTTTAACACTGGAGATATAAAATCATCTCAGGTGTTAAATCTTATTTGAGAGTTTATCTATAGTTACCATCTTTAGGAGTTAGTTAAACACAAATGATTGAATGACCCTACCCAGTGGTGTGTCCACCAGGATGGCTGAGTAGAGCTCAGTCGGGGTGCGAGCGATGCCCACTGCTGCCATCTGATCAAAAGCTCCTAGTGGGTGACAACGTGGGAGAACCTCTGCCACATCTCTCTGTTTCAGGGCACCTGTGATCAGCATCACCACATTGTCGATCATGTAGCTGTAGCTATGGCAACACAGAGTAAATAGATGTTACTTTATTTGTGTGCATGGCATTTTATATTACATCCCTTTTACTTAGGGCATATTGAACTATTTTACATTTTAAGAAAATGTTTACCCATATACATACTGTTGCTTTGACTAAATTTGAATACACATTTTTCATGCGGTCAGTGAAGCAGTGCACATTTTTAAGATGCCGGCTGATGGTTGAAATGTCCACACTTGCTAGCTAACGAGCGAGCTAGCAAGCTGGAAACCCATTCAAATGCTGTCTCTCAATTCACGTACTTCTTTACCTAGCGAATGCCTGGTTGTTGCTAGCTAGCTAGCAACGACCGTTCACTATTAAATGAACAGTGGCTTCTTTTTAACAACACTATACTCGTATACTGCTATGTTTATTAAATAGTAAAAATAATATAAAGTATATTTTTTAATTGTATAATGCTGTGTTCACCAGAGCAACCGCAATCTTGGCAGGTCACACAACTTCCGTCAAGTTACCAAAATGGTTATCATTGAGTGCGTGAAGTCTCCAGCGTTTCACACTCAACTGTTTGACTGTTACGAAAAATCATCCCGGTACTCATAGTGAATTTTGGGTCACACTTAAAATAGCTATAGGTAAAGAAGTACGTGAATTGAAACACAGCATTTGAATCTTGTAGCACACAAAGATTTGTGAAATTAAACATTTAAATGGATTGGATTTGGGACTTGTAGATTGCAAGATATATGGAGGGATTACGACAGGAACTATGTCTTGTGA